GTGCCGAGTCTGTTAGTTGGGTAGGCCTGAATACAACTTGACCAGCAAAAGGAAATAAAGAGTTTTTGCTGTTTCAAGAAAAATCCTTTCAAGTCACTCATTTTAATAGGTGTATTTTCCTCACATTGAAATCTTGTTGTTTGTTAGTTTATATCTTCTACGGGTGTTTAACTTTTGACTAGATGTTGCATCTTGTCATCTTTTCTATTCAAACTTTCCAAATGCTCTTGAGTTTATTAATTAGATTGATAACCTACAATCATATTTCACAGGTTTTATGGGGAGACAGTGTTGCAGATCCTGAAGTAGTAGACGCAAGAACACTGGTGATACGTGAGCTGAATCAATACGTTTATGCTGACCAACGTGTGAACATCAGCATGTTAAATATCGCAGATGGTGTGACTCTGTGTTTTAAGAAATAATAGATTAACTTTGAACATCAGTTGCCATATTTTGCTGTTTTGCGTTTTGTGCTTTGTAGTTGAGGCTAATTTTAAGATAAGATATGGAAGTGGACAACAATTTTACAGTCTGTAAATTGTTTCTTATGTGGATTGAACATGATTATGTTTTTGATGACGTCAAGGAGGCAATTATGTAGTTTTATCACATTGCAAATCTCCAAATATAAGATCTTATGCTATGCCAAATATATAACTATATTTCCTGTATCTACCGCTCAGTGTGATAACAGAGCGAGCGCACAAGCTACCCGCTGAGGTAAAAAGTTTGAGATTTTATATAAAACAGGCTTAGTTTCTGTCTTTGTTTCTGTTACGATCTAGCAACAGTAGCAAGAGTTCGGGTGTAGTCACACTCCCAAAATTGACAGCAGTTACTTATACGAAAATAGAATTTGGTGCGAAGATGACCCCGAACGTACCATGAAGTATCTTAACATACGATATCTACAGAAAGTTACACAATAGCACCCAAACCGCACAAGGAAGTAACATGGAAATAATAGAACTTTAAATAGTAGTTTCTACCCGCAGGAATACAAGAAGAATACACGAAGTTACAGACCATTCTGCTCTGTAAAGGTGCTCAGGAGTGACTGACAGGAAGATGCTCTGAGGCTTGCTTGATATATGTCCACGTTACCATGATGTTTGAGTTACTCAAGTTCGTTTTTGCCAACACCACGGTACCATGTGAATGTCGTCGCACATGTATTATTATACAATGCCTACATGACGTTATTGAGAGGGTTTCACGTAATCTTCATAGGTTAATCGGTCAGCTTACAAGTACTTAAGGCGAAAAATACCTAATGATACCAAATTATACCAGGTAAGAACGAAAATGACACGATATGAAAGATGTCTTAACGATTGGGAATGATTGGCCTAACAAAGGGGAAAATGGACACGAATTCAACATGAAAATGAACCTTCACAAATTGCGGTCATACAACGACTTTTAACAGATGCCCACACGAACGAAGCGATGTTTTTACGATCACAGACCGGGTGGGAATATAACTGCCTTTTGGTTGAAGATCTGGCTTTTCTTTTTGTTGTAGCAGATATTTCATCGTTGAATGATTTACTTATTTACTTAGGTGTCAAACCATTTCAAGCCTTGTACAGCATTTGAACTTTTTTAAATCTTTTTTTTTTCATAAATGGTGAGATATTTTAAGCCTTTAAATAGTTTAAAAGAGGAAGTTTTCATCGCGGATAATATACTTTTTAACATTCGGGGGAAAATATTTGAACACAAGGCGTTCCTCTAATTTGGATATTGCGGAATATCCAACGTGGCCTTTCCCCTCTTTTCCTACTTGCATCTCTTATCATTATTAAGGTAAAAAAGAAAAGCACATAATTTGCCATAGGAAAAAGTCTATAATTGCGTATCTATTGACATGTAGATGTAGATGCTGTTGATTACAATCAAAGGTATTGAAAATATTTCATTTTACCAGATAACACTTATTTACAGTATACACGTTTGTGAAATACAGTATATAGGATTGTGGAGAGAGTTGGAATTATTAAATCTAGCTACAGTGTACCCCTGTATGTGTTTATATTGTCACTATATTATTTGTGACGAAAAACTGAAAGTAGATTTTTCGAAGTGTTTGTTTAGCGCTTAATGCGAAAATGATGTTTACAGTCATGCTGACACACCTGACACACATCCTAATGATGATTGATGACGCTGATGAAGGTGGTAGTAGTGTCCTTATGGCATGTTATCTACCGCAAGGAAGGATCTCTGGTAGTACACCACAGGTCGAGCTCCGTCAGGAACACAGCGAGCAAACTGGGTCTGTACGAAACTCTTCACGTTGAAGCACTGCTTTGTTTTGTGTTTTCCTTGAATCGCACAAGCTCCATAACAATATGTTGGAAAAATTTCCTGGTGCTTTGTCGCTTCTCTTCAAGTATGCCATAGAACTTTGGGCACAATTTGGTTCCTTGTAGGATGTCGAGAAAGGCTGGTTCTTTGCGAATGTGTATCTCAGATGACATGTTTCTTTTGAATCTCTTCACAGCGACATAATTATATTTCTAGCCAGGAAAAGAATTCCATAACGACCACTGCCTATTTGAACCAACTCTCCACGCTTGTCTCTTTCTATGACTATATGGTCTAATGGGCATATGTTCTCATGTGCCTGGAATAATAATAATAATATAATCTGTTGTTTTCAAGTTTTTTTTTAAAGACAAGTAGATGACGTGAAAATGTGTCGTTTTGTTTCACGTGGGTGTGTGTGTGTGAGAGAGCAAGTGAATAGGGAAGAGCGCTTGTTTTTTTTTACTTACAGCTTGATAAAGGCGTTGCTTGTTAATCTGGTATCTTTGGTTTTGCTCCATAGGCAACCAGTCTGGATACATTTTAGGAACATAGACTTCATTATGGTCAGTAAAATCTGGCTCAAAACGGTTTGTTTGCACCACACCAAAACAGATATCCCTTAATTCGCCTTAACTCCTTCCAAAAACTTGTCTGCGCCTTAAAATGTAGTGGAGTGGCTTAGCGAAAAAATCGTGACACGGCGGATAAAAGCACCAAATTTGACATGAAGTTACCTTTCGACATTCTAAATCAAATTAGAGCCGTAACCCTCTGAAACAATTTACCTTTGGCTAAAAAAAATCCAAAATGGCCACCAATTTATGTAATTCTATAGAAATATATACATAACTATGTTGATTTTTATCAAATAAAGTATTTTCTCAGTGTTTTCCACATCCTTATTACCCATATTATACATATATGTCAGATAGCAAATAAGTTCCCTTGGACTTTTTGAAAAATCCAAGATGGCCGTCATATGCCATTGAAACAGCCATATAACTTGACATACACACCACCCATCATGTTCACCAAATTTCTGTTCGATACTAAATAAGTGTATGCATATGTGCGCTTTTGTAAATGTATATGCACATGGACATCCGGATCATAAATACAGCAGGGGGCTTAATTGGCAAATTTCTATCATTCAGATGCACATTTTGCAGTCGGCAAAGATTGCAGTTCTGAAATGTTACCCACTATTTTATGTTGAAATATAAACTACAACAAAGTGAACTGTACCTGAAATGGCTCGTTATTGTTGAAAGAATTTTTATTGACGTTAAATGAACAAAAATATTGAAATAAATCAAATTAAAAGGGTTTAACAAAAGGGAGGGGTGTTTCCTTCAATTGGAAAGAATGAACGGGAAAAATACAATGAAAAAATAACTCATTTATATCAAGCGATTTTTGTGTCATTAAGACAGTTATCAAAGTACGAAGCCCATTCTCACTTATCCAATTTAGTTACAATTTGAAAATGTTAAGATTTTAAAGTCCAGTTGATGTACCAAATGCTTACAGGAGTTGTTTTTGCTCGAACTGATATTATTTAGGAATTGTCATATATCAAAATGAAAAAGAACGTAAACAAGATATAATGGGGAACAATAATAACTATAATATTGGAGAGCAAAGATACGGCATTCAGCGAAAATAAAAGACAGTTAGATAAAGACCAGTTACTAAAGTAATACCTGCCAAGTTTCAAAGTTTAACATAAGCAACATATATTGAAAATGTTTCTTATACAGGTGATAGTTTCTGCGTACTTAAATATGACACCTTATATGGTAACAGATTTCTTTATGCATCTAATGGCAGCTCGTCATCCAAGTTTTTGCAGGTTTAAAAGATGGTCACTGTGCAATTTTTGAAAATCTAAAGAACCACCCACAGGCCTACCCAACTAACAGACTCGGCACCTAAAGATCCTGAATTAACCTCTATATCGGACCACACTACCCGTTTTCAAGGTGTGTGTCAGATCGCATTTCGGAGTATCATACCCCAGAACAAATTTTGTAGGACGACCGCGGGCTCATCCTGTCGGTGTTCTGACTGATACTCCAAAATGCGATCTGACACACAGTACAGATTTTGAAAGAAGTTGATATGTTCTTTTGTAGACCTGAATGTCAACAAATGTCCTAAAAGATGACAAAAAGTTACAAATGAATTCAGAGAAAGATCACAATGTATGTTAATCATACAAAAAGATGTATCATTATCTATGAATGTACGAATATACGTAAAGAATTTTACAATTGATACAACACAAACTACATGTACACCAGAGGCTAAATATTAAAAGTGAAAATACTACGATATAGAAGATAAATTCCCAAATATACTGCAACTTGAAAGGAGAAGAGTTTAATTATAATACAGCACTAATGCACAGGATGAACAATACAGTATGTCTTAGTTCAAGCATACTGAAATCGCAATGTGAAGAATGGGATCAAATTACATAGTTTGTAGTAAACTTCGCATGAAGTTGTGCATTATATACACTGTAGTACCAATATTATGCCAAACATCCAGGTAATTGTGGTGCAGTACATAAAGGTTTCTATTTTTACCTTTATATTAGAAAAGGACAGATACAGCATGTTTCCACCATTTATAAAAGTAAGAGTAACAACTTTAATATAAAACAAGATAACAATAACAGCTTAAATATTAATATCTTTATTATAATTTTAAATCTACCCCTCCCACAACAAAAAGTAAGATTACTTTTGATAAAATTCATTTACAAAACAACTGACATCTGTGGCACACTTAAGCAACCAAATAAATCGTACAAAATAATACAAAATAAAAGTACTCGGTATGAAGTACATGTATGCTGTATACATAACATCCACCTTTCAGACTTAATGTGTCAAAAAAACTTCAACACACTTAGTTTCTATACTTAAGGATTCTTCAACTTTGAATATGAAGAGACATTTATAATCTCAAAATACATTATTGAAATGCCCGTGTTGTACATTGTAAAAAATTTAAGAAAATGTCATCAGTACATGATGAGAGTCACCTGAGGTAATTATGATAAAAATAACTGTGTATTATCACAGATTATCAGATTTTTTGAAAGATACAGCTTCTTTTGAGTGTCTCTATTAGAATGTGAATAATTTAAAAGTACTGTGGAACTTAAAACACTAATACTAATCATTACAAAAAGGACCAATACCTTGGTAAAAAGTATGTCAGAAAAATTGTCAGAATACAAACTATGTGAGAATTGTTTCATAAATTCCTTTCTTATTTGAGCATAAAATTTTTAAATGCTGAATTGTTTTGATCGCTTTTTATAAATATTATATGTAGTGCACCATGTCTCTGTATGTTGTATTAAAACTAAAGTTAAAATAACAAAAAAATATGGAATCACTATTCTTAGCTAATAATCAAATAATACCCTAATTATAACTCTAGAATAAAGATACAAAAATAAAACCATTGAAGACTTGAGCTAATAAATATAGACTCTCCATTGTAGTGAATTAACAAATAAATTTGGTTTTAAATTTACTACAATCAATCAATGAAAGAGTTCATTCAAGTGTACAACATTGTCCTGACATAACATTAAAATCTTTACAAATAAGCATTGCTCCTTTAAGATTCCATATATACCGCTAAGATGTCTTAATCATATGGCACAAATTGAAAATGATACTGCACCTTATGATTTATAAAATTAATCTTTTATTTCTTAAAACACAGGGTCACACCATCTGCAATATTTAACATACTGATGTTCACACGTTGGTCAGCATGAATATATTCATTCACTTCACGCATTGCCAAGGTTGATGGATTAACGTTTTCAGGGTCTGCGACACTGCCTCCCCATATAACCTGTGAAACATTTTAGTAATTAATCAATTATATCAAGAATGTATTACCATACTGGTATACTTATTGATAAAAGAACAGTTGAAGTGTTTATAACATATATGGCTGAATATAACTCTTCAGTTGTAGAGCAAGAAAATGTGCAAATAGGAGATTAATTTATGTGGATTGTAATATATGCGACAGTAACTTGTGACAGCTAGTGACTTGCTGATATGATCCTGAAGGGCAAATGAAGAAAGAGAACCTTATCTGAAAGTTGTTTCAAAGTAGTTATGGAAAAAATGTGGCAGATTACCATATGCTTTCCTTGAGGATAGAATGAATACTTACCTATTCTTTAAAAAATCTTCAAACTGTATCTAAAACACGCTTAATACTTACATTATCTACTGCAATAATCCCACCAGACCGCACCAAGATCATGCAAAGCTCATAGTATTTCAAGTAGTTTTCTTTATCAGCATCAATAAATGCAAAATCATATGTTCCACCTTCTCCAGCATCTACCAGTTTCTCTATAAAATAAATGTTATATATTTTCCTTTAAATTAAATGTTATATATTTTCCATTTAAATCTCCTACTAAAATTTGACGACTATTTTTTAAAATATGCCAAAGCAATGTTTTATTGTACACAAAAATATCAAATTAACTGTTGTCCATATAAACAATTTTCAGGGTTGAAAATATCACTTAAGCATATTCCATTTCTCATTTCCATTAAACATCAATAATATTCAGACTTACGTAGTGTTTCCACAGCTGGTGCAATCCTAAGGTCAATTTTATGTTCCACTCCTGCCTAATAGCAAAAAATGTACAACAAGTTATTTACTAAAATTATCTTTAATATAATGTAAATAACAAAATACTAAAGTCTTTTTTCATACAAAAAAAGTGTCTGGCTCTAACTGCTATCACAAGTATCATCTCACAGTTTAAAAATCTAACAATACCCTCAGATAACCGACATTTTAATGAACTGCCATGGTAGTACATCTTAAAGCATGTGTGTGTGTGTGTGTGTGTGTGTGTTTGTGTGTGTGTGTGTACATGTGCATATGCGCATGTTCATTCACATTACTCATATTATATCCAACCTCTTTCCAAAATGGTTTCCCTATTCTGGTGAATTCATCGCTGACATCACAGGCCACTACCTTCCCATCCTCAGGAAGTACTAGTGCTATAGCCAAGGCACTATAACCTGTGAACACTCCTGTGATAAAAATACAAATAAACAAGGAACTAAATAAACTTACAATAAACATATCCTTGAGTTAAATCATTTTTAATTAATACAAAATGACACTTCAGCCTGTAAACATTTTTAATATCAAACAAGTTTAAATGTACTTTTTATTCTGAAAACATCAAGATAGACCATTACACTATTGGCAGGTAGGATGATAATTTACAAGGGAACAGTCACATGTCCAAAATGGACAGAATAGAACAAGGTAGGGCAAAAGTAAAAAGAGAAGACAGCTTCAATTTATTACCAATGTCCAATGTTTTCTTTCCCTTTATAAGAGAAACCAAATTCTGCAAAAGTTGCATTTCATCTGTGGAACCAAGCATTCTGTTTCTTGGGTGCTTTAATGTTTCCTGAAGGAATGTAAACCAGAACACTACATGGTACATGTACAACAAAATTAATCTAAATTTCACAATTAATTACTAATTTTCTGAAAAATTATTTAAAGAGTGAGAGGCTAAAATTCCAATTTATATGCTTATTTAACATTATCAAAAACTGGCAATTTATATGCTTATTTAAGATCACTTAACATTATCAACAACTGGCCAATGTGAATAGTTTTCAGACAAAAAACTAATCTTCAACATGCTTCTCACCTCAATCAACTTCTTCTGAACTGGGAGAAGGCGGAACGAATTGTTTTCAATGTATTTTGCAACTTTATCTGCGTTAAACTGGGACTTGCGTGAATTCCTGGCATATTCAGCACTCATATAAAATTGCAAAGACTTGCGTCCTAAAAGTGGAAATTTTGCTTTGAATTAACAACTACACTATAGCCTTAAAGCTTATATTTTAAACACTTCCAGGAAACTTGTTAATCCCTTTTAGTATATAACCTATGCATACTAGTACATGTAATAAGTACTCTGTCAAATTTCAACATTTTCATGACCATACATATTTACCAAGCTTATGCTTCGATCCTTGCCATCAACCTTCAACTATTGGAAATCACAAAATTATTTTGGTTATTCTAAAAGACTGGAATTCAGGGAGACAAAAGCCTTATGCTGTCACCTCATCCTTACTCCACTATATTCAGCAGAACAATTTTGTTTGCTGGTTAAATATTTAACAGTTCTTTATCACTGCATGCACGGTACATTTTCGTGACAATGAATTATAAATAGAGTTAAGGTGTGGTCTTGAAAGAGAATGTGCAGACATTCATTTCACATCATATAACAAAAATCCCACAAAACGCCAAAGGCACACATAAAAAATACACATATAAAAAAAAACTCAAGAATTCCTCTTTTCTCTCATTCTATTTATTGGGCATATCTGTTCACCACCATGATGTACACCTTTATTGCTCTTTTATCTGTGACTGTGATACCTAACTTACCAGTACTCATACTTACAGGATTATGAAATTTAGATGAGTTATATCCACTACTTTTAAGCTTATGGACTTAAGTACTAGTATATTAATTTTATCAAGAATCAGATTGGTCTTTCAGCAACTTATCACTTTTATCATCATCCAGCAAGCCTGGTCATCTGCACATTGGGATCAAAGTCCAACTCTGACCTCATGCACATATAAATTTTAGATTAATGAAAGACATGTGAATGTTGCATATGACACAGTGTGTTTGTATATTCCAGCATATTTATATTTTTTTTTCATATTAGGGATGGGCCAAAAGGTCTGGTAAAAAGACAATATAAATCAATTCACCTCTCCAGTATCCCACTGCTAGACTCAAGCTGATGGCACCAGCAGCACCAGCATACATAAGCCATTTGGAGTAGTCAGACATGCTGGTAACCTAAAAATAAAATAACAATTAGAATATAATAAATTAATAACACAATTACTGATATACTGGTACATACATGCATGTGGTATAATTGATGTATGATCTTAATTATTTCATCATTCATTTTCTGGGTAAAGATGCTTGACCAAGCAGAAACCTGGCAGAAGGAACTCTTAACTGAATTAATGCCATCATAAATGACATTTCAGGAGGTATTTAGCAGGGAGTTTCATGTGTTAATTAGCAATCTTATTTACGGTTTCTGATACTGGTACATGTGTGTACGGACCATTTGTAACACAAATACTTCGAACGGCATATATCAGAAACCCTTAACCAGTAATGACTCGTGAAATGTCGCGTTTCTTGGTATTCAGACTTAAAAAGTTCACATTTTTTCATTATACGTAAACATAACAAACGTAAACAAAAATTTAATAAATGGAGTTCTCAGGGTTGTTATAATATAATCCCCATGCAGTTATCTCAGCTGACACCACAGAACAAGTAACAGAAGCTTTAACCAAATCGTGGCATAGTCATACGCCTACATTACATAATGTTGCGGTTCAGATACAATTTAGATGTGGAAAACGCTGCTTTTCAATTATGTAACAATTAAAGCACTTGCTTTCACAGTACATTAACGACGTTAACGTGTTTCCAAACTTGTTTTCTAGTGAAACTTGACTAGTAGCACAATTAATTAATATTAGAACATTTAAAGCACCTCACCTGTCTCCTAAGAGTAATCACTAACTCAGGCGCTTACCTAACCAGGTAGAAGTGCCGACTCATTTTGTTTATCTTGAAAAGCGCCACCTATACTATGGGTTGTTGGAAGCCATACTGAACCGAGTTCTTTGCAAAATGATGGTAAGTGGCATTGAATCCTCGAACATCTTGTCTTTTAGAAAGTTGCTGTACCAATTCCTAAAACATAAGTGTAAAAGGATGTACCTAAAATTCCATACTTATTTTCAGGAGAGGCTATCTTTTACCGATATATAATTTATTTAGCTCGTTTGTTGACTACTGCTGAACAGAATTCGCATGCTTGGTTGTTAGGTCATTAAATCGTTTATTTTTGCGAAAGCTGGTGTGCATTTAGTTTGTGTGATGCTTTCTTTTATCTTTGCAACGGCAGCAGGATTTAATCCGCTTGCTAATGGAGTATTGTAAGGTTGATAGCAAAAGGGATACTTTATATACACAGTGTATATATGTTCGTTAGTTATTGTCGAAAGTTTTTTTCAGCAACCACAGATTATTCTCCTGAAGGAGGGGACAGATACATCACAAGGCAAAGGGCAGATAATAAGTAATGTCAATGCCTGTCAGATCATTGCTGATGCTGTCAGGACCACCCTAGGCCCTAGGGGAATGGACAAACTCATTGTTGATGACAGAGGTAGGTACATTTACCTTATTTATAAAGTTGTATTAGACTAGAGTCTAATACAACTTTCTAAATAAGGAAGAATAATTTAAAAATAAAATAAAATTAAGTAGCCTCTGAAACATCTGTTTACGCATAAATTTCTGGAATTTTCCGTTGGGCTTGAGCTTTAGCAAAATATAGCCCACAAGATGTAGCACTTATTTTTAAAAGATAAAGTGCTGTTTTTTTTTCTTCAGGAAAGGCAACAATATCCAATGATGGGGCCACCATTTTGAAGTTATTAGATGTAGTTCATCCTGCAGCTAAAACATTAGTAGACATAGCCAAGTCTCAAGATGCAGAGGTAAATTTTTTTCATTTCCTGGTAAAATACAAAAAAATATCATATGTGCATCGAGTAAAGATATAACTGGGCAAACTGTGCTTCAGCTGATGGTACATATGTGATACACTGGTCACTAAAGAATTGCGCACAATGTAAGCATGTTAACAAACCATTTCTGGTTTCTTGACTAGTGTTATGATTTTGTTAAATTAACCAGCTATGTCCTTGTGTCAGCCTCAGCTAGTAATCATTGCTATTACTATATGTATGTAGTAGAGAGTTATAAATTTTTATGACCATGTTCACTGTCATCAAAACAGATATTTCTTTCTTATGAAAACGGAATTGGATGTAACCTAAAGCTGAGTCTTTAATGTAGTAGGAAAAATAGTTTGCGCAGCAGTAACAGTAAGTAATAGCCCCAGAATATATAGGGCTTCTCTTTTCTTCAGATGTGTACTGAATTGTTTTTCATTTTCAGGTGGGAGATGGGACAACCAGTGTAACTTTACTTGCAGGAGAATTTCTTAAACAGTGTAAACCATTTATAGAAGAGGGTGTTCATCCAAATATAATCATCAGAGCCTTTAGGAAAGCAACTAATTTGGTAAGTGTTTTTGACTACCCATGCATACGGAGAGTTTGTACAATATGCCTTAATAAGTCCAATACACAATAGTTAAGAAATTTTCTTTACTAAAAGAGTTTTCAGATTGTTGGCATTTTGGATAAATGTACTTTTTTCGAATCTCTTTCTACTGGAGTGATGGGGAAGTGGAAATGTTTGTAAAAAATTTATAGCAGTCCCATTATATAAAATAAATCTGTAGATTTTTAAATGCCTCTCATACATTGTATGGTGTTTCTTGTTTCAGGCTGTTTCAAAGATAAGGGAAATTTCTGTTAAAGTCCAAAAGGATGATCCAAAGTGAGTAGGAAAAGATTTTTTTTACTGACAATGTGATTTTATGGCTTATGAACTGGTAGATTATATAATGATTTTTTAGACAGTCAAGTATTTTCTAATGTGTTGATGTGCAGCCACAAGTTAGTCAACTGAATATTTGTTTTCTCTCATTTGTTTGGTGTTACGCTTGTGGTAGATTAATCTGCTCTGTCCTTGGATCAGCCTCAGTCCGTACTGGCCTGGGAGATCTCTGTGGACAGGGTATGGATGTTTTAGAGAGTTGGTGAGGGTTTTTCTAGTAACCCTGATCATAGTCATCAAAACATACATTTTTTTAAACCCATGTAGGATATTATTTTATGTAGAATATAAATAAAAACATCTAAGGCTTAAAATTAACTTTATTTTGAATAAGTTTGTAGCTGTAGATGCATGTCATAAAGTCTGCAAGTTGGAGTCATAGTCCTCCTTTAAATGTACATTTTTTCCCAAAAATTATAATTCTATTTTTGAATGTTAAGTGAAATTAACTATTGAGGTGTATTTTTTTTTTGTGTGTGTGTGTGTGTGTAAATTGATGGTCGTCACTTTTGTCTAAGAAAACATGGGTAGACAAGATTCTTGTATGGCATATAATGGCGATTTTACGCAATTTAAAGGTACATACGAACCGAGCATCGGTGGAGCGTGGATTCCCAGTAACACATGTAAACCACTTCTACTAGTTTCTTATACGACTCTAATAAATTCGACATGCCAAGGGATATTAAACTGAATAAATCACCCGATCAGCCATAAAAGAGCTTTAGAGTGCTCCTTTCTTTAAATTTTTGGTTGTCAATTTAACCTACTTTCGTGACCTACTTTTCTGCCCCATTGACATACAGCATAAAATGCTAGCAGAAAAATCTGTTCAAACATCACTTTCGGGTAAAATTAAACAATTTCCTTTTGGTGATTCTCTTAGTTATACTACTTGAAACTATATGGTAGCATTTGGTTGGTTTTTATGACAAAAAATTGACTTTGTATGTATCTTTAATAGTTAGTATAATTAGATAATGAAGTGCCAGCATGTAGATTTGTTTTCATAAATATTGATGAGCATCAAAGTTATCACCAGGAAAGTAGAAAAGAAAAATGGAATACACTGTGCACACATTTATATTTTTCAGACAAGGCAGGGAATTACTTTTGAAGTGTGCCTCCACTGCATTAAGTTCTAAGCTAGTAGCCATGCAGAAAGATTTCTTTGCCAGTATGGTGGTGGACGCTGTCATGTTGTTGGATGAATTACTTCCTTTGAACATGATTGGTGTGAAGAAGGTGCAAGGAGGAGCTTTAGAGGTAACTATGGTTCGGACATTGTTATGAAACAATTTATATCTAGACCATCCATACACAGATACTAAAGAGAAAAATATATAAGGGGTGTAAAAAACTTCATTTGTACAGATACAATCAATGATGTCACAATGATGCATTACCAAAACATAACATTTTCTTATCATGGCCATGCATCTGAATAAAGACCTGATTTAAGTTTGTAAGCAATTTTTTTCAGGATTCCTTACTAGTTGCTGGAGTGGCCTTCAAAAAGACTTTTAGTTATGCTGGATTTGAAATGCAACCAAAGAAATACACAAAACCAAGAATTGCCTTGTTGAATATTGAACTGGAACTCAAGGCAGAGAAAGAAAATGCTGAAGTCAGAGTTGATTCTGTAGAGGTAAATGGAATAAACTATTTGAACTTACTTTGAAAAAAGACGATGGCAAAAAAGTGTAAAACTGACAAAAATGAGTTATTGGCAATATCAATTCAGTAAGGTTCTCGCGAGAAAATTAAAATTTGAGTTAAAGAGCTAGTATACTGAAACAGAAAAAGTGGGTTCCATCTTTTCTAATTTTTTTAATGTTATAGGAGTACCAAGCTGTTGTTGATGCTGAGTGGAACATTCTGTACGAAAAATTAGAAAAAATCCATAAGAGTGGGGCCAAAGTTGTGCTTTCCAAACTTCCAATTGGTGATGTGGCTACACAGTATTTTGCAGACAGGTGAGGGATGGGTTGAGTTCAATGTAATAATTGGAAAAACCATTGTAAATGTTTTAATTGGGGAGGATACAATGGGCAATTCATCAAATTTGTAGGAAAGGTTAACTACTGTCTTATTTTTCAACTGTTATCAACACCCCTTTTCATCCCAAAGAAATAACGAAATCAATAGTATTACTTCTATGCTGTGCCAAATTGATTTATCATATATTTGGGCATTTTTATGAACAACATTTAAATCTACTTAGGGATCTGTTCTGTGCTGGCCGAGTACCAGACGAGGACTTGAAAAGAACACTGAAGGCTTGTGGAGGTTCCATTCAAACCACAGTGGCAAATCTCACGGATGATGTACTAGGCACCTGTGAGCTGTTTGAGGAACAGCAGATAGGTGGAGAGAGGTAATATGCACAGTTTCTTATTTAAAAAAAGAAGAAAGTTGATGGTGAATAACATTTCTGCATTACCTGCTCTTCACTTTGACTAGCAAGGCAGACTTGCTAGTTAAGCTCTTCAAATATTGAATGGTGTGAGTCACATAAATGCTTTGACTTTGTTAAATATACATCCGAAACCTTGCCTTCAAATTTTAATATGGCATGTGAATTGAATGTTAGTCATTTCTGTATTTACAGGTTTAATATATTTACTGGGTGTCCTCAAGCAAAGACTTGCACTCTGATCTTGAGAGGAGGTGCTGAGCAGTTCATTGAGGAGACGGAGAGGTCCCTACACGATGCTATCATGATCGTCAGGAGGGCGATAAAGAATGATGCTGTAGTAGCAGGTAAGCGTGATCTTTTACACCTATGAAGAGACATGTAACCAGGCATTTAATAGATTAAAAAGGCATATATTGTTGATTGGTAATTGTATATCATTTTAGGCAAATTCCAGTCTAAAATTTAGGTTAAAGGTGTCATTTTTTCATTACTTTCTTTGGTTTTAACTGGAGTTTTTTGTTTCAGGTGGTGGAGCTATTGAAATGGAATTAAGTAAATATTTAAGGGACCACTCTCGTACAATTGCTGGCAAGGAGCAGCTACTCATTGGAGCCATGGCCAAGGCTCTGGAGGTCATTCCTAGACAGCTGTGTGATAATGCTGGCTTTGATGCTACTAATATTCTCAATAAATTGCGACAGAAACATGCACAAGGTGTGTAGAAGTATTTCATTACTTCCTTTTCTAATGTGCTCTTCCAGAAGAGTATTTTTGTTAAATGAACAGTTACTTTAGGATGAAAATTCAGAAATATTGAAGGTTAATTTTAAAAACAAAATTTTCATTCAGGTTTTTTCCGTGATGATAAGTTGATAGGTTAGAAACAGTATTATGTTCACTGGTGTTTTTTCACACAATAGTTACATTTGTATAATAAATAGATGGTCTCATTTTGTCATTTTAGGTGGCACATGGTATGGAGTTGACATTACAGCTGAAGATATTGCTGATAATTTGAAGGCTTGTGTGTGGGAACCAGCCATAGTAAAAATCAATGCTCTTACAGCAGCCTCTGAGGCTGCATGCCTCATACTCTCTGTGGATGAGACAATCAAGAATCCAAAGGCTGGTGAGGGAGGTCCTGCAGGCAGAGGCCGAGGCAGGCCTATGTGATGATTATATAGTTTACTCTTGGCTTGACACTACATGGACTTGAAGTGAGGACCAACACTGGACTCTGTTGATGCTTATGGGTTGCATCTGCGTGGCTCTTACAGATACATGCTCACCTTTGAAAACTGTCAACTACTCATCTAGATAACTGGCATACAATATCAGTTGTTTGCAAATAGGGGATAAAATCTGTGGATGTATGGCTTATCATAGATGGTTGGAACTCCACAAAGGGGTATTAACAATAACAGTGGTTGCCAATATGATGAACAAAATTATTTAAATAGTCAATTGTGATGTGTCATTATCATATATTATATCGTGTGACTTTTCTTTTGTAAATTGAAATTGTTTTGCACCAATTAACGGCGTTTTGTTTTAAGAATAAAGAAAAATCTTGTAAAGAAACTGTTGTGAGACAATTGTTTCAAGTGCTTAGCCTGTGGTTTTGGGTGTGGATGGTGATGTGGGACACCCATTTTACTTTGTCTACATTGTAGGACAAACAAGGTGGACATGCTTTTAACATAACTCTTGCATTACAATATTGTATTATTCCAGGTGAAATTATAGTTGCATTCAACGCATTGCATGTATGAAAAAATTAAGTGCCAGTTTATGTACACATGTTGTAAAGATGTTTTATTCCCTCCTAAATACAAGACGTACATTTACAAAAGGACATGTCCCTCACAACTTATATTGCACATAAAGACGTGACAGAAAACTATGTACTAGAAAACTGCTCTCAACAAATCTAGGTAGTAATTCATTGTCCAGCTTTATGCAGCTTGTCCATCTAAATCGACTTCCTTCCAGTGATGAAGAAATCGATATCTATTATCATTTCTAAACAACATGCATAGTCTTCATAAAGCCAACTCTGGAGCAAATGAGAACCATCTTTCTTCCATCTTTTTCTGCATAAAATCCAGGTCCAACATCGTCAGTCCACAATGATTATTTATATTCATATTTACAAAAGTATTAATTACATCTAGAACTACCCCTGATCAGAGGTGCAGCTGTGTTGAAGGGCACCTGAAATAAAATGCAAGGCCATTAAAACTTAATACAGCTGATCAAACAGCTATAATTTTTCAAATTACAAAAATTTAGTTTGAGACCTCTCTCAATTATTCACCTAATAATTTAAAGTGTTGTTTATCTTGAAACACACTGATCTTCCATGGAAGAGAATTTTTCTTTGGTAAAAGCAGTAATCACTATGAACATTGCTTCATTTAAATCTTCTCATAAAATGCAAAAAAAACTTCGGTTCTCTTCAGAGTGACATAGGATCTTCTGTATCAGGAGTAAAACAAAAAACTTCTGTAACAAACCAGTTGAATTAGTGAGACAACCAGGCTCTGAAACTTTTTAAGAATGCATTTTTATCAAGTTACCTGTTCTATCACTTCCACCTTTGTGAAATATGATAAGCTTCATCTCCTTTAATCAGGGGTCCCAACAATGGATTGAGTTGAAATGCCCATGTGATAAACCAGCTACAAACACAAAAAAATATTAACTACAAACAATCGTTTTAAAACTGATCATTTATCAATGCTCATCTACTTTATTTTGTAATTTATTATTTGAAGCGCCCACTTCAATTATAAACATATAGTGAGTATACAAAATACTTTTACAAACTCCTTTCATGTTACTTTGGATAATTAAAAATATGCAACAATGAATTGTTTTCTTTGTGACAAAGCAGTGCTAAAAATTCTGGCTAATGTTGCTTTCAATGACGGCTAAAAGTTAATATTTAATAAGCTTAAATGCCCCAAATGATACATTTGTCTACATAACATGTAAACATTTATGGCAAATATGAAACACTTCACCCAAAGATTCCAACATTTGGAACTTAACAGGCAGGGCAAGTCCGAAAATATGTGTAAACAAAAGTCAGTTCACAAAGTACTGAGCTGAGAGGAATGGCGATTGATATTACACAGGATAACATTTCAGGAGTATTATTTGAAATTCTGTTTTCTCAGTTATCAATGTCGGATGTGGGACTTAAACAAAATGTGAAACAGCCTCTTATAACCTTGGACATTTGGAAACATTACTTTTGCTTACACAGATGTTTACTTACAAAAACCAGCAACAAAAGGCTGTGAGGACAAGCATCAATCTGATAACTCTGGAAAATAGAGAGATGGTACATACAAGTAGATATTTAACAACAGAGTTGTAGGACTATAAATACCGTGATAAAAGTTTTAAATAGTCATTATCTTTATTATTATTTTAATGTCGTTTTCAAAATGATCAATAATTAAATGGAAGACTACACGTCTTCTGAAAAAAATCAAAGGCTTTCGTATAATTATTGAATTTAACATTCTATCATTGTGTGATGCATTGTTTTAAAGTGCTGAAAACATAGATAATAACCGTTCAATTTCAATCTTGTAAATGTATTGCAAATGATCACGAAAACAAATTGAGAAAATAAAGTAAAAATCATTCCCTGGTCTGGAGAATGTCAAATGGTAACGCTGGTACCCTTAATTCACCTGAAAGGGATATTCCCAAGTGTAAGACATACTTACCCCCTATTTTCTCCCTTTGGTACAAACCATGGTGCTACAACTCCTACTAAAAACCAAAATCCAGACACAACAGCTAAAGGAATTGCGATATTTTCGTGGTTCACCATTTTCAAGCAGTCATGAGACAAGCCGGAATAGGAAGTGACGTCAGTAATGAGGAAGTTTAGCAATAAATTTACCCAGCACACCATTCGGCTTCCGAGCATGTGCTCTCTGTTTTTGTAAACAAATTACAGCAAAACACATATATATATATATATATATATATATAAATTTGCTAGCTGTCAGCTACCTGAGGATGTGGCGGGGGGTTTTATCGGGCTGGAGAGGGCAGTTTAACATATTGCAAAGCAATGCATTGTGTACCACCACTAGGAAGGCGTCAAATGTAGCGCCAAAATTTGCCGCAAAAGAAGATCAAATGAAAACAGAATATGATGCAATTGTTATTGGTGCAGGTAAATAATAATGAGCCATAATACAGTATAAGCATTTTCACAATATCGCAAACCAGTCAAGTGATATTTTTTTCTACTGAAATGACTTTAAATGAAGTATATATTTCTAATTTTTGTTGGTCGATATAATATTTCTATTAGATTGGCTTTTTCTCTCCCCAGTGGCGGATTTTTTTTTGGGGGGGGGGGTCAGGGGAGTCTTGCCCCCCCCCCCCCCCTTCGATTTTTTAAAAAAGTTACACCAATGTTCCCCTCTTGAAATTAGAATTTTGACTATCTAAATCATAGTTCTTAACCGTACCAAATGGCAACCTTTGCCCTCTAAAATACCAATTTTTTGGGGGCCCTTCATTGTGCCCCGAATCTCACACAGGGGAGGGGGGGATCGGATTGGCATCCGCAGCCTATCTTTCCTAAAAACTGGACCTCCCCTTCAAATAATCCTGGATCTGCCCCTGCTTCCCTTCCCCAGCCCTCACATTCTTTTTTTATGTATGTTTATAATTTTTAATTTAATTATTCATCAGCTGCCTCCCCACGTTCTCTCTTCATGTTAATATTTTTGATATTGGCATCACTGTAACATTTTTCTACTAGTATCTACTGGTACAAGTACCATACATGCATATCTTTATCTATTACATATATCATTCAGCAATTTAATTTTATTACTAGCATATTTATCTACTACTATCTATATGTACCATACATGTACAGTATATCTTTATCTATTATCATTCAGCATGTTATTATATTGTTGTTTTTTTGGTAAAATATTTTTAATTGTTTATTGTTGCATTTTTAGGTCACAATGGATTGGTTGCGGTATGTTGAAAATGCCAAAACTAACAAATTATTAACTCTCTAAAATTCTTCATTATATTTTGCTTTTTACATATACATCTTAATTTACTATGGGTATATAATTAAAACAAATTTAATTGAGTATATATTACATTTGTTCTGTGCTATCCTTAACATTGAGATTAAATTCTCCTGTATCAAACTGGCTTACAATGATTTAGCCACATGGTTATAATAATGTTATTTGGTGAAAACTGAAAACTTGGTTAAAAATTATAATTATACTTTTTGAGACTGAATAAATAGGCTGCAGGCGTACAAGTATTTATAGTAGGTTTAATATGAACACTAAAGTGTTTACTAGTGCTTTTCTAAAATAATATAGATTAAAGGGATAATTACTGTTCGTTTTGGCCCAAAAATAAATTTTCCTGGAGTAAACAACAATTTTCCCATACTTACCAATGGTTAGTGAATTCATTTCTACATTCAAAGTTAGTCCCTGGTTTTTTTTCTAAAAAGTTTTTTTGTAATAATCTCTTTAGTGATTAGTTTGGCTTTTTATCTCTTAAGTGATTATTACAGAGCATAGCTGTCTATGGAGCTCAGATATCAGAATAATAGCTATAACTGCCATTTTTGTGGTAAAACAGAATATATTATATTTTTACAAGTTGTTTACAATGTTTTTGGTGTGAAATATAGATCTCGTACGAAGAGTTATTATCCCTTTAAAGCAAGCATTTGCACAGATTTTCTGACATATATTTTTGAGAAAATACCATGAGAATTTTTTTGATGAATACATTATATGCTGAATAGTTCCATTTGATATGTATTAATGTCTATAGAACATAATTCATTAGATCAACAGCAGCCAGATTTACTCATATAAACTGGAACCAGTATGTCAGATTTGATAAATGTAACACCTTTTAAAGGTTTATATTTTGTTGTATATATACTCTGTATATTCTATTTTTAAAAAACATAATTTTTAATAGGCAGCTTACCTTCAAAAGTCCGGACTGAATGTGTGTGTGCTGGAGAAAAGACATGTGATTGGTGGTGCAGCAGTCACTGAGGAAATTATTCCTGGTAAAAGAAGTTTTGCATATGTTTTTATTATGATTATAATAAGATACATATTTAATGAGTGAAGAATGTTTCCTTTAATATAAGAAAGGTTCTCTGAAGAAGCTAAAAATCTGTGTTAAAATTCAAAAGTTTATACACTAACTTGGTTGATTTATAAACAATGCAACTAAGGCCACACTTTTTTATTTTTATGGATGACATCCTCTGGGTACCCCAAAATCGGTGCGAGAGGGCGAAAAAAAAAAAAAACAGTCCAAAAAAAAAAAAACTGCTTAAGTAAAGGAATGCNTAGATGAGACAATCAAGAATCCAAAGGCTGGTGAGGGAGGTCCTGCAGGCAGAGGCCGAGGCAGGCCTATGTGATGATTATATAGTTTACTCTTGGCTTGACACTACATGGACTTGAAGTGAGGACCAACACTGGACTCTGTTGATGCTTATGGGTTGCATCTGCGTGGCTCTTACAGATACATGCTCACCTTTGAAAGCTGTCAACTACTCATCTAGATAACTGGCATACAATATCAGTTGTTTGCAAATAGGGGATAAAATCTGTGAATGTATGGCTTATCATAGATGGTTGGAACTCCACAAAGGGGTATTAACAATAACAGTGGTTGCCAATATGATGAACAAAATTATTTAAATAGTCAATTGTGATGTGTCATTATCATATATTATATCGTGTGACTTTTCTTTTGTAAATTGAAATTGTTTTGCACCAATTAACAGCGTTTTGTTTTAAGAATAAAGAAAAATCTTGTAAAGAAACTGTTGTGAGACAATTGTTTCAAGTGCTTAGCCTGTAGTTTTGGGTGTGGATGGTGATGTGGGACACCCGTTTTACTTTGTCTACATTGTAGGACAAACAAGGTGGACATGCTTTTAACACAACTCTTGCATTACAATATTGTATTATTCCAGGTGAAATTATAGTTGCATTCAACGCATTGCATGTATGAAAAAATTAAGTGCCAGTTTATGTACACATGTTGTAAAGATGTTTTATTCCCTCCTAAATACAAGACGTACATTTACAAAAGGACATGTCCCTCACAACTTATATTGCACATAAAGACGTGACAGAAAACTATGTACTAGAAAACTGCTCTCAACAAATCTAGGTAGTAATTCATTGTCCAGCTTTATGCAGCTTGTCCATCTAAATCAACTTCCTTCCAGTCATGAAGAAATCGATATCTATTATCATTTCTAAACAACATCCTTAGTCTTCATAAAGCCAACTCTGGAGCAAATGTGAACAATCTTTCTTCCATCTTTTTCTACATAAAATCCAGGTCCAACATCATCAGTCCACAATGATCATTTATATTCATATTTACAAAAGTATTAATTACATCTCGAACTACCCCTGATCAGAGGTGCAGCTGTGTTGAAGGGCACCTGAAATAAAATGCAAGGCCATTAAAACTTAATACAGCTGATCAAACAGCTATAATTTTTCAAGTTACAAAAATTTAGTTTGAGCCCTCTCTCAACTATTCACCTAATAATTTAAAGTGTTGTTTATCTTGAAACACACTGATCTTCCATGGAAGAGAATTTTTCTTTGGTAAAAGCAGTAATCACTATGAACATTGCTTCATTTAAATCTTCTCATAAGTTGCAAAAAAACTTCGGTTCTCTTCAGAGTGACATAGGATCTTCTGTATCAGGAGTAAAACAAAGAACTTCTGTAACAAACCAGTTGAATTAGTGAGACAACCAGGCTCTGAAACTTTTTAAGAATGCATTTTTATCAAGTTACCTGTTCTATCACTTCCACCTTTGTGAAATATGATACGCTTCATCTCCTTTAATCAGGGGTCCCAACAATGGATTGAGTTGAAATGCCCATGTGATAAACCAGCTACAAACACAAAAAAAATATTAACTACAAACAATCGTTTTAAAACTGATCATTTATCAATACTCATCTACTTTATTTTGTAATTTATAATTTGAAGCGCCCACTTCAATTATAAATATATAGTGAGTATACAAAATACTTTTACAAACTCCTTTCATGTTACTTTGGATAATTAAAAATATGCAACAATGAATTGTTTTCTTTGTGACAAAGCATTGCTAAAAATTCTGGCTAATGTTGCTTTCAATGACGGCTAAAAGTTAATATTTAATAAGCTTAAATGCCCCAAATGATACATTTGTCTACATAACATGTAAACATTTATGGCAAATATGAAACATTTCACCCAAAGATTCCAACATTTGGAATTTAACAGGCAGGGCAAGTCCGAAAATATGTGTAAACAAAAGTCAATTCACAAAGTACTGAGCTGAGAGGAATGGCGAATGATATTACACAGGATAACATTTCATGAGTATTCTCTGAAATTCTGTATTCTCAGTTATCAATGTCAGATGTGGGACTTAAACAAAATGTGAAACAGCCTCTTATAACCTTGGACATTTGGAAACATTACTTTTGTTTACACAGATGTTTACTTACAAAAACCAGCAACAAAAAGCTGTGAGGACAAGCATCAATCTGATAACTCTGGAAAATAGAGAGATAGTACATACAAGTAGATATTTTACAACAGAGTTGTAGGACTATAAATACTGCGATAAAAGTTTTAAATAGTCATTATCTTTATTATTATTTTAATGTCGTTTTCAAAATGATCAATAATTAAATGGAAGACTTCACGTCTTCTGAAAAAAATCAAAGGCTTTCGTATAATTATTGAATTTAACATTCTCACATTGTGTGATGCATTGCTTTAAAGTGCTGAAAACATAGATAATAACCGTTCAATTTCAATCTTGTAAATGTATTGCAAATGATCACGAAAACAAATTGAGAAAATAAAGGAAAAATCATTCCCTGGTCTGGAGAATGTCAAATGGTAACGCTGGTACCCTTAATTCACCTTAAAGGGATATTCCCAAGTGTAAGAAATACTTACCCCCTATTTTCTCCCTTTGGTACAAACCATGGTGCTACAACTCCTACTAAGAACCAAAATCCAGACACAACAGCTAAAGGAATTGCGATATTTTCGTGGTTTACCATTTTGAAGCAGTCATGAGACAAGCCGGAATAGGAAGTGACGTCAGTAATGAGGAAGTTTAGCAATAAATTTACCCAGCACACCATTCGGCTTCCGAGCATGTGCTCTCTGTTTTTGTAAACAAATACAGCAAAACACATATATATATATTAATTTGCTAGCTGTCAGCTACCCGAGGATGTGGCGGTGGGTTTTATCGGGCTGGAGAGGGCAGTTTAACATACTGCACAGCAGTGCATTGTGTACCACCACCAGGAAGGCGTCAAATGTAGCGGCAAAATTTGCCGCAAAAGAAGATCAAATGAAAACAGAATATGATGCAATTGTTATTGGTGCAGGTAAATAATAATGAGCCATAATACAGTAAGCATTTTCACAAAATCGCAAACCAGTCAAGTGATCCTTGTTTCTACTGAAATGACTTTAAATGAAGTATATACTTCTAATTTTTGTTGGTCGATATAATTTTTAATTTAGATTGGCTTTTTCTCCTCCTAGTGGCAGCTTTGGGAAGGGGGGGGGGGAAGGAGGGGTCAGGGGAGTCGTGCCCCCCTTCCATTTCATGAAAAAATTACACCAATGGCCCCCTCTTGAAATTAGAATTTTGACTATCTAAATCGTAGTTCTAAACCGTACCAAATGGCAACCTTTGCCCTCTAAAATACCAAGTTTTTTGGGGGCCCTTCAGTGGGCCCCGAACCCCACACAGGGGAGGGGGGGGGGGGGTCGGCTTGGCATCCGCAGCCTATCTTTCCTAAAAACTTGACCTCCCCTTCAAATAATCCTGGATCTGCCCCTGCTCCCCTTCCCCAACCCTCACATTCTTTTTTTATGTATGTTTATAAGTTTTAATTTAATTATTCATCAGCTGCCTCCCCACGCTCTCTCTTCATGTTAATATTTTTTATATTGGCATCGCTGTCACATTTTTCTACTAGTATCTATTAGTACAAGTACCATACATGCATACATGTATCTTTATCTATTACATATATCATTCAGCAGTTTAATTTTATTACTAGCATATTTATCTACTAGTTTCTTCATGTACCATACATGTATATCTTTATCTATTATCATTCAGCATGTTATTATATTGTTGTTTTTGTGGTAAAATATTTTTAATTGTTTATTGTTGCATTTTTAGGTCACAATGGATTGGTTGCGGTATGTTGAAAATGCCAAAATTGACAAATTATTAACTCTCTAAAATTCTTCATTATATTTTGCTTTTTACATATTATATCTTAATTTACTATGGGTATGTAATTAAAACAAACTTAAAGGAGTATATATTAGATTTATTCTGTGCTATCCTTAACATTGAGATTAAATTCTCCTGTATCAAACTGGCTTACAATGATTTAGCCACATGGTTATAATAATGTTATTTGGTGAAAACTGAAAACTTGGTTAAAAAATTATAATTATACTTTTTGTGACTGAATAAATAGGCTGCAGGTGTACAAGTATTTATAGTAGGTTTAATATGAACACTAAAGTGTTTACTAGTGCTTTTCTAAAATAATATAGATTAAAGGGATAATAACTGTTCATTTTGGCCAAAAAAAAAATTTTCCTGGAGTAAACAACAATTTTCCCATACTTACCAATGGTTAGTGAATTCATTTCTACATTCAAAGTTAGTCCCTGGTTTTTTTCTAATAAGTTTTTTTTGTAATAATCTCTTTAGTGATTAGTTTGGCTTTTTATCTCTTAAGTGATTATTACAGAGCATAGCTGTCTATGGAGCTCAGATATCAGAATAATAGCTATAACTGCCGTTTTTGTGGTAAAACAGAATATATTATATTTCTACGAGTTGTTAACAATGTTTTTGGTGTGAAATATAGATCTGGTACGAAGAGTTATTATCCCTTTAAAGCAAACATTTGCACAGATTTTCTGAGATATATTTTTGAGAAAATACCATGAGAATTTTTTTGATGAATACATTATATGCTGAATAGTTCCATTTGATATGTATTAATGTCTATATATAGAACATAAATTCATTAGATCAACAGCAGCCAGATTTACTCATATAAACTGGAACCAGTATGTCAGATTTGATAAATATAACACCTTTTAAAGGTTTATATTTTGTTGTTTATATTTTGTTGTATATATACCCTGTATATTCTATTTTTAAAAAACATAATTTTAATAGGCAGCTTACCTTCAAAAGTCCGGACTGAATGTGTGTGTGCTGGAGAAAAGACATGTGATTGGTGGTGCAGCAGTCACTGAGGAAATTATTCCTGGTAAAAGAAGTTTTGCATATGTTTTTATTATAATTATAATAAGATACATATTTAATGAGTGAAGAATGTTTCCTTTAATATAAGAAAGGTTCTCTGAAGAAGCTAAAAATCTGTGTTAAAATTCAAAAGTTTATACACTAACTTGGTTGATTTATAAACAATGCAACTAATGGACAACCTTGAAGTAAAGAAATTCATTTTAATCAATTCTGTTGCATTATTTCTGAAAATATTAAATTGGGGTAGTTGGGGTTCTTTCTGGTCATCATGTTTAAAAAAACTGTATTCTTTCAGGATTTAAATTTTCAAGGGCATCCTATGTGCTTAGTTTGTTGAGGCCCCAGATTATTCAGGATTTGGAGCTCAAGGTAAGTTGGCATTATATGGACACAATTCAAATCTTTGTTTTTTGTTTACTTTTTTTACAAAAAAATCTAAAGTGTATTAGATGCTATAACAGGCCTAGCAGTTAGAGTGTACATAAATATCAGAAAAATGCCCAAATTGGGAGGATTTACCTGTTCTACTAGTTCATCACTTAATCCTAAATTTATATAATATAGCCACTCGGAAGAATCAACAATCAAAATAAAGTAAGTGTTTTTTTTTTACCTTTAGTGCACTGCCAAGCAGATCTACTGGAGTATATGTCATAGATTTGAACTTTTCTTATGCTATAATTGCAGAAACATGGACTTAAAGTGTACCTGAGAGATCCAAATTCCTACACTCCTGTGCTTGGGGCAACCAAAGACAGTAGCTGCCGTTCCTTGATCCTTGGAAGAGATGCCAGTGCAAATTACAGACAGATAGCTCAGTTTTCCAAAAAGGATGCAGATGTAACAAAAGGCTTTTGAATTTTATTAAGTTTTTAGTTGACTATGGTTCAATTTAACATGCATGTACCTTCAGATCACATTGATGTTGACAGGTCATCTTAAAAATATTCTGGAAAACAAAGAAGTTTTTTTTATCAAACTTTTCTGCCTAATGTTATCAAGTGTCATTTACAAAAAACCTCTAGAACTTTGATTACTGATTTTTTTCCAGAAAGAAAAAAGTCTTATCAAAATGAAAACTTCCTGCTTAATAGTGCATTATGTGATACAGGTATGAAATACATTTTAAGCATATACCAAAAACGTCTGCTGTAATATATTGTAGAACAAAAACTGATTTCCAGCACATGTTGTAGGCATACACCAGATATGAGCATCAACTTAGCTTAATGGCTGCTGCCATTGAACCCTTACTAGATTCCTCACCAGTAGATGTAAAACGGTTCATAGAAGGATCAATATCTGACAAGATGAAATGCTTGCCTGCTATCAGAGCTGCTGTACAAGCTGGTAAGTGTTTTGAATTGATAATTTGAATAAGTCATTAACCATCAAAGAGTAATATGTTATCAACTTTTTTTTTTAGATTACCAAAATAGTTCACTCTGGAAGTGCACATGTCACACTTGGTACAATTACATATAACATTTTTTTTTTGTTGACCAAAACACTGAAGTATATAAAAGTTTCTTTTTGCATAAATTGAATATTTTAATCTAAGTTACTCTTTTTCATTTCTTATGTCTGTGTGATTCTTAGTATTTTTTATTATTTTTAATTTCAAAAGATTTTTGTAGTTCTTTGCAGGTTTATCTTTTGCCATACTGGGGGTGCTTTGCTTAGGGATAAATGGAATATTGTTCAAAGCTACATGTAGTTGTATAAATTATATATATGCTCAAACTACTTTGAAATTGTCATTCATTTCAAAACTTTTGATCTTTCCAGTGGTTATAGTAAATCCTTTCCAACATCCAAAGTTAGTCTGTTGTTTTTTGAAGTGTGTTTTGTGTAATAATCTCCTAAGGGATTAGTACAGAGGGTAGCTACTATGAATGTCCATGTGGTGTAATGACAAACACAGATTTCAGAATGATTGCAGTAACCACCATTTTAGTGGTAAAATGGAATTTATTACATTTCTATGTGTTTTTCGAATAATTTATTGTGTAATTATGAATCCGTAATGAAAAGTTGTTCCACAGTTCCTTTCATTTATTTTTTATTTTGTACAGGGTACTGGAAGGGGCAGAGTTTCTGAACTGGTCTTATTTGGTTTGTTCTTTTACCTGCTTTATGTTTTGCTGTATATTGCTTTCATATGCACCCGGATATAAGCAGAAAAACCATGCATGTTCCAAATTAACTGCTTAACACATGTATAAATTGAGCTTGAGGGCAGGTGGTAAAATTGCAATGGTTTTATTTCTGTCGATGTGCTTGCTTTTCCTATAAAATATTTTTATTCATTACACAACTGTTTTCAAATGCATAATACCTCATTTTTCTCATGAAAAAGGTATTTAAAGTAGTCATTTACATATTTCATTCCTGATAAGATAATGAAAGAAGAAAGAGCAGAATGCACAGCCTACATTCTACAAGCAAGGGAATGCTTGCTGTAATCCGGATGCAAAAAAATATTTGGACAAAAATATATTATTTAGTAACATTGATGATTATGCCACTATAAATGTTATTGCGTACCATTAGAAGACATGAGAGAAAGGTGATCTTATATATTTTGGTGCAAAAAATAATGTATGAATAAAAGTAAATATTATAAGCAGCCTTTCCTGCTAAGGAGGGATTATTTTTTGTTCCACCAGAGCCTGCAATCTACAGTGCTGAAACAATCATGTGACTTGATTATTCACTAAGAAAGTTTAGACTTTTTTCAACTAAAGTTAACAGATAATTTTTCTCTCATCGATGACAATATTTGCTTCTCTTTGGTTGCTTATTTTCAAGTGAATGTTTGTCTGCATGACCATGCTACAGTGTCTACTGGTAAGCTTGTGCATATGTGTTTGATAAACGTATATTATCAATTAAGCTTGCTTTTCTTTGGTAACACACTTTGCTTGTTAAAAGTTGAAGGTTTGTGCTTTATATGTTGGAAAAAGTAAGGTAAGAAGGAGAGTGATCACTGATGGTCCACATTGGTGATATTACTTGAATATTTTTTATCATAGATGAATTGATTTCTTAGTTAGAACTAGGGTCCATTTCCTGGGTTGTGCATGTTGTTATAGCTTATATATATATATATATATAATTGATTAATTAATTAATTAATATATTTAATTGATTAATTAATTAATTTAAGGCCAGTAATGTAAAGTTGTGTCGACTACAACGTGTTATGCTCTTTAAAAATTATACAAAAAGAATTTTGAAGTTAACACAGTGACATTGAAGCACATGGCATATGTTTATAGGCATAATATTCAAATAAATGAAGCCTATACTGCATAAAATTGTGCAGGTACTGTGTAAAGTGGTGATATTTTATAATAGCAGATTCTTATAACTTATTCAGCAGTTCATGCATGCTCAGAATTATTATTTCATTCTCTCTGAAATCATAAGTAAAATTTTGATTAACCCATATCAAGAACATCAATTGGATGCCCTTGTCCCAATAGAAAAAAAAACTGTTCTAAAAGAGAAATATGGTGTAGTTTAGATGACAATTTTCTTTTAGATTTTGAAATTTAGATATCATTTCTCAAATAATTTTTCAAATACTTAATTCATTTTGATGCAGTTTGTGTGTATGGTTGTTTATTATTTTCTTTTCATTCCAGGAAAGATCTTGGGCAAAGAGATTCCTTCTTTCTTTGAAATGCTCACTGCCCCAGCAGCAAAGGTACTAGTATAGTGGAATATAAGTAGATGCACAATTGTTTTAAAATTACTTTTGAAAAGTGAACATAATTTTTCCCTTCTTTTACACTAAAATCTTTTCTTTGCCTGAAATGAAAGGTGACATTGAAGCTAAAAGCATTTCTTTAAAGAAATTATCCCGTGATTTTGATACCTAAACTTCATGACTTTTGTTTTGTGGTTATCAGGTGTTGGATCGGTGGTTTGACTGTGATCCACTGAAGGCGACACTGGCCACAGATGCTGTGATTGGGGCATGGCTGTCACCACACACACCAGGATCTGGGTATGAATGTCAACGTCTTGTTACTCAAAACTTACTATGAAAATAACCAAGTTTGTGAAATGAAATCAGTCTGACCAGCTTTGATTTGCACCTTCCTTAACTTGCATAATATTTTTCTATATTCAGTTATGTTCTCCTCCACCATGTGATGGGAGAGCTGGAAGGCATCAAGGGAGCCTGGGGTTATGTGGAAGGTGGTATGGGAGCAGTGTCACAGGCTATAGCCAATGCTGCTGTGTCATATGGAGCCAGCATATTTACTGAGAAGGTACCTAAGAGTAGTTTTTTATTAACAAGAAGAGACGGTATAAAGTAGGGCATGAGCTGTTAAGTGCAGAAAAAGGAAAAAGTTTCATTGATAATTAACTTACTTATACTTTCAATAATTTTAATAATTATACTTTTTATAATATTTTAATTTCTAGTTTCCATAAATGAAAAATTGTGATTATGTTTGAAATTCAGAAGGCTAAAACTGCTACAGTTTTGGTAGCCACTTGATGGCAATGCTGAATGTGATTTTAATATTGCAAAATATGTTTAAGCATACAGGCACATGTGCACCAATGTACATTCATACATGCAGTCGTGCATTCTCTCTCTCTCTCTCTCTCTCTCTCTCTCCTATTTCTAGATTTCTAGATTAATTCTGTGTGAAGAAAGGTGTGTGAAAAAAAGTGAAAACAATGTTTAAAAAATGGGAAGGACCTGTAATCTCTGCAACGTATAAATTTAAACTGAAATGATGATGTCTCAATGTAAACTTAATTAATTACCAGCTATAATCATGTATCATACTATGTCAGCTGCTATACCTTATTTTCCTGTTGTAATCTCAATCAATAGAAGTAGTTAGAAATAGTAGTAGTAAACAATGTATCATTATCTAACTTATTCTGTCGGTGAATAGCTACTCAGCTAAGGTTTGTACTTTCCAACATGAAATAAACTTTATTGTATTGTACTTTATTGTAGAACTTCCCTTTCAGCCTGTAGCCAGAGTTATGACCAGCAGTTCTGGGGAGACATCAGGTGTGTGTCTGCAGGATGGTACAGAGCTTAGAGCACGGATTGTTCTGTCTAATGCCACACCCAAGGTGACATACCTGGATCTTATGGAGGAGGTATGTGCAGGAGTTGAGTCCATTCAGCTTTGTTTGTGCATATTTGTATTCCATCTAGTATGTGAGTACAAGGTGAACAAGGTTGTAGTCATCAGAATGCAAAGCGCTGTATTTTTTTTGTGATTAAGAATACATGTTGCAGAACACAGGAACACATAAACAAAAAAATTCTCCCCAGTGCAGTGACTCTTCAACACATTGTGCACATATACATGGATGAATTCATGTGTATATCAGTGGTTATTTGTATATGTGTGACTGAATGGATTTGTTTGTGTATAAGACAGTATTTGTATTTCATGTTGTTGAATATCTCATTTGATATGGTTTTGTTTGATTAAGAAACATTCATGAATTTCATTAGATTATTAGTAAGATTAACATATGGCCAAGTAAATTTTGTAATTCATTAATGAGAAAAGAATTTATATTATTTACTGTTGTATTTATAATTTTAAGGAAATAATTTTTAATCTTCCAGGATGCTGTAACTGAAGATTTTCGCAAAGACATCTCATTCATAGACTACAGATCACCCGTAACTAAGATAAATGGTAAAAAGTCACATAATACTTCAAGTAAAGTGCATGCACCTTACATTTGATTGTAATAATTTTGCAGTGAAAAAGGGAAGTAAGTTATGATGAAAATGGTTATTTTTTGGGGGGGAAAGTAATCTTATTAGTGTAAACCTTTTTGAACTTGAGTGAGAAGAATTTGATATATTTTACTTGGTACATATTTACTTAAGTTTAAAATGGATTACAGTTACTGTGCAGAACTGGACCCATTTAAGTAATGGCTTCAGAAGTTCAGAATGTGCATAACATTCCTAATTAATAATTGTATTTGAATAGATGCCATTTTAAAATAATAAATATTTTGTGATATTATGGATTTTGATCATGGTTACTGAATTTTGCTCTAGTTGCTGTAAACAAACTTCCCAACTTTCTTGCGGATCCAAACACCAATGGCACCAGCCCAATGCCACACCATCATGGCACCATTCATCTGAACTCTGAACACATGGATCTCATCCACCAGGCTTTTAAGGATGCAGAGTCTGGGTCATGGAGTAAAAGGTAGGATTTTTGATGGTCTTATACGATGAGAGTTTACCTCTTCTAGTATAGGAGGTTATGTTTTTAATTGCATTGGTGCTGTATGTCGCTGGACAAGATATCTCAAAAAGTTCTCCACAATGTTTTATTTATACCATCTATCTGAAGTTATGTTAACATTGTTATTATCTGATTTGCTTTAGACCAGTGTTGGAGATGACCATTCCATCTAGTTTGGACCCCACCATCTCCCCTCCTGGCAGCCATGTGGTGCTGCTGTTCACACAGTACACACCTTATCATTTGGCAGGAGGTAGAGAATGGACCCAGCAGGACAAACAGGATTATATGGATACCGGTAGAAAAATTATTGTGATTTTAATTTTCAAGGAAAGATTTACACAGGCCTGTGAAGTAGTCTTGTAAAGTAACCAAGTTATTTTAAGGGATCATTATTTGGTAAATCTGAAAAATAATCTTAAATGCCCTCAACGAAATAGATGCCAATAGATTGCACTCCTCATTGGTTAGCCCAGGGTGCCACATAGGACAAGCATATTCAACAATAGAGAGAAATAAACTGGTTCACCAGTATAAGAACTTTAGAAGACAGTTAGGGTCTCCTATACTAAAATTTAGGCAATTTTTAAATAATACTGTTTTGATAATTAACATTATCAGAACAGTAAGATGGTATCTTTAGAAATGGTCTTTAGTTATGATTTGACAAACGTGTGATTATTGCATCTGTTTCAGTATTTGACTGTATTGAGGAATATGCCCCGGGGTTCAGGGACAGTGTGGTAGGGGTGGATATCTTGACCCCAAAAGACCTGGAGGACACATTTGGACTGACAGGAGGGGTGAGTATGTTTTTCATGCTGGTTTGTACATGCATACATGGATGTGTGTGTGTCCATCCAATATATGTTGTTTGTGCTTTAGTTAGGCAAACAAACATGCAAAGTCATGAAACACACATATCAGTATCATTCTCTTAATTTTCTGAATATGGGTTGGTAGTTTACAGAGTGTTTCCTAGAATTATAACAGAAATGTAATATGGAATTTCTAGACTGAATTTTAGGAAAGGGTCACTTCAGTCAAAAGAAGTATTGATAAGTATATAAACGACATGTTACAGAACATCTTCCATGGTGCCATGAGTCTGAACCAGTTTTATATAGGCCGTCCTCTGCCAGCCTGCTGTGGTTCCAGGTCTCCTGTCAAAGGACTTTACCTCTGTGGCAGTGGTGCACATCCAGGTAAATTTTAATGATTTTTATTTTCATTGAATTTTTCTTCTGTTTGTTCTTTTAAGTCTTGATATATTATTAAAAGTAATACTTATCTGTTGAGAAAATTATTATTATTTTAATTATATTTTCTGGTATCTGTTTGGCAAGTATGTGTGTAACAGTGAAGCTATTAGTTTTTTATATAGACAACCATTTTAAGCTGCTTGAATTTCAGGTGGAGGAGTTATGGGATCCCCAGGTCGGCTGGCAGCATTTTCAGCTATGGAGGATTTTAAGAAAAAATAAAAATGGATATAAACTAACATTACACAGTACAAGAGAATGGGTATGGGTACACAGTACATAATATGGGGATATGTTGGATATAATATGGAATTCTTCAGACAGATTTTAAAGACAAAATAGTAGTATTTTTATCAAGTAAATAGATCATTTATGTGATCTAGTTCTTAAGCAAATTTAATTGTGCCATACACCAGTGCTTAGTACAGAAAAAAGCTTGGCAAATAAAATTGTAAAAAGTCTTTTTCATAAATTGCAGCAAAAATCAACACCCAGGAGAGAGTGTGTAAGATGCATAGTACCAAGGATGTCATATTACCTATATGCCCTTAGTATAAATCAACAGTGGCCACTTAGAATAGGTGCTTGTGGCATGCTATGTATATTACTTTATCTCTGTTTATTATCAAACTTGCTCCAAAAGGAAAATGATTTCCGATTTTTGTAATTGGCTAAATAAACTCTTCTCTTATAACCTAAATGGCTTGCATATAAAAAAAGCTGTCATGATTTTGGAATGAATATCTACAGCACCTTGTAAGTAAAGACTATCCCATTTTTTTGGAATGAGTAATTTGGTACTACTTTGCGCTCCATCTTTTCCCACTTTCCCTCTATTTCAAGCTGCTTCATATATGGCTCCAGGTTTTTATATTCCTCTACATAATCAAGGTATTCTTCTCTCATGACGATACAAATAAGACCTCCTAAAACAAACAAAAAAAGCACAACGTGATTGGGAATTTTAAATATATATGAAAAAATAAAGGTTACATGTGACATTTTACAAAATTCTAAAAATAAGCGACACTTACAATGAGCAACTAAAAATTATCGAAAATCTGTATAACTGGCGTATTGGTCAGATAAGTTGTTAATTTATCCTACTGATGATCTCATATTTCGCCTCTTGTTTACCTCCAAGACTTATTTCTGTTCAAAGTTTATTACCTGTGCAAATCACATTACCTTTTTTCACTATTCGAATCATTTCATTTAGAGCTGAACATTTTATATGCCCTTCTCCCATTCCGCCCGAAATTACAATGGCATCGTACGTGTCTGGAAGTGAACGGTGCATATTCCTTTTATACCGTATTTCCTGCGCCTTTTTCATTATTCATACTCGATATCTTCTTTTTAATTGTCATAAGAACGTTAAGAAAAAAGTACGATAAATAATAAAATTCGTTTAGATGTAAGTAAACTTCAATTTAACATATGGTCTTATCAAAAGCTGAAACGAAATACTTAACTTTTATGATTTCGATGTTCTCATTACCTTCTTCAATACTGGCAGTGGGTTCAGAGGTAATGAAGCTATTAATTAACCGCCCATAAATATTTTTCCTTTCTGCTATGTTCAGTAATGTCTTGGAAGGATCTAGACCGTCGATGGCAGTAAAACCTCTATGATGCAACTGGGAAAATAAATAAAATGCCGACAATTTTTTATCCAAACACTCCATAATAAGCTAATGATATACCCACTGAAACGTCAAGAAAAACAAAATTTGAACATATACCGTGCAAGTGGTCCATAGGCATCTTAATTATTAGGTAAATATGAGATAATATAGACAATTGTGTGACTCACTTGTTCGCCAACCATACCAGTCCCTGCCGCGACGTCCAAGACGTACGCATCACGCCTGCCTTTCTCGAAGTGCTCCGCCAACGAAGTTGCTGCTATAACTGGTCCATTGTAGCGCCCGGCAAAATCCTAAAAGAAAAGCAAACCTAAATTAAAGTAAAGGTAGGCGGGCGAGTTTCTGCGGGAAGCGCTTGTTTAAAACAGAGGTTGGTCGCGTTCTCGTGACGTGATGCCAGTGGAAACGTGCATAGCAAATCCGAAAAATGGGAATTAAAACATGCATGCGTCAAATTTTGGACGCTGTCTAAAAAGCTGAGGAAACTTAACAAACCGGAGTTGCAAAGCAAGCACAAAAATTGCAGTCGCAAACCGGCGGGTACAAATGGGCGGCTGGAGCTCTGGTGTGTTTTTTTCCCATGTTGGATCCTAGTATAAACGTAGTCCCAGCTATACTTTTCTTATTCGCTCAATATTGCACAAAGACGCTTTCTTGATTCATTTTTGAATTTCTGATCAAATTTAGCTGCCATTTTTGTATGTAAGAGTATCAATCCGTGCTTAATAACAAAATATGATTTCTAAATAATTTTTTCAAACTGATTCACCTAAATACACTTAATATGGTACTAGAAAGAAATACCAGTAAAGTGATAAATGTTGCATTGTTTTGACACAAATGTCTTTCTTTTTCTTTAAAATTTATTGTAAGGTTCACATATCACATCTTTATTCGATCTTCAAAAAAAAAAAAAAATCCAAGTAAGCGTATGTACATGGAGTTAGGAAGGGTCTTGTTCTGATCGGATTTAAAGAATAATAGAATAATTTAAGGCTATGGAAAAGGAGAATAGAGAATAAAATAATTAAAAACTATATATGAGAGGGAATCGTAGCAGAGGTTAAGAATCTGCTCATTCCAAACGGGAGAGTTACAACTGCATTGGAAGGTATAGGCTAAATATTTAAGCCATAATTTCGATAATAAACAAAAGGCCAGGCATTGACCGATGTAGTGTACAGTTCTATAAATTCATTTTGACTCATTCAGAAGACGATGTATGTCAATCATCCAGAAGCAGGATTTACTGCAGTTGCGTGCATTGCCAAGGCAAAAAAAGAACAAAGCGTATTTAAAAATTAGAGGCCATTCTCACTTTTGATCTGCTAATAAAGCAAATAGTATGAAAAGTGAAGACACAGCGTGGTTTCGTTTCATTACCTTTTCATAGTTTTCTCCCCACTTGTTGTAAATTTCAACCATTTCTTCGGGTGCGATGCCTTCTCGGTGCGCCGAATAATTTGTGTTGTACGCGTGAATATCTTCACCTGGAACATCTTTCATTCCTTTTTCGTAGTGAGCCATGGTATATTTCTGTTTTTCGGTCTTTATGCGTGAAATGAGATGTAAAATGTTTTGGTTAAAAAGAACATGTACGTACAGATTTCTCACTGATTAAAAAATGGATAATAATGACGAGACACCTGTAGGCCTATGAAGGAGGCATATGGGATAAAAAAAAATTGCAAATTTACAATTCTAGTAATCTATGAAATAATGATAAATGAATTATCCAGACGTAAAGTATTTTAATTTACCCAATTTAAAGAATCGATTGTGTTCGTACTTAAAGGCACACATTTTAATTTTAATGAAATTAAATTTCACATTGAAAAGAACTCGCACAGTAGGCCTATAGGCCTTGATGTTTTAAACCCAAAGATCGACTGATATATGTTTGTTAGTTTGGAGTCGATCCCAGACTACCGGTACACCGGGTACCCTGTGGATCCCTTCGAAATCTGTATACCAGAAAAAATGAATAAGATGAATAAATGAAATAATGTAGCAGCCTGTGAATAAATGTATTGGGTAAGATATGAAACCAAATTGATCTGTATCGCAATTCAAACTGTCAGCGTAATAGGTATTTTGCAGTAAAAAACATTTCTTTGCAATAAACACTGTTGTTAGGCCTAATGAAAAATGCAAACAAGTTAATGCAGAAAAGTTTTTTCTGGTTACCTCCGCCAAGGAGGTTATGTTTTCACCCCTGTTTGTCTGTTTGTTTGTCTGTCATCAACATAACTCAAAAAGTTATGGACCGATTTTGATGAAATTTTCAGGGTAGGTCAGAAGTGGGCCAAGGAAGAGATAATTAGTTTTATGGTGTGATCCGGATCAATAATCAATATAATAATCAAAAATCGCTGCCTTGGCGGAGGTCTGCGCTCTCGGAGTGCTTTTCTAGTATTATTATCATTATTATTATTATTATTATAACTGAATGACAGACCTCTTAGTTGACGAACAGTATTCAGATGCACCGCAATAAATACTGATAACCATGCAGTGCCGGTGCATTATTGCAGTACGTGTTCGCTGAATGAGGGCGACATTATATACTGATAGGTCTATCTTGGCCTACAGCGACATCTATTACTACGCCTGCATACCAATGAAGCAAACAAAGCTGAAACGTTGACTTCTGAAATATCATAAACAAAGGTAAATTAAGGTATATGTGAGGGGGTATGAATGTAATTAAAATCATTTTTTGCAACGAGTTGATTTCTACTTAGGTTTTACCGCCTGCAGATTATATTTTAGCTGTAGCTACATCTTATACACATATAACTTGTAAGTTGCATTAGTTACTAGTACCATGCACTTCACGGTAGTTGTTATCGTCTAGGTTTTACATGCATTTAAAACGTAATGAATCCAGATACAGTCTCTTTGGGATAGTTAGACTATGTAAAACGACAAAAATGTGATAGAACTTACTTCAGCGACAGATTCGGGGTGAAACCGCTTGTTTCTTTGTTTGAGCAACAGGGCCGAATAATTCTGTAGCAGAAACACCAACCAGAAAATGAAACTTGATACTTGAACACATGTGGTGTAAGCCAGAAGCATTGCGATTAAGTTGTCTCTTTTGATTGGTGCTTGATTTGAGCTGTTCATTTAGATGGTTGAGAGCAAGTATAATTTCCTGTCTTCTTGGTGGATGTGTGTGTGAATGGTGAAAATTTATGTTGCTTATATTTCATGAAGATTTATTTAACTTGAAAGGTATTGATTAAACAATTTAAATGTGACTAAGTTGAGTGTGAAAGATTATTTTATTTTGGATCTTAAACAGTTTATAATAAAAAATAATCTAAAGACAATAGTTCATACTTTTACAGATAAAGACAAGTGCTGAAGTGCTGTCCAAAATGCCCGAGTCAAAAACTGGAATAAGAGAAGTCCTACCAAAGCAGGGCATGCTGCATCAAGAAGACATCCCAACCACAGTGCTCTGCAAACCAAAACTCCTTCCACTCAAATCAGTGACTTTAGAAAAACTGGAGAAAATGCAAAAAGAGGCACAAGAGACAGTGCGCAAACAGGAAGAAGAGGCACAGCAGCTAACACAACAAATGGCACAAAGCTCATTTTCATAGTAAAAGACCATGATTATAATATTGGACTCTGAATAAATAAGATGTACATTGTACATACTGTTACAGACTCAAACTGTGATATTGATAAGGACAGTTGTACTCTTAACAGTGAGATTTTATGGAAAATGATGATGAAATACAGGGATGATAAGTTCATCTATAGAAAATTCCATTCTAAGGATGCAAGAAGCCTGTAACTCTGATTATGGATCTCATTCTTGACAAAAATATTGTTTACATTTTGCATTAAGTATACAGTGAGGACAGATTTTATTATTTTTTTTTTTTTAGGAGAGGAAATGTAATGGAAAAATTGCATGCCAAGTCTTTCAAAATCTATGATAATCTTTAATCATCCATTTAACTTGATCAATCTTTTCGGATTTAGGAAGCACTCATTAATGCACAGAATGAAGTACATTTACAACATACACATCAACCAAGTACAAGTTTTAAGTCCTCTTTCATGAGTCTGAGGTTAACATACTTGGCATTTCCTGGTGGCCCTTCACAGTTATTTATTATTTATACGTATCATATTAAATAAAGTATATGTAGACAAATCGAGAAGGAAAGTTACTTTACAGTTTCCCGTTTTTACACCACATTGCCACTAATCTATGATTGGTACACATTTCGCTCATTGTGAACACAGATATCTACCCTGTATGATAAAAAGTGTTAGAAGTTTGAATGTCAAGTAAGGAAAAGTTTACTAAATATGATCGCTTGTTAATGCCAAATTAGCTATGAAAAGGATGATCTGCATAAAAACATTGTAAATCGTCAAAATACTTCATGAAGTCGAACACAACGTCATGACAGCATCCTGTATAATAGATCTTAGGGTATAGCATTGCCACTAGTATTAGACATGTATTTGAGAAACGAAGCGATATCTTGATGCCCAGGGTGCATTAAAACCACGTTATTTTCAATTTGCACGTGTCATTATTAAGATCGTTTTTTTTTTTTGTGATCTTTGTTATTATCAGTCCTAGAAATGACAGTCGAATGTGAATTGGTCTGTTAAGGAAATATCCAGACATTCTATGTCAAATCTGTGCACTATACTAGTATTGACGAAGCTTATTTGACGTTTATTTCGCAAAGCATTTTCATAAATGTCAGTCTTATGCGTTCCTCACATCATTGACCGACACACGACATGCAAAATGGAACTAAATTAATTTTCAGTACTTGAATAAAATAAGAAAAGACTCACTTCTGCTGTAGACTGTAAATCACTAGATCGTGTCGAAGTTTTCTTGGCGTTGCATGTTGACTACTGCGCTAAGAGGGGTCGAGTTATGTTGACCTCGCGTTAAACAAGGAGTTGCATCATGTACTTTCTTGCTCTAAATAGTATGACGATTCTCGTTTAACCCATTCCAAGTCACATAATCATCGAAAACTAGCAAGTCACCACGTGCAGATTTTTAAAATGGCTTCAGGTCGCTATTACTCGCACCGCTCTGTGGGAGTAATGAGTATAGCACTGCACAACTGTTCTGTTCCAGTGATGGACTTCATAAAAACACTGTTCGTTTGACCAAACCTTTATTTGTCGGTCTCAAGGTTTTGTCACAGGTGCAGCTATGCGTCCTTTATTTTATCATCTTTGTGTAGCTGTGGAAACGTAATTTTGAACTTTCTATAATATGTTGATCTATATGAAATCAAAATTTATTTAAAGTCCATATTTAGCTTCTTTTTCATTTATATAACATATTTCCTAAACACCGATAAAAACCAATTTTAATCCTTTAAAAATAGACAATTTTATCGTTTCTTCAGTCTGTAGGTGTCACTCACAGGTGAACAAGTAACAAGCAGGATAATAATGTGGCATTTATCAAAATTATTTCCTGCTTTTATTAGTAATGATTTTCTTTAAACCTTAAAACTGTAAACATGTTTAAAAACGTCCATTTCTCTTATAATACGTCGCATATATGATAGACATCTTCAAGTGTTAAACGTATTGCGACGCCAATGGCGTGTGCAGGCGTTACTAAGTAACGCTAAAGCTATTTGTGATAAGCTGCTCGCAAGCGAATAAGGCAATTTTTAATTTGAGTAAATTTTGTCGGTAATAATTATTGCGTTATATATGGCTTTCTTAGGCATGAAATACAGTTACATGTATATTTTTCACAGAGAAACGTTCAGACTGGAAAACGAAGCGAGTTATTGCTTTTTTTCGCATAACAAAAATCAAATTGTGGTTCATTTATATCTGTTTGATGTGCATTTCACCAGCAAAGGTGTATTTTCAGGTTAATGTTAATCAGGACATTTTATACTTTACCCATCAAGAATATGAAAAAAAAAAAAAAAAACGCCCTGACGACAAGGAACATGGTTTCAATCTTTTCAAATTAATAAAAACCTCTAGACAAAACGAATTTGACCCCTTTTTCCTTCAATTTCCCTAATTAATATGTAGCGTTATGGCTCTTTTCTGGAAGGAAGACACGATGATTCCGATTTTGGGAGATAAAGGATTCGATGCAGTGTACAAGGCATTGAACATATGATAAACAAACAAAATTGACACTTGTACAAGTAACATGTACTTACAGACGCAACAATATAAATTTTAGCAGAACATCAAGTAATTAGATAGAAAAATCAGAATATAGGAAAAGATAAAGATAACTTTGAACCAAAGTTACGTAAAATTAAAAAGGGACGTACCGAATTTTATTAGGCCTAATATAAGAATAGGCCTAGTGTGGAGAACAGTTTGTGAAGATTTTGGTGGCTTTATTTCGATCTACATTTTCCGCAAATATGCAGTAAAACTTGTTATAAAGAGACATATCTTACTGACTAAATGGCATATTCGACGTTTTGTCATGACAAGAAGTGTTGGCCGAAGAAGAGCTTGAGATGGGTCCTCTAACTGCAAACAGCAGCAATATTGTTGACAATTGAATGGCTAGGAGAACGCAGTGAACCGCCAGCTTCTTCAATGATTCATTCAAGTTTCATGATTATTTTGAAGTAGCTGACTCTATGAACAACCTGTCCATTTAATTACAAATTTATTTGGATGTAGGCCTATGTCTTTACATCAATTCAAAACCACGTGCCGCTTTCACTTTATGAAAAATGTAATATAAACAGCTATCAAAATCAATAAATAACAATCAGTCGAATTCAAGTTTCCCCTTTTTTTAGATTTGCAAATTATACATCTATTGCTCTCTGTCAGTTTCACCTAGATAAAATTAATTTTACTTGCTAAAATAACATGAAACTAGTCTCTGATACAGGCCTACGAAACCGTTCTTTGCTATATGTGACGTCACCAGATACTGGTATAACAGCTAGTCAAATAACTTGGTTCCATATGAAGAAAACTTCCACAACACTTATAGTTAATAAAAATGATTATTGGCATTTATTAAGAAATTTTCAAAGATGATGGTTACAAAAATTATTCTGAAACATGATGTCTAGCGAAAATGAGTGGTAAATGTAACTATAACCAATGCAATGGTTCCCCGGAACTAATTTTCGCGCAAACATGGCGGTTGGGAATAAGGCAAATTCAATATGGCCTCTCGAGAAGGGGACACTGCGCTGTGGCTCCACAATAAGTTGGGTTCTACTGATGATTTTTGGTCTGGAAGGTCCATATGTTCTCAACTTACACAAGATAAGCTACAGAGTATATTGGGTTGTTTTCAAGCGCTGCAACCACACGTTAAAGTCAAACTGATGCTGTCTTTTCTGCACCTTGCAAGGCGCAATGTGGAAGAGGTTAGTGAATAGTAAACACACTACAATAGTTTTTATAACCCTACTTTTCAGTGAAATCTTTTTTAAAAAATGCTTAACTCGGGATCTTTTGCGAAAAGAATTATTACGTTCATGAACCATATCAAGGAATTATGCTTGCTTGACGGCGGTTTATTGATTTCAGTGGAAGGTGGACCTGGAAGAAATCCTGGAGCTGGCTTCCAATGACAGTGACCAGTGGGTCTCCACTGTGGCAGATATTTTACGGTCTTTTCCGTCAACTGGTGCTCTGAATCTCCAGTTGGATGATACAAATCCAACATTCTCATCCATTGTTACAGATCTGAAGAAGCTCGGTTTGTATTTTTTTTATGATTAATTATAATTTTTAGAGTATGGAATTGCAATAAGGTGTACTGTTTAAAATAATTTAATTTTTGTTACAGCACTAATAAGGTTTGTGTGGAAAAAGTGCACATACTGGCAATTTGTGAAGTGGAAAGATTAATGCATATGTTGAAGTCAGATACCTGATAAACTGTTTCTGTTCACTTGTTTAAAAAGGTTGGAAATAAATACCCATAAACATGTCCCAATACTAATACAGTGAAAACATGCCTTTTTATACTGTGAGAAACCCTATGGAGTTATAAGTATGAATTTGTTGAATAGGACATTTATTTTTAAAGACCTTGGATTAGGTTAAGATACTTGTACCTATTTGTACATGTAATTAGATTTTTTTTCATTTTCAGTAAAAAAATCTGCAGATGCTGGGATGCTGCCATTAGAATGTTTATATCTAAACACCAAAGCATTAACCTCTCTAGCTGGCCAACCACCACAACCTGTGAAGCATTTTGCTTTAAAAAGAAAACCTAAATCAGCAGCACTCAGAGTGGAACTTCTACAGAAATGTATGATTTTATGAAAAATATTTTTGAATCAATTTAAAAACTTGATTACACCAGCCAAAAGAAGACATTCTTCTTTTCATCAGTTTATTGCAGAACTTTAGCATACATGCAAGGCTCCTATAGTAGAGACAAGAAATTTTTATATAATGGGTCTTTATGGAGTCAGATATATTATTTAAGTTTCACTTAAAAACAAGTCTTTAAATTCAGTTTCTTATTCACCAATTTCTTTTACTTAAAGCCACTGAAGCTGCAAACAATGTAAAGAAGGGAACAACTACACATTCGCTGCCAATCAAAGTAAGAAGTTTTGCTAAAAAGATGGATGACACAAGTAAGTAATATGTCAGAGAAATTCCTAAATGTGTAAAATAAAGTTGTTGATATGTGCACCACCAGTTACTGTCAGTACTTCAGTTTGTTGATAGCTTAGATTTCTTGAAAGTGTTGTTTAAAAATAAATGCCATCTTGTTACCTGTCATAAGAATTTGTGCAAGATCAATTGTCACTCAAGCTAGTATCATGCATGGGGGTCATTATTTTCATTACTTCAGCTGGAAATGAAGGTGCACTGAAAATTTTGTATGTTTGCTAACAATAGTTGATCTAATGAAAGTGCAGAGAAAATATTTTGAACTTATAAACAGTGATTGTTCTGACTTCATATTTCTTTTTACCAGCACCTCTTAAAGGCATACCAAATAAAACTGGCTTCAGAGCTCCTGCTGCCATAGGGAACAGACTAGGAGGTACTCCTCTGTCACATAGGACTCCTACTGGGGCAAGGAAGAGTGGGGGAATCAAGGTAACTTTCTCAGAAAATAAGCAAAGAATTTGCGAAAAAGATATTACGAGTTTGCCATTAAATTAAAGATATTCACCAAATGAATAAAGACCAAACTTATTTCACAAAAGTACATGTCACATACTGATAGCATATTGCTATTTCACCCCAGGTAAATATTTTAAGTAATTTATTAATGAAGATTAATGGTATTTTTAGTTGTTAGACATCACAGAACAGCCAGTTGGAGGAAAAGAAGCTAAAAGGAGGAAAAAACAAGCAGGTAATTTACAAACATAAATAATGAGTCACAACAGTAAAACATCTTAATCTCTACTCTATATCTCTAAAAACAGTACTGTCTTTGACATTTTAACTTGGAAATATCTATTATCTGCTTTTAGTGAAACAGAATAGTGTTTCTAGTATGTTTTGGTACACATATAAATTTAAATAGTGATGTATTTCATTCTCAATAGATCAAGAAGCAACAGAACAACAGAAGAAAGAAAAAGACCAAGCCTCTGCCACTCCAGATTATGCTGCTGGACTGTTTTCACCTGCTACTCCTGTGAGTACATTTTCAACTCGGGTGTCAGGCAGAAATATTGCGAGAGACACATGAGTTTTTTTCAACCAATTAACTTTTGGAATCATTGTGAATTGGCAAAAAGGAGGAAGTATTAAGCATAATGTCTAGCATTACTTGGCTAAAACATTTTTTTCTTTGGTCTTAAAATGAATAATCCAATAATTCCTGTCATATTTGATGCAACAAAGTGAGTAGATGTGTTGTTTAAACTGTGGAAATTAAATTAATGTTTGAAATAAGTGAACAACTAAACTGTTCAAGGAAATGAAGGGTGCCTTGTTTGCTTGTTTGTTTGGACCGTTTTCTCTTCATGAAGATAAGAGTTTACTCACAATATTGAAATTTGAGATACTTAAATTTATGAAGCAAAATATGAATTTAGAAAAGTTTGTTTTTGATTTTGGAAATATTTTTATTGTTTTACTATTTTTTGTTTGCTTTAAATATTTTATTTATAATGACTTTGTTTTTAAATTATATTTTCAGCGCCCAACGTCACAAACAGCATCAGCAGGTGGTTCTTTACCACACACAGGGCCCAGTTATGTCCCAGCTCCAGCTAGTAGATTGCCCACCATTGCAGGGGGCACTACAACACTTCCCAGTTAGTTCAGCTGTTTAGCTATTTGTTTAGTGTGTGTGTGTGTGTGTGTGTGTGTGTGTGTTTAGGTGCATTAGCATGTGCCTGCGCGAAGGCTGATTTAAGTAGAATTTTTAGCTTATGCTGGTGGCATTTTGTTCAATAAATATGTTAAAATTTATTATCCTAAACTGAATTGTTAGATTTCTTTCATTATTAACTGTGTTTGTAAACTTAAATGGTTTGTATGTATAAATAGGTTGTAACATTGACTTATAATGTCAAATGATATATAACTATAAGGGATTTGTGTCATCATCTCACAACAATAAATTGCTTTCGCTTGCTCTCCAGCCTCCAGTGTGTCAGCTGCCACCCAGGCTGCACGGGAGAATCTACAGCAGCAGCTGCAGCAACAGTTGAATAACTCACAAATTAGAACACAGGGACAGACACAGAGTGTCAGCAATGTGCAACAGCAGTTGCAACAGCAGCAGCAGCAACAGCAGCAGTCTAATCAAAATCAACAAAAGAAGGGGTTATCCTTAACAGTAAGTGCACACTAATCTACAAGGTTGCATTAGGGGACGGATACCAGACAAATGATTATAGAAACTGATACTGTACATTTGATAAAGTCAGTCAAAATAAGGATATTTTCTTAATAATTGTAAACAATAGAACAGTACACAGAAATTGTTTTATGTTTATTGTAGTAAATAACTGTTATCTTTTGTGTAGATTTTTTTTTTGCTTTGTTTGTGTTAAGATGATGTCTTTTGTGAAGGGTGCCAAGTTAGTGTGCTCAGTATGATAGCTGTTATTATTATGATGATGATGTATTAAGATCATGTTGAAATTAATTTATGACCAAAATAGCAACCAGACATCATACATTTAACTTCTAACTATCAAAGAAATTTGTTTGGCAAATTACAGAGAGAACAAATGATGGAGGCTCAAGAAATGTTCCGTACATCCAACAAAGTTACACGTCCAGAAAAAGCGCTCATTCTTGGTTTTATGGCAGGTGCTAGGGGTAAGATATGTGTGCCTGTAGATATTCATTTTGTTTTAGTCAGTATCACTGAATGTCAGCAACAAGATACTATAGACAAAATAATACTGCATACTTCTATCACTCAAAAATGTTCATGCTCTGTTCTCAAAAATGTAACCCTTTTTTTTCTTCAAATACAGTTCCATGCAAGGGACAGGAAATTAACATTTTGTTGGTAATAAATAGATATCCTTATATCAAATCTAGCAGGTAGTATATTTTTGTTTTGTTCATTCACTGCAATGAACAATGCAAACAACAAACCACAATAAAATAAGAAGATAAAACATTCTGTCAGGTTTGCAGTTTTATAGCACCTACTTTGTGTTTTTCAGAGAACCCTTGTCCTCAGCAAGGAGATATAGTTAACATTCATTTAAGTGAAGCTATAGAAAATGTGCAACAGACTGGTATTACCAAACAAATGATTGCAGATACTTACTTTGTTATGAATTATGCCAGTGGGGAATGGAAAAGGGTGAAAAAATACAGAGATATGCAACCTACAGATTCGGCGCTAAAGACATGATGGTGAAATGGAGTTTTCACTTCAAAAGTGAAAAAGAAGACAGTGAAAAAGTAGAATTTTCTGTTTTGTTTTGTAATTCATTAAGATAAGTTGACTAAAGATCTGACTGGATACATGTTGTAAAGAAACATTTCAACTTTTTGTATTGTCTTGTGTTGTGAGAGTATTCCATTTCATGTAATCAAAAATGTGACAGAAGTGGTACTTAGTACTTAGTAACATGGTACCAGTTTTGCAGTCTAGGCTGGGGCAGAGGATTTTGCAATGCTGAGGTGGGACACAGACTTCAACATATTCATGATGTTGCAGCTTCAAGTAGTCAGTAAAACTGTAGCCTCTCTTACATAACAAGTAAACAACTGAGTGAAAATTCAGTATATGTAAAGTGAAGCTTATTTTGATTTCTAAGATATAGGAAGTCGCAAAAACTTGGTATTGATATTAGAAAAAAAACTATAAGCTTTATAAGTGGACATGGTGAATATCTTTCCATTAAGTCTTTGGAAATGTGCATCAGCAGGTTGCATCCAGTTTTTAATAAACTTGTCTCAGAATTTTTGATTTGTGAGACTTGTGTTGTCTTATAACATTGATGTCCCTCTTTGCCTTAAATCTTTCTTTTGAATAGTCACCTTATACATAGCTGTACTGGTTAATCAAAAATTATAGTTTCATTCATTTCACTTGGATATGGTATCTAAATGCACCCTGCTTAATTTAGAGCAGCAACAAGATTATTTTAAAGGGATAACAACTGTTCATTTTGGTAAAAAAAAGGAATTTTCCTTGGGTAAACAGCAATTTTCCCATACTTAAAAATGGTTATTGAATCCATTCCGACATTCAAAGTTAGGGCCTGGTTTTTTCTAAAAAGTTTTTTTTTTGGTAATAATCTCTCAAGAGATTATTACAAAGTATACCTATCTATGGAGATCATGTGGTTGGATGGCAAGCATATATTTCAGATTTATTGCTATAACTGTCGTTTTGGTAGTAAAATAAGATATATGATATTTATGAGTTGTTTACAATGTATTTATTTTGAAATATAGATCTCATACAAAGAGTTGTTATCCCTTTAAATAACACCCCTGCTTACACACCCCCTGCTGGTATGACAGGAATGGTAGCTATAGTCTTCTAGGAACCATGGTTGCTTGCCATTACTTTATACAGGTGACATGCATCCCATTTACTAATCCCAATACCCCAACTAACCTCAACCTAACCAACATATAGAACCCATATTTCCATTCCTAGGACTGCCATTCCTGTTCTACAGCTGGCTCCTCAAGGTGTCGCCTTAATTCATACTTTTTTATTCAAATTCTCTAAATAAAGAAAAATTTATAGGTTTGTTTAATGAAAATGATGTTCTTTCCCTAGCCCCTATTTTTTCTGCAATTGAACTGAGCAACTGCAGTATTATTATCAATTATAAATCTCACTTACTGTAAAATAAATCCCACAATACCCCATTAAATCTTTGTAATATAGATAGACCAAACATACCCTAAAGAAAGATATTCTAAGCTCAAATAATCTAAATAGATAAACTTATTTGGTTTAATCGTCATGAATTTGCCTCAAATTTGACCTTTGACCCCAATTTTACTAAAACATGATTTTTAAAATTGTTATGTAACTTTCATTACTTATTTATGTAGACTTACCCTTCAGCTTCACAATGGTTATACCGGTACATCATTGTTAATTTGTAACCATGAATTACAAACAATTCCCTTCCTCTAACCCCATTCTTTAAAATGCACCCATTTAAGCTACAGGGAGTTACACAACATTAAAAGAAATCCTCATTGTCACTGGGGACACCTAGAAGTCAAACACTGAGGGGCTGCATGTGGACCTCTTGTTCCCTGCAGACTTTATGTGGCAGACAAAAGGAGCTTTTTTAATTATTTTTAAAAAATCCATCAGTTGCTTGTATAACAAGCAATAACAAACCAGCAAATTAACATTTTAAAGAAATTTAATTACTGTAAATAAAAAAGATGGAATGTCTTTTTTTTTCAATGTCTGTATCACAGTCTAAAAAATCATTGCTCTCAATACTGATTATATATATATATATATATATATATATATATATATTACAAAATTCATAAATACTACTAATGAAGAAAATGGCTATGAAACAGTAAAATGTCACATAATAATAATTGTAATACCCTTTCAAGGTTAACATGGGTAACATCTAGTGAGTACAGAGAAAACTGCTATGTTAACCCCTTCATAATTATGCGCTTACTTAAAACATAGTCATGAAATAATTTAAAATGTAATTCTGTGATAGTTAAAACACGTTATTACTATCAGAAAATGTATCACATTTGAACTAAGTTTAAAAAAGTAAAAATAAAGTATATCTAATATTTGATTGTCTGCTTATAAGAAAAATCTGGCACATTGGCACTTTGTTAAATTTTGTGCCTTTGATATCTTTACATAAGCTGCTTAGAGTAAAAGGCGTAAGCTTTCTTTTGTCAAATTGTATAACAATACAACTGTATTATTTATATATTACACACTGATAATCAAACAGTTGTACTAACCTGACAACTTACAGCACTCTGAAGCTCAGGGTGACTTACAGGAACACAAACACAGTTTAATACAAAAGTAGGCTGTAATATTTCCACAACCAAATATCACAGTTCTCTGAAAGGTTTTAACATTTTACAGAGCTTACATCTTTACTGAAAACCAGCTTTTGTAACATGTCTTCAATATTTGATAATGATGAAGAAGTTTTTTCTTCCAGTTTTGAAATTCTGTCCTCCAGCATTTGTAATCGGTCATCAGAAAAGCTTGGGCTTATGTTAAGAACTTTCTCAGAATCTGGTATGAATTTTGAACTTGTTTCTTCTGCCATTTGTCCCTTCTCCATAAGGGAGGCTGCTGATTCTTCAAAGAAAGTTGGGTTTGGTGATTTAGAACGGCTTGACGTACGGCGATGCTTTCCCTGAGACTTCTCACCATCTGCTTCATCAACAATTTTTTTCCTTCTGCGTTGGTGCTTTTTGGGCCTTTCTTTGTCATTTTCATCTTCTTCTGCACTCAAAGACAGTCTTTCTTCTCGCTTCTTTTCTCTCTCCTTTCTTTTCTTTTTCCTTTTCTTTTCTTTTGTTTCAACCTCCTCTATTGGGGGTAGCCTACTGATGTTTTGATCCTCAGCATCTGTGTTTGCCTGCTTATCACGTAATGTTAACTGCAATTATAATTATAGATTTTATTCAAGCATCTAAAATGTACAGTAAGGTTTTACTATGACTCATTAAATATCATATTCTTTACTGCAAGTAATTTTACTGACAAATTGATATTCATAACTTTTTTATTCAATTCACGTCAATGTGATAATTATTATATGCATGTATTCACAACATAAAAAATGACAGGTACGTGAATGATATTTTAACTGTTTCTTAATGCATCATTAAATAGAAGACATTTTTACCGAATGTCTAAAAGCATTGACTCCTTGCTCCATGAGCTTTCTTTCCCTCAGTGTCCTTTTCCAGTGAGATGCACCCTCAGAAGATACAGAAAAATTATCCATGGAAATGTTATCTGAATTTGGGAGATCATAATCCTCCAAATCTCTTTGACTCTCTGCCCAGTAGAGCCGCATTTCCTCTATAGCCTTGGCAATATTATCGACCCTAGATAAGTTAAAAATAAAACAATATACTGTATGTATTTAACACATTTTCTGTTACTGCAATGGTGCTCACTATTAAATGGAAATTTCTTATTCTTCAACAACTATGAGGATTTATAGATAGTGTAAAAATATAATGATCCCTTCAGGCTTTCACAGAGAATTCTCATTGAAATGTTTAAATTGTACTCCTGCTTTCGATTAGAAAAAAATGACATCACCAGATGATGGGATATTTAGGAACTGTACATTATGTACAATGGCACACTTAGTTCCATGCAAAGATCAACAACAATAATAGCCAAGCTGCTAGCACTGTGTACACTAAGATACAAATAGGCCTGCAATCTACTTGCCGATCTACAAAAACATTTGCTGGTCTGCAAAAACATTATTATTGAACATGTTAGTTTATGTTGAAAAAAAAAAGGTGGAGGAAGTCACGCTATTTACAAATAATATAATGTTAGTACCTCTAGTAAAAAAATATTAAAGCATCACTCAAAAAATACCTGTCTTTAATTGTTTTTATAACATTATCAGTTAGAGCACATTCTCTGTCCAGCTGATTCTGCATATGCAGTTTCTGGCACTCTTTCTCAAAGCCCGCCAATGCTCTCCTTTGTCTTTCGGTCAGTTTCTGATCTTTTCCTGGGGGTGGAAGATTAGTAGTAGTAGAGTAGTAATAGTAATAGAAGTAGTAGTATGGGGTGCGAGAAGAAATGAATATATCTACATGTACTCAGCAGCCTGATATACACAGTTTAAATATATGTGCACATCCACAGCACTGGGAAACAACAATGGGGTATGGGAATCAAAATTTCAAAATGGTACCAGTCTTGTGAGCACGCTTTCCACTTAGAATATGCATCAAATTTTGCTTTATATTCATAAATTTTGGTAAATGTAACATTAAACACATATTAAACAAATATTATCAGGGAAGAGCTGATTACCCTCACAGAGTTGGGAAAGCACACAGCCATCCAGAATCAGTGGTTAAACAGTGATAACTTGAAGTCGTTTTGCGTCTGTTTCAAGACAAAAAGCAGGAACCAGATATAGCTCTTTAATTATTCTTATTTAATATTCATGTGATTGGGTCATTACATCATTAAATTTCCGCTATGATCATAAGGTCATTTGGCCGAATCTGAATGGCTAAACTACATATTAACTGTGGCTTTGCTGTTGTGCTTTTCTGAAGGAATCGCAACAGGATAGGGTCATAATATTTGTGATTACATGCTCAGATGGCAGGATTTCCTTACATCTTGTTGTTTTATGTAAGCAGAGTGTATTTCAGGTATCTAAATCTTGACACTGAACTTTTTGTATAGTTCACGTGTATGGGAGTTCATACATTGTACTGAAGTTGAAAATGGATATGACTGTAACGCACAATAAACTGTTTTCTTCACCCATAAAAATTTGCAACGAGGAATAATTTTTTTTGTATTTCTTTAGTTTGAGTGCAGTAATTGATCCTGGATATGACCAATAAATATGACAAAACTATTCTGAGAGCTTTCTTTTCCATGTACGGTACAACTGTAAAACAGACTGGTATGTCTGTGTCCCACATTTAACCGCTGTTTGAGTGTCATTTTCGTGTTAGAAGTTTAAAATACACAGCAATGTTATGAAGCACAATATTGTCTGTTATAATAAGACAAATCCAACCCCTTTCACATGAAAGCACCCCCATTATAACCCAACACATAGACAGACTTTCAAAGACGATAACCCTGTTGTTGTTATCCAGTACTGTGAACGTGCACACATGATTGAGGTAAGACACCTTAAGGTCTTGTCTGATATCTTTAAACTTAAAAATAACTCTTTTGTTGGTTGGGTTTCTCATGCAATAATTATCAAAATTAGAATCATATACCCAGAAATGACCCATTGCCCTTTTGATAAGAATAGGCTTTTTACTTCCTTTTCTCCTCTGGTTTAAACTTTGCTCAAGCTACTGTTACATGTAACTAGTTTTATTTGACAGGAGAACTAAATTCACTACAGAGTGAAGAACACAAGACACACAATACAACAAAGGTAAGGGTTAGAATGATAAAACAAAGTACACAGTAAAAAGTTTTAGTACTACAACACTACAAGCCTTAGCCTATGGTAGAAATGGGTTTAATCATTTGAACTTGGTGCAGTATTCAAACCTTCTTTTCACTACTAGTGTCAGCATACTGGGATCCAGTTCTGCCTTTTCCCTGGTTTTCCTCATGTAACTTTTCACTGAGTCCTTCTCAAATGCTCCTAACATTCGTCTCTGGTGCTCAAGAGTTTTAGTATTGACTAAATTAAAAACATAACAAAAACACAAGCTGAACTTAAAATAGAAAATAAAATGTAACCAAACAAAATGATAATATGCCATGCATCTTGAAATACAACCATTAATAAATTTTAAACCTAGAATCTAACAAAACAAGATCACAATGAAAATCTTCAGAGTAATCAAACAAATTTAAAAAAAACTCAAAAATAAACACATGCACATCAAAATATAAGCAAATGCTTTTATTTTCAAGAAGAAAAAATGTGAATCAAAGCATACGTACTGTATGTGTTTTCTCTAAATTATCATTAAGTTAAACATAAATCAATCCCAATCAGTAAATGCTTATACTCCAAATAGAAGTGTTTAATAGGAAAAAGTTATAAATATATCATAACCCTGTGTCCTTACCCTTGGGTTGTACTTTATGACAGGTTTTCCTCACTATAAACCTGACTAAGAGCAACACATGCTCTATGATGATAAAAGGGGGAGGCAGGCCTGGCTTGTCTATGTATTCCATCACTAGGAAATACATATCAAACTTCCAGATCTCTAAGGAGTTTTTCTGCACTTTGTCAAACACAAAACTACAAGAGACAAAAGAAAAGATAAGTTAACTCACTTTCATAAAATAAAATTATTTTTATCTGAAATGCCAAACTTAAATATATTATTATAGTATTATAGTGAATAAAAAATAATACAAATAACAGCTGTAATGAGAAATAAAATGTTCAGCAAAAAATCCAAAAATCACAAAAAAGAAACCCCAAAAATTGAGTTGAAAATAAACCAAGAATGGCCTAGTTACCTGAAGATGGCAATGAGAAGATTCAGCAGCAGTACATTGCCCACAAGCAGATAGACTGCTAGCAGTATGGGCACAAAGCTGTGGAAGATGGGGCAGGGGTGCCCATCCAGTGTCACTGTGCTGTTCCCTTCACAGCCAGGCAAGGTACCTGAAACAAATAAATACAATGAGTTGGATCAGATTTTAATTTCAATACTTGTGTAGTGCAAATTTTTCTCATTTTATATTTTGTAATGTTGATCACTAATGATGTGTTATTGTTCTAAACCATAGTGTTTGCAAAGAATTTCAACTGCAGTCTTCCTGCTGTTGTGATCAAGCTAAGAGATGACTACACAGAATTTTTTTTTTGGAAGTAGAGATTAACATGGATTTAAAAGTTACTGAAATTGTTCTTTAAAATATTTATTTGGGATAAGTCAAACCTGTTTAAACATTCACATACCCTGAAGTCCAATCTCATCCAGAAACAGCTCTCCATATATCTGCCAATATGGATAGTAGAAGATATCCTTCAGAATACCCCAATATGGTTCTCTAGCAGGGAATGTGAGGGCCTGATAGGTCACCCCATAGCCCATTATGGCTATTATCAAGATGCACACAAAGATAGACAGCTCAATTACCTGTGGAAAAATAAAACTAAATATTTAATATCATATGATCATAGATACCTATATAAGAAGTAACTTGTAAGTAGATGACCCATAACTTTATTGAATTTCTTATTTTATTTTAATTGAAATGGTAAATTTCACTTCAACGTATTCAGTGTTTAACTATCTTTAAATAAATATAACCTGAAAATAAATTAAACCATGACTTTGATACAAGCCTGAATCCAATAAACTACCATGTATCTACACCATTCCCAGTATGTACTAACCATCAACTTAATCATGACCAACTTTGGACCCAGCACACTGCTGACAGAATAAAGCCTGAGGAACCGAAGATAAAACAGCACACAGTTCATGGCATAGAACAGCTTAATCTGGTCTAACATGCCAGGTATCATGCGGAATATAAATCCCCCCAGGGCCACAACACAGAGGATGATGTCTATGCGGTTCCATACGCTGAAGTTCCACCAGTCTATCAGCTTACCCCCAACGCTCTCCGAGGTGGAGTAGGTCATCTGAATTTCAATAAAATTAGATATTTTTGATATAACAATTACATATATATATATATATATATATATATATATATATATATATATATATATATATATATATATATATATATATATATATATATATATATACACACACACACACACACACAATCATATTTACATAGTGAAGTTACTACTGAGGTGGAAAAAATCTGTAATCAAAATATCTGGGCCAACCCATCAAATCATGAAATATAATAGAGTAAGCTTCTCAAACTTTTTCTAATAGTATTATTAACTCATTTCATACCTTGACCTCTGGCAGTTTAAATCATAAGTCTGTCTTTATATTAAACCTAGCACTTTTGTCTGCTGAGCTAATTAATTTATGAACAGAAATCTACTTTTAAAAAAAATCCTACAGCCTCACCATACCTCTCTCAATTCCTCAACTATCATGGTGCTTATCCATCCTATCAGTAAAATCTCCAGAGTGCTGATCTCTTCACGCAAATGAAATAATATAAGGTATGAATAGGCCACCAGGAAGAAAACGTACCAAAGCTGGATATAAAAGAAAGAAAATAAAATTAATGTCTAATATCAGTTTATAATACACTGATGTATGAATATACATTTAGTGAATAGGACATGGTTACTGCTCGTTATTCTCATTTTAGGAATCAAAGCTGTGGCAAGGAAACTAATTCAATTAATGAAACATTCTCATTGCCATTACTGATTTATTTAATTTGACCCTACATGTCTGTAGAGGTCTAATAAAATGTAATATTACACTTACAAAATAACAACAAAAATGGCCACTGTATTATAGTGCACTACTCCACCTTTAATCTGAATTGAAGTGGACTAAAATTTTGTTCTAAAATTTAAGAATGATTTATGGTCAAAATTTTTTGGGTGCAATTTTGGCCTGGTGGCAATTTAGCCAGAGTTTAATAATCCCATCAATTAATTTGTATGGTAAAACAAAACCAAACATATGTTTCAGCCCTTACCAGATGGATGCTGAACTTCACCATTGGTGACTTAAAGAACTGCATGATTTTTTCGTGGATTTTTAAACCTTTTTTCTTCCAGCGGACAGAGAAAAATATGGGAGGAAACACCAATGCAAAATATATCTGAAAATAAGGATATTCATCATTAAAGAAATCATATGACACATACAATGTCCAAAAACTAAGATGAACAAAATATTACATTGAATAAACAAGAAAATATGATATAAATCATTATCCAACAAAACCATCCATAACACAGCTACAGTTCATAAGTTCGCTCACCTTCAGGCTTGATGACAACACTTGTCCTTTCCACATTTGATTAAGTTGGTTTTGGCAACACTCTGTTGACAGGAAGGCCTAAGTAGAATGATATACCAAAGCTCAATTAAAATTTAACAAGAGACACATATCACACAATGAATCGGTTTGTTTCACTTACTGCAAATCCACCCTTTTGTCATTTTTAATGCAAGCATTCATTCCACAGCCTTGAATTCTCCAGTGAGTAATGAGAATACCTTGCAGTTAGCCGCTGCTGCCACTTCCAGGCAGTTCTGTTGCCCCCAGTCAGTATAATGCCTGTCTATCAACTGCAGAGCTTTCTCCTCATCAGCATTATAACACTCCTCCAGTACATTCTCTGCCAGAATCTCAAAGGTGCTACATGTATAAAACAAGAATTTAGTTACCATATGGTATGTTTATAAAGAGCCCTTAATTTCATTTCAAATTTTTTGTGCTGTAAATGTCATCCTAGTATGACTTTCAAATCCATTGTTGGTCATCTTCTTCATTTTTCATTTCCTCATAACTGCACTGACTTATTGCAAGTGCCTCATTGAAACATGAAAAAAAAGAAGAAGCTGGCACCCATCAGACCTGAAGCTTTGGGTGATGTCATTATGGAACACTCTTTAATCTGTTTTATACAGACCCTTTTAATTTAAACAAACACAGGTACTAATAATGAATCTTTACAGGTGACACTAGGCTATTTAATGCTATTTCTTTCTTTGTAAGATATGCATTTTTTAGATTTAAAGCAAAACCACAAAAAAATCAATTGTTGGACTGAAAATGCATATACATTTGTTTCTTAACTGTACTACATGTGGTTACAATCTGTAATATACTAGAAATTATCCTTTCAATTTTTTTACAAAAAAAAAAAAATTAATTTATAAATTAGGCTTCAGTAAAAAAAAAATTACTGAAAAAACAAGAATGCTTCAGAGTGAACCAACTGTGTCATGAAGTTCTTACTCTTTGTTTTTGAGATAAGCATCTTTCAGTTCATTATTGCGGGTATCAGTGTTTTCAGCAAGTTTCCCATATAGCATACTCCCCACCAGGGCAGTGACCACTGCATCATCACCACTCTCCCACAGGTACAAGGCCAGTTCTTGTCTGGAATATTCATATGTTATCTTTTCAAATGGGGAAAAATGCAATTATACTAGTGGGCATCATCCTTTTTTAAATCACACTTAGTCACAAATTGGTTTGCATGAAGAAATTTTGTAACCAAAACCAAAAACATATTTGCTCATAATGTACTAGCATGCTTGATTGTTAGTGTGTATTTTCATATTTATTAGATGCACATATTCCAACAGTTCTATCCTGTATGCATCTAACAATCTTTATAAACGTCTCACCTGTTGAAAAACACAGCCCACAAAAATAACTCCTTGAAAGGTTTCTCAAATGTGTCCTGACTTGGAGGAACATCCTCACAAACTATATGGGGTCTAATGGGGTCATCTGGCATATCTGAACCCACATACTGGGAGGCATCGTGTTTGACTTCAAGTTTCTTCAGAAGAAGGCTGATCTGGTTGAGGGTCAAGACGTCTGTTTCCTGGAGGCCTACATTCTTTTGCAGAATCTCCTTCATGTGGGCAGACTTGGACTGACTGGATAAACCCTAAGAATAGAATCCAAACATTTAGGAATATAAAGACTGTTGACATAAAATAAAAATATCACCTCAAATTGTTCTTAAAATTTGTCAATATAGGTTCTTTTTACTAGCAATTACCAAGTATTAAATTTGTCAAAGAAAGCATCTTTCCTTAATCCCTACATATAAAAGAAATATAGACAAAAGACAAAATCTGCTGTTTTCTCCTTATGACTGAATATGGTTAGAAAAGTCGTACTCTAGCAGTCTTTTCTCGATTCTTTTACATAAGTGTCGGCAGTGTGTCACACTTTCATTTAGTACAGAGAAGAAAAAGTTACTCACCGCTCTGTATAACTCCTCCAGTCTTCCAACTGTCAAGTATTCACTCATAGAAACACCATGCTGGAGCATCAGAGCCACAAAGTCCACCTGGTTGTTCTTCAGTGCAATGGTCATAAATTCATCTAGACAGCCTAGAATTTAGTACAGGCAAATTTTTAAAAGCAGATAGTGTCATTTCTTTGTCATTTCACAACACTGTACATCTGAAGGAATATTTGAATAATTATCTACCCAGAAAGTTCTGTAATCAACATAACCTGAAAAAATTTTAGACAGCAAGTGATCTGTCATAAGCTAATGATAGTCATTACAGTGCCATTCACTTAAAAACATCTGTCTGCCCCAAAGTCCATTTAAACTGACCTATATTCTTCAATTTATGGATAAAATAGGCTTAGCGATAAGCACTTATAGTTTCTTAGTGATGTTGTGTCATTACATAATATACCATATTTATTGTGCATAATTTGAAGAATGGACAGCTACCTTGAGACCAAATTCGGTCACTAAGAAATATTTTGTCCTCAGCAATGTCACTCCTGTTCCACTTGATAGCCAAGGTCAGCTGTTCCAGCCTCTGCTTCTCATCAGAGTTCCCCTTGACTGGAACACAATCATTTAATTTATTATTACAAGGATGGGCTAAGCGAGTGCTAAAAAAGGTACCCCCCTCCCCTCAACTCCCCCAGTTTTAAAATAGTCTCATTAAAAACTCAGGACCTTATTAAGTCCACTTCCATGCCTAAAAAAAGGAAAGCCTATCAAATTAACAAAAAGTAAAAAATCAGTGATCATGTTGGTTCAACATGTTTTAAAGCTAATGGCTATTTTGGAGCCCAATTAAAAAAATCTCATTCAAGATGGATCATTATGTCACTAATTGGGTTCATTTTTCATGAAAATAAAGCCTTAATGGGTTGTAAATTGTTAATAATAACATTACTTTATTTTTGGGTTGGATTAAAAGATGTGCCCAACAGTAGCTCAAGATACTTTGTATGAAGAGTAGTTTGATTTTCTCAATGCTATTCAAACTGCACACTTACCTTTTAATAATGCTGACAAAATAGCTCTGTCCAGAGCTTCATCTCTGTTCATATCAAATATTGTAATCTGGAAATTATTTAAAATTCATTAAAGCAGCAAATCAAAGTACAATGTATCCATGAGCAAACAAAATATTTCATCCATCGCATGGTAATAATACAGGCCCATAGCCAGGGGGTTTGAGGGGGTTCGAAAGAACCCCCTTTTTGCTGGGAAAATATCCCCTCTAGGTAAAATTTTATCTAGGTACATGAAGGTCTCATGGTAAAAGGTCCACTTTTTTCAAAAAAGAATGCTCCTTTTGAAATTGCTGGCTATAGGCTTGTAATATTTCTAACAGTGATGACTAAATCTTTTCAATAGGGGAAATTGGGAATTTTACAGATACAGTTTTTTTTTCAATTGATAAATTCTTAAAACTATAACATTCTTATTGGATGGTAGCAACAAAATCCAAAGGCAGGCAATCCTATAGTTCTATTCTTTACAGAAATGCACCACAAATGCTATATAAAAATATTTTTAATGATTTCAAAATTATATTGAAAATATCAAGTTATTGCTATGCTAGTACTTGTCATCAGAATCCTTTATACTACAATAAAGGAACTTATTGAAAATAAATAAATTAATAAGAAATATTTTAATCCAAATATCTCATAATTCTACTGTAAACAACTCTTTTGATAAATAAAAAAGAAATTGCATCTTACATGAACCAAGTGAGTTGCTGACGTGCAATATCTTAATTAATAATATTTCTCAAAAGTATCACCTTATACATATTCATAACTTGGGAATGGGCTTGGGAATTACCATACAATTACTTGATGTTTGAGTAACTTACTAGATTTTCATTCTGACAAGAAGCTTGAACCATATCTGAGAAGTGCTTCACTTGCTGCTCAACATAATTATCTTCCTCATTCTTTGTGGCCTTGCCTCTCCAGTTATCACCAAATGCTTCACGGATCTTTGCGTTCAGCATTCTCTCAGCTTTCTTGGAGAGACACTGCTTGTCGCTAGATAAAGGTTATGGAAAGAACACCAAAAAATTTATGGGTACACTTCTATGGGTTACACTGCTGCTTCACATGCAGTATATGTTCCTTTTACTGTTTTCCACATTATTTAATAAGCAACAGAAAACCCATTCATATGCAATTTCATGCAACTAGACATCTTTTATCAATGACATAGCTGTTGGCATGTGTGCATGCATGTTTGCATGGGTCTGTGCATGCAACCTTTCATATTTATTGTGCATATACTTGCAGATGCCACAATTTTTGTGCATTTACTTACCTTTTAGTTCTTGTTTGGTGGTTAAAAGCAAAGGCCAAAATGTCTGCTGCTCTCCCCGTGCCTTCACACACTACCACAGGAATTCCCTGGTCTAAGGAGTGGTTGGCATCAACAAGGGCATCATAACCACCTTCCAGTATTAACAGTACTACAGGCAAGCCAAGGCCATCTGAAAGGAGGATAGTCATTGTTATTTTGTCCTGTTTTTTTTCCCTAATAATAAAACAATCCTAATAATGCTGACAATAAATCACCTAATATATAATGAAAAAACAAAACAGATGCAGAAATATGAAGTCTTTAGAATACTGCTTTGAATTCTTATACATCAGTTTCACAACTAACTTTATAACAGAAAATGATATTCCATCCATGCGCCTCCAGACCTAGATAAATTTAAGCAATTCCTCAAACAACTTGTATTCCTTTCCCTGAGTACAGGCATTCCTTTTAAATTGCTAAAACTACATACTGATCTTTTTCATAATCCACTTCTATTCAAGACTGTACCATTTCCTCCACTGTTATAAGATATTCCACCTAAATCACTATATAAACATCTATCTTTGTACCTGGCTCAGGGGTCAGCATTTTGTTTTCCAACATAGCCCTAAATTTCCCCACATTGTATGTGTTTCTCAAGCCGTTGTCCACCAAGAGGAAGTGGGTGTGGCTGGGATTCAGAGACACTGGCTGACCATGCAGAATTAGAGTGCTGGATTTGTATCTGGCTGGAAAGCAACCCTGAAAGAAAAATGTATGTTAATGCAAAAGATATCAGTTACACACCAACAAAGTAAATATATCTCTAGTCCAAAATACTGCTAATGTGCAGTATTTCATTTAGGGAGACAATGGCAGATTCTGGATTTAACAAGAGAGGAGAGTAGACATACTAATACATGTACGGGTAGATAATAAACCTGTTTATCTCAACGTGGCATATCAGCTTGCAATGGGGAGCATGCCAACAGAATCTCTCTTCGAAAGACAATTTGCATATGCCCTTGTCCATTTTTTTCACCCACCTTTCCATCATGTGACACCAGTCTATCTCTGTCCATGACATAGCCCCAGGGTGGTATGCCAATACACCTAATGGAGTGGGTCACATGCTTGGCATCCCAGTTATAGGTCTGGGCATCTCTAACTGCATCCCCCACAGCTTTCATCACACCCATGTTACAGCCTGAGGTTATTATCCATGCATTAGTGGTTTTTGCAGCCTGTATAATAAAAAACAAGAATTATAATAATCATACAGGAATTTGTATGTCTGTCTATTGCTTAGTGTTTCACCCAAAAATTTCATTGCACTTTAGTTATCACTCAAGTTATGACACTTGTGGATGCCTGTGAAAGAAATTTGATTTATGGACATTTATGGATAAACTGCTGTCAGAAATAATTTCTTAACCTTACTCCGGTTTTCTGCACAAGGTTTAAACTACCAGCCCTCATCCAAAGAAAAAAGATGACATCTTCCCTATTTATGCCTGAGAACTTATATAACATTTACTTTACTACTATCCAGTGACATCTATTAGCATTACCTTCACTAAGCCTCGACTGAATACTTCTTTCTTCCTTCCGGCCAGCTTGAAATTCTTAGCTCCTCCTATCACTGATATCACTAGGCTGGGTTTGTATGGCTCAAACATGTTCCATTTATCCTGGTCTATCAACAATTGTAATGTGTCATCTACACACTCCTCTGTCACACGCATATACTAAGAGTAGAACAGATATATATTGCTACTGTAAAATGACTAGCAGTATCAATGTTTATAAGACAAACTAGACAAACTATAGTAAATTGATAAGGAAATTTTTCGTCAAAAGCATGTTAAATGTTATCACTGTAATTCTTTATAAAGAACACTTCACTTTATATCTTTTTTGCTTGAATCTGAAGCTTTTTTCTCTCTTTTGTTTTGGAATTATAGTTTTAAATTTTACCTAAAAACTTCTTCATGCACACATATAACAAAACGTTAGGAACAGTGCAGTTCAATAAATTACAAATGTGGTGTAATTACCTTGGAAGGCTTGCTGTATCCCATACCATTACTCTGGAACTCTATCTTCCCAAAAGCATTTATTGGAAATTCTTTGATGCAATTTTTCTGATTCCACTCATCATCTTTAAAAAAAGAACAAAAAAGTTTATGCTTCCCATTAGAATTTCTAAAAAATGCTGATCTCAAATAAAGGTACCCATCATTTTATAAGAATGTTGCACTGACAAAGTGATGAAACTTCACAACAAATCTTCCTGTTTTAAAAAATAGTAGACAAGAAACAAAAATAATCTAGAGTCTAAAANTAATCTAAAATACTAAAAGGTACCTTGCCCAGCCTGGCTTGAGCTAGATGGGCCAGCATCTTGGTTAGTCTGTCTATAATGCCTCTCCTTAGTTTCTCCACAATGACACCTAAAAGTGAATTTCAAAGTAACATTTCAAGGAATTCAAAACATGCAGAAATGCTCAGACCAATGGAGAGTATATAAAAAACATGTTTGCTGCCAAATACTGACAGAGAATATTGCCTAATTACCTCATAGTAAATATCCTGTTCAAAATGACCTCCCCCTTTACCAGACTATTTCCTTTTTCATTGATTGGCCATTCATCATTTTGCCAGTTATAATCAACACAAATAACTGCAACAGTGTTTGCTACTCACCATATTGAAGTATATAAGGCAAGTAATTCCCCGCAAAATCAGTAAAGTAACTTACCTTGGAGGTCCTGACTGTTTTTTGAGTTTGTCCTCTTTAACAACAAAGTTCACACATTCTTTTATCTTAAATTTCTTCCTAACAAATTCAAGGTAATTTGATTGTGCCAATTTCTGAAAACGTAAAAAAAATTACATGTATTTTTCAGTAAAATATTCAATTACATAATTTCTACATTGAAAAACAACCAGCAAGAAGAAGAATAGTTAAACATAATTTCCTCATAGAGAAATGTTATCACTCACTGACACCACAAGATGCACTTAATATAACATTAATACTGTCATATCATCTGACATTTGAAGAAGGCACTTACCCATATTTTAATGAACTACGAAAGTGCCCATGTGGAAAGAAGTTTTCAATTTGTATTAAAATATGTAGTCAGTAAAATAAGTTTTATTATAGTTTACCAGATTTCTATAAGAGAGGTGACAGCTGTGAAAACCACACAGAGATGAACAGGATGGGAAACACTACCACACCTACAAGATAATACATGGAACTCAAGCTATAAAGACTTGAAATCAGTGCTTCAAAATCATTTCAAACTCTATAGCATTAGTATACACAAAAGTAAAGAAGGGAATACAATTTATCAGTTTAGATTAACTGAAAAAAAGTCAAAACAGACATGTTAAACTTTAAGCTTTGGAATGGAACTTCAAACATCAACTGGCCTAATTAAAAATTTGCTGGGTTATTTGCAATTCAATGTTAGATGGTTTAAACTCAAAATAGTAAAAAACTTGTACAGCAAATTGACAAGTCAGTTTCCACACTGTTTATGACAAATATACACAATAGACTATAGATAAATAAAAAAAAATTTTTAAAAACTTAGTTACACTTGTATAAATAAGGGCTCTTAACTTCTACAAGCAATAAAATATGCCTCTCCAAAATCCTCACCAAATACTTATGAACAGCTGGTGAGAGATCAGGCTTTTACCAGAAAGCCCCTTTACGATAGTAAACCACCTGTTCTGTGCATAAAACACGCTGAAATCAGCTGATCGTGAAATACCCTGCAATCAAATTTAATTGCTACAGCTTGCACTGTAGTAGAATAATGTTGTTTAGTGAATAATCTTATAGTATGTTCAACATGTCCATTTAAATTCAGGGTGAGAGACGTTACTGACCCATGAGTAACAGCTAGTTGTCATTTTCAGGCCAATTGTTTCAGAAATACTAAGTGTATTTATAGAAATTGGCCTCAGTTACCTCAAAAATGTACAATAGCCCAGGCACATGATGAGCTAGAGCCTCAGCAAGTTTGCAATAGTGTTGCACTGTTTGAACTTAAATAAATCCTCAAAATATAAGATTTAAAGTAAATCCCATCCTTACAAAAGCACATAAATTTCAAATAAAAAATTCCCACTACATTCTCAGGGGTATTTTTTTAATCAAGCAATATTAAGCGGAAGGGCACTTAAAGAAGCAGTACTCTGCATCTATAAACAATAAATAAACAGTATACAAATAATAAAATAATATATAAGTAAAAGATTTAGGGTTAGAAACTTGTCAAAATAACTTACAAGTAGGTGTTATTCATCACTTCAAAATCTTACAGCAATCTTTTTTTAGGATCTACATAGGGACATTTCCTTTATGCAAATGTCCAAGGCCAACACGGGCAATATTTGAATCATCATGTGATTATCCATTCAATGTGGGTAAACAAGCTATAAGGGCAATGTGCTAACCTCATTCGCAAACAGAACAATGGAGAGAACAGAACAGGTAAGGTTTTTTGTTGAGGTATTTAATTTGGGATTATTTTCAATGATTAAAGCAACCTATGGTAGTGTTGTTGTTGTTTTTTTTTAATTATAAAATTGGGTTTCTTATCTTCAGGTTGGTTAGAACTTGTAAAAACAAAATTTAAATGCTACTTCATAGCTGAAATAAAATATTTTATCTAGCAATTTAGTTATATACGATTAACAGTAAGTTTTTTGGTGATATTTCACTTGCTTATCCTACATCACATGTAATAAAAACTAAGAAACTGTCCCACTAAATAAAATCTAGAAAGTATAGTTTTATCTAAATAAGTAAGAAGGTTAGATTTAAATGCATTCTTATCAAACACTTCCACATGTAAGATTGTAATTTTTGCTACAAGACAGTGTTAAAAAACAGAGTAGTATTCAAAGCTTTGTGTGAGCNCACATGTAATAAAAACTAAGAAACTGTCCCACTAAATAAAATCTAGAAAGTATAGTTTTATCTAAATAAGTAAGAAGGTTAGATTTAAATGCATTCTTATCAAACACTTCCACATGTAAGATTGTAATTTTTGCTACAAGACAGTGTTAAAAAACAGAGTAGTATTCAAAGCTTTGTGTGAGCTTAAAAGTACAGAATTATGAAGTATAAAAGATTTCAATCAACTGATAAGTACATGAACAAACAAACAAACAAAAAAACCTTCACTCTGTGAATGGCACTCCCTAAAACAAACCTCATCTTCTGTGATTTGGTAAGTGGCCCTGTGACTCCCCCTGGGACTCCCCCTGGGACTTCCTCTGAGACTGACACTGTCCCTACTTCTCTCCCCATCTGAACTGTTTCCTAGCCTGTCAATGCTCCACTGTGAAACTTGTGTAGTGTCAAACAGGTGTTTTTCTGGGGTGGGATCCAAGGGGTGGATGGACAAATTGCTTTGCCTCTTAAACATCCTGAAAAATAAAACATACATGAAATTAAAAATAAACTAATATACATGTATTTACGGGTTTCACTATGAAGGTAAAAAATAAGGCAAATATGGAAATATGAAAATGAACAACCCAACCTGCATATTAGGTGTGAAAACTAAGACTCTAAATCCCTTTACTTTTCAACTATACATGTGACACTGTTAAAAATGTAAAGAGTGCATTGTCTAAATTGTGAAAAATATCTGTCCCATCCTACATGCAGTTACTAGTACACACATTTCAACTGCCTTGCATATTTATGGTACTTCTGTACTATATATCTGTTTCAAGCATGGGTAGTTTTCGTCTTAATGGTTTTTGCTCTGACTCTTGCATGATCACTAAACATTTTTATAATAGATAGATAGATAGATAGATAACACATTCTGAAGCCCATGTTTTCTAGCCTAGAAACTGTATCACTGTGTGGGGGGAGGGGGGGGGGGGAGAGTTTTACCAAGGAGTTATAACAGAAGGTCCTTCTGTTATAACTCCTTGGTTTTACCAAATGTACATGTTATGTATGTGGCCCCTATATTTTCAAATCTAACTAAGCACTAAGTTAACAATTTAAGTTTTACAATATCGCATTCGAAATGACTTCCATTAAACACCGCTGGTACTAAAATATTACTCACCTTAACAGGATATTCGATCATTTTCCGCCGTTTCCATGCAAACAAATGTCTAGTGGAGCATCTGTAAGCTTATCCGGTGTAATGTGTGTTATGTGCGCCGAAAGGAAATTAGAGTAACTCTGGTTATCACAAATAAAGTTTTGAACAATTCATATGGGTTCAAATTCCAAATAATTTCATTCTAAATATATATTAGAGAATAGTTTTTACAATTCAAGCGATTTTATTTTAGATTAAATATTAATAGTAAATTCCCAATTCCCTTTCGAACGCATCTGCGCAATTCAAGTCTGCGCATATCCTATGTAAACACCATTTTAAAATCCGAATGCACGCCGCGAGTGACATCGTAGTGTCAGTCCTTGTGAAGACGCTTTTTTGATACTACTTTACTTTAATGGTTTAATTAATATGTGAAGAATAAGGGGAATTGTTGAAATAAGGAGGTAAGCCTCGTGGGACACCATGAGAATGAATAAGTGAAGACATATCGTTCAAAACACCCTCGCATTATTTTTCACACTTTACACTGACCTACTAGTATTTGTAGCTAATACTTTATAGTAATACACTCGAACTGCATTTACCAGTGCATGGTTATCGTACCGGCGGGCCCGCAAGTCTTTCTTAACTGAAGTAATATATACTGGCATGCACTTGTAGATTCTCCAGCACAGTGAATGTAACATTTAACATCTAGGGAAAGAGAGATAAATAGTACCAGCTAGTGGTCTACCTAAGGCTAAGTGCCCACATGTTATAAAATAAATAATATGAATAAACAAAAGAAAGTTCTAAGCATTATTACATTAACTGTGATTTACAAGATAGAACAAGTTTAAAGACTAAAAAAACAATAGAATGACTTTCTTTGATACTATTACAGGAAGAAGAAGAAATGGCTTTGAATAGAAAGCGAGGAAGTAGTTTTTTAAATCAGACAGATGTAGAAAACAGCAATACAAACCACAAGGACAGTACACATTTATTACAGGTATATTGTAATGTCAAAATAATGTATAAGGGCTCTTAAATTAAAGTTTGATATTTCTTTAGTTTTGTTTACATGAATATAGTAAGACATTAAGTCAGTTGAATTTTAATGCTGTTTGTATTACTGTTGAACATTCCAAACTGCATATTTGTTTTTCCAAAAATGCTGTTTTTGATAGAACTAGAGAAAAACATAGGACTAGCTTTTCTGATTTATCACATTATTGATAAACACCAATAATTTCAGAAAAGACCTTGTTATGATCTCAGGGTATCTGCTCACATTACCCATTTATCAGGTAATTGATTTATAAAATAATCCAATTTTAATTTCTCTTAATTAACCAATTAAGCTGATTTAAACTTAAAGACTAATGCTCATAACTCCATTTCTTTACTTAAAATACATTTCTTGTAACCCTCTCTGAATTGTATAGATCTATATAAACTTGAATGTCAGCCTTTAGAAGTATCAAGTGACACAGTATGTCACAAAATGTTTTATTCACTTATCACTTTAAGATTTGTTTAAGTGAAAGTTTTACTATGCAGCAGTGGTGTGCAATTTTGTGGAAGGCAGGATTTAGAAATTGCATATATTTCAATTGATGACAATAATGTGGCCATTACTGAGTATTTTTTTCAGGAAATAATGAATCCACATTTAACATGAATATCAACAACCGTGTCTTCTCTCAAAACCAAACTGTCACAGCTGAATCCATGGAGGTAAGTTTTGACAATGGTCAGGAATAATAATATATTTAAAGTCAGAAATAAACTGTTCCATATTATTTTCACCTTATATAACCTCAGAGAAGAAAAAAAATCAATTCACCACATTTTAACCATACTGAACTAAATTTTTAAAACAGAAAAATGTATGAAATAAATAGTGAAACTATCCTTTGATGGCAGTACATCTGAATTATTGGATGGATAGGTATATAGCAGTTGATATTGATTATTAGTAATTTATAGTTTAAAAAGCCAGTATAATTACAGCAGGTATTTGAATTTCAAACACTTATGTTTCAGGTGAGCACTGCACCACCAGTGTATTACTCTGACATAAACTGCTCTATACAGGGTTTACACCTGTACCCAGTAGTGAGGAGGAGGTGTGTGCGCTGTCTGGCAGGAGAATCTGTAAGTGTTTCTTTCCATTATCATTCTGACCGAAAATTAGATCTCAACTTGAAGATCAATATTTTAGTTTAAACTCTGTCCCAAGCTAAATCAATGGCATTACAATGCAAGGGGTTTTTTTTAACATGAAAGAATTGGCTAGTGTTAGTTAATATTTTATTTTGTTAGTGGACTACTGTGGAATTACCTTGAACTGAAATAGACTCAAAATTATGGTATGACCAACTTTTGGTCAAGAGTTATTTTGTTAAAGCAGCCCCTTGTATTTGAAATGTCTTTGGCAATGACATTATTTGCAGGTCCTGCACCGTTTTGAAACTTGGGATAACAATTTTCAGTCCCCAAACCCATTATAAATTGCTCTGCAATTAAGAATTAATCAAGTGTATGGCAGTTAAGAATTTTTAATTTTTTTTCATTAATTTACAATGTGAAATAGTGAATTGAGAGAAGATTGATTCAGCTTCAGTTAGTATTATTTAATAATAATGGGCATTTATTATCTTTTACAGGGTCACATTAATCATGTTCTTGGCTGAACAACACCAGTTATGGTCCATCGAAGTGGAGTGGTCAGTTCCTTCTTACTGATCCTTGAAATAATATCCATGAATTACTTGAAGAAATGTAGTGTGGGTTCATGCCACAAAAAGAGGACATTGTATGCTCTAGATCTCATTGTATTTAGGAATCAGGATGGTCAATTTAAACTTTGCCACTAGGATTGAATGTTTGTCATACTTTCACTGCCTCTGAACTTGCTCTAAAAGGATTGTGAAGTTTAATTATTAGTACAGTGTACTATGTAATCTATCATGTAACATTTCTTAGTAGACAATATTTTAAATCCATGACAACACTTCTCAAATTAAGTATGATATCATATTAGCATATACCAAAATCTGATTTAATATGGACTCTAGTCAGTCTGATTTCTACATTTTATAAAAGATTGCACAGTGGAATCTCCACATAACCACTTTGTAAAATTGGATTAAAAATAGTTTTTAGTATGTGATTATAAGTTAATTTTATATGCGTTCATTTAGCTGTATAGGATTTAGAATTTAGTTATATACATTTTGTTTAAGAATTTTATATCAGTTTATAATATTAGCATTAGGGAAGTCAAAGTAAAGAAACTTCCCATTTGATATTTTCCAATTTTACTCAGTTGAGATGATGCCCCTCAATAAAGAAATACTCCCAAAGAATATATTGTATGATTATGCTTTGTGAAATTTAAATTAATCAATCATTAAAGATATCACTAATCTGCTTTTTTATGGCATCAATTGAAGTCAAATAATGTTTAATGATGTTTAAGTTGCATGTGAATTGAGGGCCTTGTAATACATTTATACCATTACTACCAGTTCCTTATATGACTCAGTCCACGTCAGAGGATAGAGCAGATAAATCATGAGGTGAGCAAAAAACTAAAACTGCTCCATCTTCATATTTCATAAATTTGTCCCTCCAGGATGTAGAAATCCCCAAATGATGTGGTAATGTATAGTGTGTGCAAAGCATAATTATTCAAACGAGTATAGGTAAATATAGGTACCATATGAAACCATTTCGTGGTATTTGGTCTGGTTAAGTGGCAAGTACTTAACAATTTAATTTAAGATGCACATTAATATTAACAGATGCTGTGTCACCTTTACAAACTTTTTGTCACATGCAGTACATACGTTAGCATCAATATTTTTTCTGAAAGCAAATTTGGTTCTGGGCAAAGTGACACCAATTTTTCACTTGCTGTCCAGTTTGGTGCATGTTTGCCTGATGGATTACACTTTCACCAAGATTCACAGCAAAATCATTACTATTACTTATATTTATCGTACTGAAAAATTGGATCTATTAACGTTAAAACTTTGAATTACTGATGAGTTAAAAGCAACAAAATAATTAGTCCGGTTGCTTAGGGTAAAAAAATGGCCAAATCGTGACACAGCGGATAAAAGCACCAAATTTTGCATGTGGGTACCTTTTGACATACTAAATCAAATTAGAGCCGTAGCCCACGGAAAAAAATTACCGTTTGGCCAAAAAATCCAAAATGGCCGCCAATTTGTGAAATTTTGTAGAAATATATACATTTCTATGTTGATTTTTATCAAATTAAGTATTTTCTCAATGTTTTCCACATCCTTATTACCCATATTATGCATATGTGTCAGATAACAAACTAGTGTCCTTGGACTTATTGAAAAATCCAAGATGGCCGCCGTATGGCATAGGAATACTGGAACATGTACAAGGGTTTTCAACTAACTAATGCCAACTAGGAAGATGCATTGCCCACTATCTAATTAACTTTGTTTCATATTACACAAATAATATATTTGTGGTGAGTAACTAACTTTTATTCACAGGCAATTCGAGAAAAATCCAAGATGGCCCCCATATCAAAGGAATATTAGTATACACATAGGACTTATTCTGCCATGGAGATATAATATTAAGTGATAAATAAGATTTGTTTCTGAGTATTTTCCACATCTTTTTAATTCACATAATATATATGTGATGAGAATTTTATGTGTATCCTTTTTGAAAACAAAACAAAACAAAATGGCTGCCATTAGCCATAGAAGGTGGGGTTCAGTTAATACCTGCGATAGATAGGCTTACAAATAAGCTGAATTCAGTTGTTATTCTGTTTTTTTTTTTAGTATTATTATCCCGTGATACATATCTGTTAGGTATTTAATGTCCATATTTTAACATTTTGGGGAAATCCAAAATGGCCTTCTTTTCCACATAGGAAAACTGGTGTATTAGATTTTATAGGCACTTCTAAGGCAAATGAGGGTAATCATGATATTTTTTCAAAATACTTAAGGGTATGCACTTGTTACCCACCAGATAGATATCTAAAAGTCCAAAAAGAATGTGGGAAATACCGAGAAACAAAATTCATTTTATATTGAACCCAATGTCTCTCTGGTAGTAGTTGACTCTACTATTCCTATTGTGAATTGCAGCAATGATTCTTGAATTTTCTCAAATACGCAAGATGCACACTTGCTACACACCGGATTTATAAAGAGTAAGGTTAATAAGGATGTCAACATGTTTAAACATCAAACGGCTTTATTTCATGTTGGAATCAATGTCTTAACTGTTCTATTAATTGACACCTATGTGCATTTGAATGATATATTCCTATGACAACTGGCAGCTATCTTTGGTTTTCTCCGAATATTACTCAAGGATACATACACTTTCAAAACACACAGAGTCTTTCATAAGGATAAATAGGATATGAAGAACATTTAAAAACGACCCAAAGTTAACTACATTTAAATCGTACTCACTGTATCTCTAGCATTATTTGATTATGTGTTCGAATATTCTAATGACAAAAGGCAGACATCTTGAATTTTTTCAGAATACCCAAAGATACACACATGCTACAGACCAGGTATACATCATAGGGGTAATAATAAATGGAATGAAAAACATAAATTATTTTTAAAACAAACCCTTGGTAATGTAATTGTATAATGAACCATATGCCCCTCTAGCAGCAATTGAAACCCACCCATTAGTATTCCTATGTTAAATTGTAGGTATCTTTTTCTCAGAATATCCAAGGATGCACACTATTCACCCACCAGATAGATATATCATAGGACTAAAAAGGATGGGCAAAACTTTATAAGCAAACACAAATTCACCCTGGCAGTAGATGAAAAGCTATGGGTGTGCAGTTGTAATTCCAGTAGTATTCCTATGGCCAGTGACGGCCATCTTGGGTTTTCTCAAAATGATCAAATATGCACATTTATTACCTGCTAGATATGTATCACAGTGTAATAATAATGTGTAAAACACTAAAAAAATAAACTGAATTTGATAGTGAATTAGCTGGCATTATTCTAACCCTTTGTAATACTAGAAGTATTCCTATTACATATGACGGCCATCTTGGATTTTCTCACAATGCCCAAGAATACTGTTAGTTGCTCACCACAAACATATTGTGTGGGAAGAAAGGATGTGGAAAACACTCAGAAACCAGCTTAAATTGATAGTGAAAAATAATCTTTCCAGTTGCCATTAGTTGAATCCCCCGTATACTAGAATTCCTGTGGCACATGGCAGCCATCTTTGATTTTCCAAAATGCCCAAGAACACTTCGTAGTTACTCACCACAAACATATTATGTGGGTAACAAAGATCTGAGAAACAGACTTAATTTGATAGTGGACAACGTATCGTTCTAGCTAGTAATAGTTGTGCACAAGTATTCCTATGGCTGTTTCTATGGCAAATGACAGCCATCTTGGATTTTTTCAAAAGGTCCAAGGGAACTTGTTTGCTATCTGACATATATGAATAAAATGGGTACTAAGGGTGTGGAAACCTCTGAGAAAATAATTTATTTGATAAAAATCAATATAGGTATGAACATATTTCTAAAGAATTCAATAAATTGGCGGCCATTTTGGATTTTTTGGCCAAACGGTAATTTTTTTCCGTGGGCTACGGCTCTAATTTGATTTAGAATGTCAAAAGGTACCCACATGCAAAATTTGGTGCTTTTATCCGCCGTGTCACGATTTTTTCCCTAAGCCACCGGACTAAATTGTTTTTAAGAAAAAATGAAAATCACCAACTTAAAATTTATTTATTTATTATGCAGTGAAAACCACAAGTAACTTGTCACTTTCATCAGTTATGACTTTTTTTTTTTAATCTCTCAAACTAAAGGTCTTCTTTATTTTCCTTAGGTTACAGTTTTATTTCCACTCCTTATATTGTCAGGGAAAACCCTTCATCTTAAAAAATTAGCATCAGCTGATAAGGTTGGCTGAGTTACATAACTTTGATGATGGGAAAGTTCCTATGAACAGAGAAGTCCCATCCTGGTGGATTCTGAAACAGATCAGAAAAAAAGGGTAGATATAGGTATAAAGCAAATTAGACGTGTCCATCTCTATTAAATTGAGATGGAGAGGAAGGCTGCTTGGCAGCAAACAGTGGAGAAAAACTTGGATTAAGACAATGTCATAACTCCTGGAATTCTGCCTAGCAGAATCAGTAGCACTGAAATCTCCATTACTTATTCACTTGAAACCAAGTGGTATGAAATCTGACCTGTTAAGTTGACACAAGGTTAATTTTACTTTTTAAAAAATTTACAAGCAGCTTTTCAAAGTGAATGGAAAGTAAATAAAAATTCATTAATAAATATTTTATACTGGTAAAATAAGAATAAAAGATTGTACTTAATCTGAAAATTTATAGAAAACAGCATGTGGAATATTATGATAATTGGAATTTAAATAAAAATGATTTATATGTTGAGCATATTACCTTTGATTCCTTTTTATGCCCTCCTGCTAACAAATTCATTACTACCATGTTGGTTTTTGATACTTTTATCAAATTGTTTATCTAAAAGAAATATGAAGGTAAATTAGGATAATTAGAAAAATTTAAAGTCCCGGGCCTGACATCAGATCTAAAATTACAGTATGGTGGAAGTTTCGACTTATCAAATGCTTTAAATACATGTGTCACAGTACAAGTTTAAAGACATTTACAAATTTTAAACTATTTATAGAAAAAAACACCAAACTTTAGATGTTATAGTTTTGTCTACTGAAACATTTGTCATTTCAAATGTTTTTAATTTATTATGTTATATTAAAAGTTTTAAGACATCCACAAAGAAGTGTTTCTCACCTCTTCTGTAGGGTTACTGACAGACTCATAACAAATTCTTGCTTGCTGGAAGTTCTTACAAGCAGCTGTGTACATTTCTTGTGCAGAAGGGTCGTGATCAAAACGACGTAAATCTGTCATATCCTGGATTGAAAGATTTAACAAGATTTGTCTTTACCCTTAACTAAACATTCAAATATATAGCACAAAATAAACCAGAGATAACTGGCTACAAAAATCAACAAACCAACAAAAGTTGCCTGCAACAAGGAACTAACACATAAAATGTAGCAAAATGCATACAAATTCTTACCATTATAATACTAGATGTCTGATTTCTACCAAAAAATTATGTGTCGACAACTACTGCTGCTCAAATACATAATTTCCTCCTGTCTGCTAAATATTGACCTGACTAAATATTACATCAAAACCTGAGGCCAGCATCTACATAATTTTTAAAGAAAAGATGCACTTTNATTATAATACTAGATGTCTGATTTCTACCAAAAAATTATGTGTCGACAACTACTGCTGCTCAAATACATAATTTCCTCCTGTCTGCTAAATATTGACCTGACTAAATATTACATCAAAACCTGAGGCCAGCATCTACATAATTTTTGAAGAAAAGATGCACATTGTAACTCACTTTGAACTGTGTGTAATGCACTGGAGGTGGGGTGCCCACCACCCCAAAAGGTGCAAATCTGTGGTTATATCTGACCTCCTCACTGTCAAACTCCACCTCTGGCTGCTTTAGTTTACCATCTATGTTGAACCCAACTAGTGCCTGTAAGATGGACAAAAGATGTAAGTGATGGATAGAAAATGTTAACATTGGTGACTTCAACTCTTTTTGTTAAGGAATGTATGCCAACATATTCTTTTCACAATTTTTTCTAGGTTTCTTGAGGATTGAAATGCAAATGTTTAAACAAATTGTACTTCAATAACAAAATATCCAGTTATAAAAAAGAGAAATGAACCCTATTTGAATGGGGTTCTTTAAGAAATGATTAATGTAAAGTATATCATTATATTAAACTATACACAACTGCCTTAAACAGTTACTTAACTTATTGCTACTCTCATTCTTTACCTTATAAAAGCCTCCACACAAAGCCTGTGTACCCTGAATGATTGCTACTTCTCTAGCATATTGCCTTCCTTTTTTCTTCTTCTTGTTCTTTTTAGCATTTCTGCCTTTTTGTTGTTCTGAAAGTAATTATAGCAATTTGTTTGATAACAAAAGAATAAAAATCGTAGTATTAACTTAGGCAAATAGATTAAACTGAATGAGAACTTAAAAAAAATCCTCTGTTAAAGTTTCCACATTAAGATAAAGCAACCCTGAAAGGTAATTTAATTCCAATCAAGCAGTCAAAGAGGAAGACTGTAATTCAGTGAAATTATGAAACATAAATTGTGTAAACATCACTTCAACCACCTAAACTGTACACTAGTTTAGAGGACAATTAGCTTTATCCACTATTTCTTATCATTATCACCTGCAATAGCATCTTGTTCCATTAGAAAAGTATCTGCTCTGTTAAGTGATGACACAAGCCAGTTGTAGAGAACTTCATAAAGATACCTGCAATCAGATTATTTTTGTTTTATTTTAGGCCACTGTTTGTTCGGCACCTGGTTAGATTTCTTTTTCTTTTTCTTTTTTTTCAAAAACTGTCTAGTGAGTCTGTCAACAAGGTTGCTATACTTGAACCTATCAGTCAATTTGTCTGAAACACAGTAAAGATATCTGCTTCAATTCCACAATATATCGAAGAAAAATCAAATCAATCAAGAAATCAGACTAACTCTAGGCTAATTGATACACTAACATCAACCAAAGAAGACAACACATTTTAAGAAGAACACACCAGAATATATAGTGGTACTCATGTGGAGCATATAGTTCCAATTCAAAGCCAGACTGGATATAGTAGATCATAACATGAAGGGTGTGGTAGAGCACCCAGGTACCAAAACATGCCAAATGCTGCCTATTGGGATCCACTTTAATGAGAGCACCATGGAGAGCAGAGTCCACACGGTCTGCCTGAAATAACATGAAAGTGAATGGCTTTAAAGTTAAATTTATTTCTGAGGCCTTAACCAATAGCATCATAATCACTACCATCCATATCCCCAGTACTAATGAAATCCATAGCACAATCACCACAAAAATCAAATCACCGTTTATTTCAACACCAGCAGTTCTATAAAAAACATTTGTTTGTCTTTTTAAAAAATTGTCTAAGAATTTTGCTACTTGTACCTTTGACAAAAGTAACTTACCTCTTCTTGTAGTGTTGCCAATTCCTCCAGCAGATGTCCCCACTTGTCTCTCTGTCTGGCCCTGTTGTGGCCTGTTATTTGAATAACATTGCACAATGGACGCACTGCATGTGTCAGTAAAGCATCTATATGTTCTTTGGCTTGTGGATTATTCAATATTGGGCTCCTAATTTAAGTAAATGCAATAGCTAAATACAACTGATCTTAGTGAATGTGTGTAAATGGACATTTCATCTACTAACTTTGCCTAAAACCTCTGTATCTCTTGGTCAACATATTTTAATATGTTAAAATGCTGTTAGTTTAAACTTGAAAATGACCTCTTCAGTTCAAATTCATAGTCTTCAAAAAGCAAACCAAATTTGTTTACTTAAAGGGAATGTGAAAAGGGAATGAAAAACTTAGATCACTGAGAGACTTACAAATAATGTAAATTTAATACTTACTTCAGCATGAGAGCTGGGGGAGCTATGAAATTCCTGATCTGTTCCCTGAGAACATCTTGCATGAGCTGGGTACCAAACACTCTCCTGCTCTGATTCAGGTATGCCAGCTTAACAAGAAAGGATAAATATATTTTACCTACAGTGTACCTGTGTCTGCACATGATGTGTAAGATACGTAAGAAGCAATCATTTCTTACTCAGTTCTTTGTAGGATAACGCTAAGATAAAATTTGTAAGATCAACATGCTTTATATATATTTATAAATGTCTGACATTTTTCACAAATTAACCAAACCTGATACTTATATACTAAGTAATACTCTTCATTAGGAAACTGACTTGAGTTAGTCAACAATAATACGACTTACCTGTACTAAAGACCTGGACAGCACACTGGGAGATTTCCTGCTAAATTCCAAGAAAAAATCCTGGATAAAAGAGAATGAATGTAAAAGAAAACATGAAATAAAATGCCTATATCATACGCCCCATTTAATACATTCATAACCAATATAAATAAGGTATTATTAAAATATAATCATTATCAATATCAATCTGAATATTTTTCTTAAAGGTAATAATTGCTGCCACACATAATTGTTTCCTTAATCCTTACTACTTATTTTTTGATACTTACAATAGCCCCATGCAGGGTTGTACATTCAGTGACAGAACACACTGCTTTGAAGTCATGTATGAGCTCCTGTAGATACTGAATGGTTTCTTCCCTTGTTTTTATCCTGGTATATCTGGGAAAGGTGGGAGGCAGCAGTCTCTGGTTCACCAGGGGCTCAAACCCCATAATAAGTGGATAATCTGATAAATGTATTTAAAAAACCATGCCTAAAGTTGATCAGATTCATAGACTTGACTTACACAATGTTGATGAAAATCTTTGCCAAAGTTAGATAAATCATTTATTTTAATGCAGAATTGTTGCAAAGAGACACTGCAAATGATTTCTGATTATCTGATGGTGCAAAGTTTGGTATAAGGGTCCCAGGAATGGTGTATGTAGATGGAATGGTGAGCAAAGAATTGTAAATGGAACAGTGCAGTTTTACAGAGTAAGTCAACTCTGACCTTGCACAAATTTGATAAGGCAAGTCTAACATTAAACAAATCTGGTTTAGTCCAGGCCAATATACAAAGCATGTTTTGCACACCTGCTGACTTTTCATCTGGCTGTACTCCAAGCTGAATTGTGCTCTTCAAGGCAGGTATCAGCTCTAACATTTGATTGCAGTATTTGTCAGCATCAGGGATTCCTTGGCACTAAATGCATCAAATAAATGAAAAAATATAAATATTAAAATTTGATCTATTACATCAAAAACAAAGTACCTAGCAAAATAATCAACTTTTCCAATAAAGGAATATACTGTCTATGAAAAACTACTACAAAATTATGCAGGCAAAAAGTAAATTTGCCTGGTAAAAATTAAGAAGTGGATATGATGCTGTATGGTTTTTGTTTTAAATTCAAGACACATAAATCATTCATAGCTTGATGTCAACTGTCTGAAATAAACTAGTTTCAACAAATAGACCATTTTTCACCTTTTCTTTTGTAAAAGCCAGCAATGTTGTCAGTAGCAGTCTGCAGAATTTCAGCCTTGAAAAAACAGCTACAGCTAACTCATGCTACAATAAAGAAGGAATGTGACTTTAAAATCTAGTTCAGCATTGGCATGGCACAAATAGAATCATTTTAATTTCCTGGTTTCACATTAAAGATGTCTCTCTATTCTTCTGTATACTTGATAACTTCTTCGATATCCAGTGTTATGGCAAGTTTTAATATGCATAATTTATTGCCTCAATAAAAACAGAAGTAAGTTTTTTGAAGTAAGTTCTTTGAACCCTATGTGGAAAAATAGTTGACCGTTTTTTAAAGAAATGTATAATAACAAACCTCTTCAGCAATTACAGCAGCTCTTTCCTCTCCTGATTTACTCCTAGTATTCTGAAACGATGTAAGATAACTGTTTTGTTACAAATACTTATCTCCATATTGATTCCAAGCTTAACATTCCTAATTGTATAAAATATAAATAAATGGACACATCCGTACACAGTTAAAACCTTGAATGAAAAGAGAAGGGAATATAACATTGCAAAAACTGTAGGAGTTTAAGCAGAAAGATTATAATGACCAAAGTTGATTTACAATTCAATTTACAAATTGCTCACGCACCCTGATGGTCTTGCTGAGTTCTTCCTCTGCCTCCTTCACCATCCCTGTAACTCTCATATCTGTGATATCACCAGCCATCTTAAATCCGTATGTCATAGGCTGAAAGTCCTCCTGATCAGAAGAACACAAGTTGTGTAAAAAAAAAAAATTAATGCAAATGAACTGTCAGGTACCATGTGTTTGTAACTTCTTTTCTACCTGGAGCAAATATAGTAAAAAAAACAATTTTCAAACAATCCACATTAAATTTAAATTAAAATTGTAAAATAAATCATTTCTGTTAACAGCAGTAACATACAAAGCACTGTAATACATGCTTTATCAACAGTACATGAAAAATATTATAATTTGTGGGTTTGTGATCTATCTCACCCAGAACACTAACCTCCTCGAACACTGACGCCCTGTTGATCCTGTCCCTAATGAGATCTACAATCTTCAGCATGCATAAGGAAAATGCCTTCATAAAGCGGTCTTCTAAGATAAATGGATTGTGCAGATACAAATTTGTGAATACAGTCTGTGCTAAGGAGTGGCCTTCTAGCCATGTTACCTGAAAGAAAAGATTAGGTTTATGCTTTTAAAAACATCTTCATAAAATAAAAGAATTATGACAAAATGGACAGGCAATATGCCATGATTAATTATAAAGAAAGTCAGTCAGGATTAAAACCCAAGAAAAAACAAAAATACAACTATGCGTACAGATACTTACTAAACATGATAAAGTCATGTCCATTATACCAATCTGATCTTGCAGGGGGATATCTTGAATTTTGATAGTACCAGCCTGAAAAGAAAAAATACACTTTATTCAAATTGCTATTAAAATTTTCCAAAATGTTTTCACAATTACTTATTTCATCTACCATAAAATTTCACACCATGGGCAACCTAACTTTTCTTTTCATTATTTTGTTAGCTTAACTCTTAACTCTTATAAACTTAATTTCTATTAGCACATGTAAATGTGTATACGATCCTATATTTCACTTTAAATTGTGTTTCAATATCCATACCTCAATAGCTTGTTCAAAACTTAATACTTTTCGTTTTGTCTGATTGCACATCATTCCTGCATCCATCTTAGGGTCCATCATTTCTATGGCAGACATAGCTTCAAACAAACCAAAGCTGAAAAAAGCAGTGAAAGTCAATTTAAGCATAACATAAAACACTGTATTCATAACAGGATTATAATGTATAAACATCAAGAAGAAGCATTGTGAAACAAAATCCCTTAGTTCAACCCAACATTCATTCTCAATATATAACAGTTGTCTTTGATGTGAGTCTAACCACACTAAAAGTTCAAATATTAATTACTTCAAATTTTATGCTCAGAAATTTACTCATCCAATACAGTCAGCCAGAAAGAACTTTAACTAACAAATATACATACTCTGAATCATGTAAAAGTTCTCCCAGACTTAACTCTGAGGCAGCTTCCATGAATTCCTCAGTTACATCTTGCCAGTTATAGAGCACTGTTTCTGTGCTACCCTGGGGCTGAACTTTATCAGCATCACTTGTTTCTGCATTTGCCATTGCAGACTGAATTTTTTACCTGTGAGATGAAAATAAATAATCTTCATCAAAATTAATAATAATAAACATGGACATTAAATGGAAACTAGGCAAAGGAAAGCACATTTAACAAGTCTATCAGCATGCATGCAAAATGAAACACTTTCTTTAAAATGTTGAATATTTTAAAATCAACTTCATACTATAATACGTTTACCAAAATTTAGGTAAAATTAAATGCAGTATATAGTTTAAAATAAAACAACTTGACATTTTAGTTTGAACTAGCTGAGTAGCGGAAGAGAAGACAACTCGAACAACAAGAAATCTGATCATGCCCTAAATATATAATCATATTTACAAGTTTTTTCATTTAAGATCTTCCCTTTACTTACAACTCCAGCATGCCACAACATTTCGAAATGCACCACAGCACGTGATTTACAGATACTTACTCTTAACAGAATAGGACAAAAGCGGAAGTTTGTTTCTTCTACCAAGCGCTACGGATTTGCTATTTTTCTGACTTATGATTGATTAATTACTGAAAAGCAGACAATTCTATTGGCTAAAATTAAACTTCCGGTTTCAATATGGAGGAAGGCAGAACGTGTTTTTAATCTGTGGTGAGTTGTTTATCTCCGGTATAGTTTTGCGAAAGAGACTAACATGTTATAGATAAGAAATATCAAAATAAAGACAATTCATCAACAAATTCTATATAACTATTTTAAAGTTCCTAAAATGCCTGGACCGGTTTCATTGCAGTCGCTTTGAAGCGTTGAATCGTGAACAACTGCAGGGAGACCGAAGCTACAAGTTTACCTATTTGTGTGAGGGAAACTTTGTTTAAGAACATTGATGTTAGGTTCAGAACTGTGAAAAAATCGAACATTTGCATCTGGACGGATATGTGCCTATTCTAGGGGATAACAAGTTTGTGCTCCAAACTGCTAACTGTTATATAAATGGTGTATACAGTATGCATCAATAGCAAATTTTCATCTTCATAGTTGCTTTTGTATAACTAATTTGTCATCATTATTTTTGCTTAATAATACTAGTATTATTGTCTTTTCAGCTGAGTTGTTTGAAGCTTTTATATTTTTCTATAAATGGTATATACTGTATAGTATGTATTAATAGTAAATTTTTTTTATCTTCATTGTTGCTAATGTAGAAATAATTTATCATCATTATTTTTGCTCATTAATGCTACTATTATTGTCTTTTCAGCTGAGTGGTCTGAAGCTTTGAGTTTCACACACCAGTAGATTGGATCTGTAAGAAAAACACCATGGAAGACTTGGTGGCATCTTTGGCTGGGAGTTTCAGTGTAACATCAGAACCTAACAGCACAGCGGCACCACACCCTAGGTTCAGCCAATACAAAGTCAAAGGCAATGTTCTTGATCAAGCAGAGAGAAGGAAACGAATGTTAGATGCCCAGAAAAAGTAAAGAAAATAGCAAACACAAACATTGTCAGATTTATTTGTAAGAAGCACATTCTTGTATGTTCAGGTGGTTTACTTTAGAATGGCTAATTCAAATTCTTTCACATAGGATGTTTTTCTTTCCTTTTTTATTTTGAAATTTTTTTATTCTCTTTTACATATTGATTAAGATTATTATTATTACAATATATAATTAATATATGTAACATACAAAGATATTGATAGTATTCATTATTTGTCAGGTCTGTAAGGTTTTATTAAACACTTCATTACATGAAAAAAATTATGCTGAGACAGGGAGCTCTAATAAAATGCACAGTGAATAAGGCAGCACATGCTAATTAAATTATCATCATTTCTGTTGCTTATTTACGCCTTTGAAAAAAGATTTAAGTTTCAAATTGTCAGAGATATTAAAGTTTGAACCAAGGCATAGTCACTAACTTTTTTCCTTACTTTGTAGACAAAGGTTTGATTACTTGAGTTACCTGCGCAATGTGGCTGAAGATGATTGGACTGAGGATGATAATGAAATGTATGGGGAAGAGGAGGTGGCTGATCAAGGATTTGAAGAAATGGACTGTGAGGTGGTCTTTAAGAAACCAGGAAGAAGATATAAAAATCAGGTAGATGCTAAAATTTTTGTTTTTGATGCTCAGTGTGTGTCTCAAAGATGTGAATCACTACTTCCAACAAATACGTAATATTTGGCCCTGTTTGTTTGTTTGTTAAGCTTTTCGAAACATTATGCAAAAGGTTACAGACAGATTTTGATAAATTTTTCTGTGCTTTTAAAAATGATTTCTTTAGAATCATGGAATTAAGCATGATTATTAGTAATTGCTCAATACATTACTAGCAAAAGTTGCAGAAAGTGTACTACAAAATGTTAAACATTTTATAGTTGATGCTCTCTGAGTGGATGGTAGAGGTACCGGAAGACTTTGAGAAAGAATGGATACTTGTCAACTGCCCTGTTGGCAAACGCTCTCTGGTGGTGGCATCCATGGTAATGTAGAAGGTTATGTGCATTTTATAAAATTTTATACAATTATAAAATTTGTGCCTTCACTGTTAATATACAGCATGTGTTGTATCTGAGCTGCAGGTACATTATGCATACATTCAATGTGCTTGGCTTATAAATATGACCACGTTGAGTAATAGGTGTGAAACTATAAATTGCCAATGGGCAGAATATTTAATAAAATGTTAAATTTACAATAATCAGTTTAAATGTTTTGTGCCTGTAGTTATATTATTTAATTATCAAATGAATGACTTATATATTTGCATTTAACTTGATGCTGATTTTTTTTTTTTTTTTTTTTTTGAGGGGTTGTGTCCTAAATATGTCTGTTCTGTGGTTTCAGGGCAACACCAGAGCATACACAAGGAGTGGCTACTGTGCGATGTCAGGTTTCCCATCCACACTCCCAGGGGGAAATAGAAAGCAGCTGGGAAGAAATGAAAATAGTAAGGTTATTACATGAACATAAGCTCATTGCTCATTTTTTTCCCAAAGAAATATGGATGTCATTGAAGATAGATAGATAGATAGATAGATAGATAGAGGGAAATGAAATGGGAGGTGTGATATAAATCCAGGTTTTGAATTTTTTGTCAAATTTTTTCATATGCATTTAAGCTATATATTTAATGTGTGTTACTCATAGAATGTAAAAAGATCATGCAACTTAAATAATCTTGATTTATGCTCAATTTCATTACAGTCTGTCATATTTAATTTTTCCCAGAATACACAGTTCTAGACTGCATTTACAGTGAGGTACAGAAGACCTTTTATATCCTTGATATCATGTGTTGGGCAGGTTACCCAGTCATGGAATCTGAGGTATGGAGCTTGTAAATATGTTTTATTAGATTATCATAGTTCAGACTCATTGTTTTTTTTCTGTCTCTAGCTTTTGCATTTTTTTCACTTTGTTCAAGGTTCCAATTTTTCTTTCATCCAGTACAGGGCAGTAGAAATATAACTTGTTTTTTCTCTTTTTAGACAGAATTTCGATTCTTTTGGCTCAATGAGAAAGTGAAGGAAAATCCTGAAGTCACACAGATATCAAAGCTCAACTCGGTATGTCTTCTTGTTGGCCTTCATTTCAGTATCAGTAAAAATTGTTTGTCAAACAATACATTTTAATCACATTGCTTTAAAATGTGTATATTTATCAGTGAAGAAAAATTAACATAAATTTTAAATTCCTGAATTAAAGTAAAAATTAGGAGTATCTGTCATGACATGTAGGTGCTGTAGTAATTTTTTGGCAAATAAATTTAATTGTCACACTTTTATTATTTTCAGTATTGCTTTCTACCCTTGCCTTATCATTCTTGTGACAAGGAAACTATTTCCAGAGTGATCTCCTCGAACTTAACCTTTGAAGTAAGTACATTGTAAGATACACATAATGTGGAAGGAGATATCTGAGAAATCAATTAATGGGTTAAACAGTACGAGCACAAGTGCAATTCCTCCACGCTTATATTAAGACATTATTGTAATGGTGAAAGAAAGTGCAAATGTGATAAAATAGGCTATTCATTATCTCTGTGTAATGATAAAGGATCAAATTGAAGAAGGATCAAAGCATCATGCCTTGTGATAGAAAACCTTTTTTTAGTCTCTTTAGAAAAGATTTCCTTTTTGTACCCCCCCCCCCCCCAAAAAAAAAAAAAAAAAAAAATTGAATAGTCATTAAATTTTTACTGTTATCTAAAATTTTATCCAGTACAAATAGAGAACTGGAAATCACTTTTGACTCTTTCAGCTGGATGGCCTGCTGTTTTACCACAAGAGGACGAGTTATACATTTGGTACCACTCCTCTCTGTTTGTGGCTCAAAGGATACATGCTTCCTGAAATTCTTGGGATTCAAGTGCCAGCTTTTTATATGCAAACTAAGCCCAGCAGCTATTCAACATTTAGTGACCACATTTTAAAAGTCAAAGCAGATAAAGATCGACATGAGAAAGACAAAGAAAAGGCTCTTTTAAGTAATACAGGTCATTTAGAAGGTGATAACAAAAAGAAAAAGAGCCAGAGAGCAAAGCAAAAACATCAGGAGATGGAAATAGAGAATGTAGGCAATATGGAAGGCGAGAGAGGACAGGGTGACAACACTGGAATAGACCTGGTAAAGAAAGATGGAATTGAAGTTGACCATACTTAAAATTTGGCACATTCAGTTTCTCCTCTCTCCCAAGACAATTATATATTTCTAAGTTTTTAACCCTTTTTAAATACATGACTTGGATAAAAGATAATTGAATGTAAAAGTGTTTTAATATTTTAATTCATTATTTAAAAGAGTTTTCTAAAATAAATGTGAAAAATACTGGTTAGGAAATTCAAATGTGAATCATCTGAAAAACAAAGCTAGGATTGACCTAAATTCTTGCTAATATTTTTCTTCTGCTGTGCATGGCTGTTATTTAGGCCTACACAAATTTTAGGATACATGCAAAACTGAGGATTATTTTCAGGCATTAATAAAGACAAAACGCCAGTGTAAAATTCAGTACTGAAAGTTTTGACTACCAAGTTTATTCACCTGGTACTCTTCACTTATTATAACACATAACAACTTGCAATTTAAAGTAGAAACTAAGACAACTTGCTTGAAGTTTCAACCCTAGAGCTCATTAGAAATGAACAATCCGGTTTTCACCACAACAGCACTGAATAATATCACACTCTACAAACTCTGTCCTAAGTGTTTCCATTTTGATTATAATATTTACTGCACTAGTTTTAGTGAACCAATGAGAAGAAACACAAACAAATATAACACTTTACTAGTTTGATGTTGGTTATAATTCTTGGCCTCATTTTGCATTTACTAAACTAATCCACTGTAAGACTGCCAATAAACAAAGGCTTGACTATCTACCATACTAAAAAAGATTTTACAATAAAGATTCTTCGTTTGTTATTGAATTTAAAAATATTAAGTATGAAATCCATGTTCTATAAGATACTTAAAATGTAAAAATCATAATCCTTTGTTAACATAAATTGCCTTTTGATTCTCAAAATGAATGCCTCCAATAACTTAGGCTCTTCTTTAATTGTGCAAAATACACCTGCCTTGTTATAATCATAATGTTATGTCATTTACTACACATCAAACACTCATTCTTCGTTTAATTCATAACACATGAATTTGTAAGTTACACATCTTTTTCTTTTTGCTTAGAGTACATGTCCTCATTTTCCTGCAAGTTGTGATAAAATAATTAAAATTGAGCTCTTTTTTTCATGTATGCCACAAAGGTCATTCAATAATGGAGTAAATACTCTCAAAGCTCTGCTACTAATAATGATCTCATATTTATTATTAAAAAGTGACAAATTATGATAAAATATAGGAAAAAACCAACAGATGATACAAGTATCTGCATCATCAATGAGATGCAACTATCTAAAAACTCAACTATGGTACATGTAAGATGAAGGATAATGTTTAACAGCAAAGCTACATGTATTTCCACTCTTTTTCCATGTGATAAGAACTTTTAGAGTAGAAAACTTGCTCTAAAATGTTATTACTGTGCACCAGGCACCTTGAATACTGTCCTCTGTGTTAGTTACTAATATCAAGTATAATATATAGGTCAGAAATACCTTATATACAATGGCACATCAGTGATAATGCACAATAATTAAACTTGTACGAATGATACTTAATACGCAAGAAAAATATCACATATATGATACATAATACATGTATATGTAGTTTAAACTAATAAATAGATATTATACATACTTGTATGTGTAGCTATTAAAGCAAAATCAAATTTATACTACAGAATTCCACACAACCAAGAGTAAGTTGATAGTCAAACATCATGTGCTACCTGTTGAGACGTGCTGGTTCTCCATTACTAGATGAATAAGGTCCATAATTACATCTCCGTTCAGTGCCAGCACAGCTTTTATGTGACAAAACCTTTGTATGACAACATCTTCATTGCCAGTAAACAGGATATTCATGCAGGCTACTGGTACCCCCCCCCCTCCCACCCCTGCCAATGTGCCCTTCCCCATAACATACTGACCTGTCACAGTAATCACTTCAAATTTTACCACCTCACTCATTTTTATAGTGCATTTCAAGTTTAACCATTTCAGCTATTTAAAAAATGTCCTTCCAGACAAATAACCAACTAGCTTTTCAAAACTTATGAATTGGTATTACCAACAGAAACATTTTCAGTGAATTTGTTTCTTAGAATCTTTTGAGTAGTAATTCAATGTTATGAGTAATTACCATATCCACTAAATAATGTCAGGAACAATGTGCAATGTATATTTGTTTCATATAATGATCATATTCAAACCACCTGTGCAACATCATAAACATCTATGGTGTGTAAATTACTTGCTCTCCAAAAGGATGTGCATTAATCCAATACTGTTACCAACGTGCTCATCATCTAAACCCCCCTCCCTAATCAATACTAGATAAACAAGCATTTGTGCATTCTCAAACTACAAACTAGAATGTTTACATATCAAGTGTTTTTGGAAAGGGGCTAAGACTTGACACATCTGCTTGTTTCTTTCCAATAATTCACTGTACACCTCTAACAACCTGCATCACAACATACAGTGAATGAACAAAATTCAGGCAACAGCCTTGCATTAGAATTTAAACCATTAACACACACATGTTCGTGCCTCAGAATGTCCGATGCGTACCTGCTCAGTAACATAAGACACAGAAAGGCACACACCCTTTGATTACATCTGAGAGGTTTCTATTTTGTGCAGTGTGCTTCAACATTTAATGTGTAAGCCTAACTTTTTGGCAAAAAAATTAAAGACAATTTGAAAAAGTTGCATCCTGTAAAAATATTTTAGAACACTGTGTAAACATTGACCAAGATACATTATATACTAATGAGGTGAAGGGGAGTAAAGAAACGTTAGAGGGGCATACATAACAGGGGGTACCAACACTCAAACCGTCAAGTTTGATTTATGGTGCAATAACACCAAACTAAAACAACTGTCAAAAAGACAATATCTACTGGATATTTCAGACAGATACGTCATCTGTAAGATGCAGAAAATAATCATAAATTTTTTTTTTATCTCTATCTGTTAATACAGACACCGTGGTGAACACAATTCTGTGACCCATCCTCTGGTCACAATCATAACAAACACTATTTGAACTTACGCAGTGCATTTTTACATTTTCATAATCTGTTTTTAATACATCTTTTTCCACACTCTGTGTGGGACCATGTGTACATTGCTGCTAAGATAACTCTTCTGATACATCTTCTACTGTCAAGCTTTCTTGTTGTGCCACTGGCTCTCTGTCTTTTATTGTAACTTTCTTTGTGCCTGTAGATTCCAGATCCCCATTACTCATCTGTTGTTCTTCCCTGGCACCGTTTTCTGTAGTTTGTTCACTTTCTGTTCCATCTTCTTGTTCTGTGCTGCTCTGCTTCTGTTGTTTGTCCTGTTCTTCCTTTTGCTGAGTCTGCCAACACCTGTAGTTCTCTTGGAGGTACCCAATCAGGTCAGGGACATCAGCAAAGTCTACAGAATTCAAGAAATTATTTAAAAATCAATATGAGGATATATAAAGGAGGGAAAAGTTAACTGAATGACATGCCTATAATGCAGGTGTATTATAAAACAAAGATACTGTTTTAAATCATACAAAATAATTCTTGTACCTCCCTCCCTTTTCATCTAAGATTCTGAATAGAAGATCTTCTCTGGTACTAACTGATCTCATTTGTCTCTAACATTTTTACAAAATTTCACACATATTAAAAAACATTAGAGTTCTTACAGTACACACTTTCTGCCACGGAAGTGTAAGCAGCAATATAAACTCACCATCCCATGCCTCAAACATCTCATTTATGAAAAAGTCAATAAAACTAATCTGTGACTTAGGTATACTGCAAGTTTTCCTATCAAATACTGGCATCACCACTGGCAGACCAAGCGACTTCTCCTCATCAGTCTGAAAATAGATGCAGTCCATGCATCACATTTGTTTCTTATCTTTACTAAATAGTCCAGACTGACTTAAAGCAATATTATAGGTATTCACATTCATAGTCTTTTGTCTGGTCTCTAAGAAAAGTGAAGGCGAAATGATATCTTAATGGCAGAGAAACGTCAGTTGACCTTTGAATAAAGAGAGGCGATAACTACCAACACAAATAGGACGATAATGAAAAAGGCATAATTCAATGGGAAAAAACATAAGAATTGTAATTGTTAATGGCAAAGAAAGAAAGAAAAAAAGAAAAACTCATATCAAGATGGTCAACTTTGTATATTTTTAATGTAAGTTTGTACCTGCTGAAAGTATTCTTCTGCTATTCTTAGAGCCCACTCTTTGCACAAGTAGAATGGCCTGGCTGGGTTAGACACATCAGAACATTTGATGATCATACGCTTGATAACAGCTTTGTTCTCTGGCAAGGATAATGTAGTTTGAGCATCTTGAGACCCATTCTGAAAAACAAAAATGAGCATTTTATTCATTAAAAAATATACATTGAAATGATTTGGTGCTGCAGCCAAGTTGGTAGTTTAGTAACTACATGAACGGTAGTAAGGTTATTATCATTAACATAAAACCCCTTTCTTGTTAATAATCAAAATCTATAATTTCTGAGACATTATTTCTTTATATCTAACAAATACACCATAATCAAAAAATCATTGGCTGATAAAATGACCCAAAAAAAAAAANAAATGGTTTTCCATTTATGGTGTTATCGGTGCTGCATATATGCTGAAAAAAGTGAAAAAACAGCATAAATTCCCTATAAGTGACCCGATCATGCTGATATTCGAACTTGACCTGCATATTATGAATATTCATCAGTTCTGTAAGTTTCAAGCCAAAAGAAAAAATATTTTTCCACTTATCGTGTTATCGGTAAAAGTGCACGGCGACGACGGCAACGACGGCGACGGCGACGACAGACGCAGATGACGGCTATATGTACAGACACATCTGTGTCTGTACATAAAAAAGGGAACTGATAGTGAAGACAGAGCTGTCTTCCTTGAAGATACTGTGTATCAATATACCCACCAGTGAGAAATCCTCCTCTTCTTTTTCCACAAAATGCTTTGTACAGTTTACAAACTTTGATAAATGCTCAAAATGTTTGGTGAGTTCAGTTGCCAGAACCATGTCAATAATCATCTGGCGCATAGCACGGAAATCATCTCTATAGAGAGAAATAAATAAATAAATAAATAAATATAATAAACAAAATGAAAAAGCTCTACATTTTAACCTAGCTGTTAACATATTTAACCTTTATCTAAATGTATATATTAAATTTGATCTTACTTCAATCCAGGGCTTGATAAAGTTAGAAGCAATCTATATCTTTCAAGCAAATGAACAAGCTGTTGTAAAGGTCTCATCATCATTAGCTGCGCTCTTTTGTTACATTATTAGATTTGGCTCTATCCCTTTTCAAGTGAAATCCTACCTCTCCAAGTTCTTAAATATATTGACGTCATCATTCTGTGCAGACAGGCGGAAAGCCAAAGATACATGGTGGCTTTCCAGGACGGCTCTACAATGAGGTAAAAAAATCAAATTATCAACAAATTGTTTAAAAATTTTAGTTTATCAATTTTGCAACTTCTGTTATCTCTCAGGCACAAGTCTCCCCACTTACATTGTATATCTGAATGGATTGGTTTATTTATTCAAGCTGGTACACTTATCAATTGAAACTGTTACAAGTATAATACATTTAGTGTCAATTATGATTTTTCATGTGTGTATGAATGTGTGCATCATGTTACAATACCCTTGTGTATTGAACTTACAGATCATTGTAGACAAGTGCCAGGTCATTGCCAGCATTGACTAAGAAGGCATTTGTTTTCCCAGGGTGATCCACATCATGGACCACTGCGGCAATCAGCGATGCCACTTCGTCCATGTGATCAAATAAACTCTGAAATGTTAATCAATGGTAGCAGTGTAGTTGACAAGTGTACAATATTCTGAAAGATGAAGTTCACATCTTAAATGTGCTGTAATACAGGAACTATAAGAGGTCTGAATGATAAATTGAGCTAGCTATACATCCGTCTCCAGAGGTTTGAGCTGTGCATTTGGCATACTGTACAAGTTCACAAAAAAAGCTCAGTGTGTGGGACAAGCAACATTTTTACCATGAGTCAAAAAAGTTGGCAAATTACATTGGGTCTGAATTGGACATTTTACACAATTCTATTAGATTTTTATGTCAAAAATTCTAACTCAATGACAGTTAGACTATTTCAAATATATCATGTGCAGGGGACAGCCACTGACATTTAACACACGTCACAGGTGCAGACTTAAATATGGGAGAGTATATATGTCATCTTCAGTGGGTGTTTATCAAAATCAAATCACCTTGATTCTTTGTCTTTCCAGGAAGTAGGCTGTTGACTGCATGACATCGGCAGCATGTGTGGAGTTGTGATATTTGTTGCTGCTGTGATATTTGGCTTCAATAAGCTGCAACCAGTTCCACATGGTGGTTTCACTGGTATTTAGAAATTCACAAACATTGAACCGTGTGAATGTCTTCATTGCCAAATATGCTAAGGGCCTGAAATTAAAAAAAGAAGAAAAATTAAACAAATGAATAAATTATAAAATCAATAATGAAAAAAAATTATACAAAAACATTTGATAAATTAAGTGAAACTGTGATTTTGTAAATACTGTAAGAAATATATTCCTAACCTCCTGTTAGTGAGTCTTTCCAGTTCCAGTATATTGAACTCCCACTGGGGTTCAGTCTCTAGGAGTCTGGAGATGTCTGCTGGGACCTGAGACAGCATTGTGGCAGGCAACTGCTGAGGAATGTGACTGTGGTGACCTGGAATATAACACAGCCCTATCTAATGCATACACATACCAGTGTTAGCAAATGTATACACCTTACTATATGACTGAGTCTTCATATATTGTGCAGTGTTTGTACTTTTTTTTTACTGATTATCAGGAATGATGTCACACAGCAAGTGCATGTACAGCACTTGGCTGCTAGGTTGACTGCACGCTGTTGTGTGGAAACCACTTCGCCGGCACTACGAGTTATGGAGTCATAACTGCTACAATCTAATAAATATCAATTCTTTTTTTTTTCTTGAATCCATGAAATGTTGCTGCTTATAGAAGAGATCAAGTTTTTGTGAAACTGAGACTTAGACCTGGTTGCAGATTTTTGAAGGAGATAAAAATGCAACCACAGGCACAGGGAATTTTTTTAAAATTAGTATCTCAAAATAAAGTACACACACTTGCAATCCAAAGACTCTGGACTTGAAATATTTGCCAAAGGTTTTTATCAAATTGTCCATCAAATAGATGCAGTACTCACTAAATTTATCTGTGGATGACATCCTTCTCTTTGTTGTTCCTTGCTGCAAAAACAAAAATTACAGTACATGAATTTACGACTACTTACACAGAGTGTCTAAACATACAGAGAATATGGATATATCATAAGGAGTCAGTGTCTACCACCCATGCCTTATTCCTATCATTTAATAAGATCTAACAGATATCATCAACTTCTGGACAAATTACAAATAATGAGACAGTAAAAATAACTTTCTTTTGCTATATACTGTAGCGAAGTTATTTTAAGTTGTTGTTTTTTTCTTCTAGAATTTATTGTTCATGCATTATTCAAATGTTTGATTTGAGAAAATACTTCATGACTGCTGCTGAAAATATTACAATATGCAAACCCTAAGCTTTAATTAACTAAAATATTTATTCCCTATGCCTATTGAGGGAGCATGTATAGCATATATTCTGAAGGTCCACTATTCCTAAAGTCTGATATTCCAAGAGTTCCCTGTTCCAAAGGTTTTCCATTCTAAAATACGCCTCAAGAGTAGCAGAAAGAATTCAAATATAATGTAAAGAAAATATGTAAAATATATACATTAATTTGGTGTGCACTTCTTTGGTGATAGATGAATGATTGTTAAATTTAACCATCAAAAAATTAAGTATAACAGCATATGTTTATTATAATTTGGCAATTTGCTGTGTTTAAGTGTATTAAAGAGAGTATTACCTCAAATTGCTGTTTTTCTGGCATTGTGGGTAGAATTTTAGTAACATAAGACATAAGACATTTTTTAAAGATTAAGCTTAAAATTAGACTTCCAATTAATTCTACACTACAGCATGACAATAATGTCTTTGGAATAGCAAACATTATAAATATCAACCTTTCAGAATAAAAAACTTAAATATAACAGATCCTTAGCCTTTAGAATAGTGAAACCAGATTTCAGTGGTCAGAAAAAACTTAGCTTAAAAACATTTGGGGGGCATTTTTTGGAACAGTGAACCTTAGGAATAGTGGACCTTCGGAACATAGAGCTGACTGCCCTATTGATACATGTGAATGCAAAATATGTGCTGGTACATGATAAAACTAAGCCTGCGTAGCTGGCAATTTCAAAGGAGTGGGGGTTCTTTTTCTGAAAAGTGAACCTTTTTATAACAATAACAATAAACCTATATCAAATTCTGATTCAGTGAGGACGTTTTCCCTTTAGAGAAAGGGTGGTTCATTCCATCCCCCCTGCCTATAATACTAAAAACAAGTACCACAAAAAATGATCCATACATGACTACAGCAAGGTAAACCATGACATACCAGTACTGTAAGCAATATCAATAATTTAACATTTTTCCAATTCTAACAAAACAAAAAATTATCTGTTTATCATATGATTTCTCAATTAACCCCTAAACAAACTAGTAGTAGAAAAATCACAGTAGAATTCCTACCTCTTGCTCAGCAGATCTTACAGAGCCTTGTGACTGTAAATAGGTTAATCCCCAACCATTTTAGAGCACAGGTTATAGCACATTGGGAAGCATCAAGAAGCACAGTGACCATGGACAGACAGGCCACATTGTTTAACATGCAGCAAATGAGTAGTGGTGAAAGCGTGCAAAATAAAAAAAGCAACAGCGTGCATTACTTTCATTGCAACTGTTATATATGTACTACATTGATTATGTACAATGTATTGATTATATATATATATATATAACTTATCATTGTATGTCATGCTACTGACTATCACCCTAAAAGAAATTTCACCTTATCAAAAAATTCATTTATGTTTGGTTTTTCTGTATTTCCTATCTAAATATTAAAAATGTTGCTCTTTGAGGATTGTTCATTACATAGACTTTCAATCATATTTTAAAATAAATTAAAATTTACATGCACCTGAAATAAGCATTTCATTTGGTGAATGTTTTTTTCCAGTGGTATGGTTTTTGTGCATAGGCTTAGCCACATCATGAAAAAATTTAAACCATGCCCAGCTTAATTATCACATTTAGTGCACGAATACTAGTATTATTCAAAATTTCACAAGTGGTGTTTGTCAAATAGCAAAATATCTATTTTCCTAGAAATTCTATCCCTTTTCACTAAAGGGTATACCTTTAAACTGTTGACAAAATCATGGTGTAATGAACCTTTTTTTTTTTAATTTCAATTTTCCAATTATTGAGCTACTTTAATAACAGAGATGGTGACTGGTGACCTTCAGTTGTGTAAGTAAAGATAAAAAATTTAAAAAAAAACTGAAAACAGGTTTACAGATCATAGTTTTCTCTTCAATTTGAAATGGGCAAACTTTGGTGATAAAGCTAAAATTGCTGAAATTTCCAGGAAATTGCCTTTTCTTTGTAAGATAATGAACTGATGACACTACACTGAAAAATATCTTTATCACACTGAAGGTTAACCACAATAATATTCTGATAATGATAATCATTAATAATAATAATAAGTAATGTAAATAGACAGCAATCTGTATACATATCAAACATATGTACCACATCAACAACTTGTAGTAAGCAAATACAACCCACAACAGTAACCCATGGATGTAAAAAAGTTTGTGACAAAACTAAAATAAACACACATATGTATATAAGGATAAATTAAGATATACTGACCGACATGAGTCCCCCCACCAAGTCGCTAGTCATCTGATCCTCCTCCCTGACTTGCTGTGATGTAAGATGCGGGGAGTACAGCTCAGTCGTCCGTAGGATTTCCAAGACTTTATCCAAGGCCTGAACCACGGTGAGAGGACTGTTTTCTTGTGCAGCATTGATGATATTTATCACCTGGGTAACAAATCATCATGTTTAATGAGTGATAATTGTACAACTAGAGAGCAGACTGGCATAATCAACAAAGTGAAGAAAATTTGACAGATTTCAAAATGTGTTTATGCCAGGCAGATGGTTAAAGCTATGAGATGAATTTTTTTTAAAATAATTCTGCAATTTTTGCATTAAGAAGAGATTATCTTTAGGAAATGTTACATGCAGACACACAAACACACACTGTGTCAATGTTTTCCTTACATACTGTTATATGTGTATGGGAAGCGGAAGTTTGCCAATGACTCTATTTGCTCCTGTACCACCTATAAAATTTTCCATTGCTAAAATTTTAGTCTGGAGGTGATTTCATTTACTTTTGAATGATTGAGACCATCAGCTCTAATCCACTCAATGAAAGGAAGTGGCAAACATTACAAATTAAGATACTAATTTCAAGAGGAAATATAAGATCAACCATTTTGCTGGTGTTAAATTTTCATATTTTTTTACCTTAAAATGATTGAGATAATCAGCTCTAAGTTTGTCATTGAGGGGAAGTGTCCAAGGTAATAGTTCTAGTGTGCTAAAATAGCCAACTCAATCACACCTGTGATTTATACTCAGCAATGTTATAAAGTTAAGCACTTTTATCTCTCCAGGGATCATTTCTAAAGAATAGAGCAGAATAACCCTTCATGTAAGCCTTCTGACCTTCAGTAAGTTTATCAACTGTTACATGTAAAAGAAACATAAGATGTGACAGCAACTAGTAACAACAGTAAACTATTTGAAAAGGAAACATACCTGTAGAGACAGAATGAACAAGAGAAGTTTACCTTATTGATTGGAGCCTCTATTGTCATGGAGTGAATCCTGGCTGCTGAATCCCGTCGTCTGCTGTGGATGTGTCCCCCTTAAGTAGTAGTAGTAATAATAATAATAATAATAATAAAACCATATCATGATGAACAAAGTTGCAAACACACTGCAAATTGCATGAGATGTGATATACATTTGTCAAACAAATAATTATTGGGATTTTTGTGGTTTAAAATATTCTCTTTTCCTTTTTGAACAAGTTGTATGAGAATCCTCTTTTTAAGCAAATAAGCTTTTTCTTTCATTCATAAATTCTGAAAAAGAAATCACTATGAACATATATATTAGGATAAAGACGATAATTATATCATGTATGTTTGTGGTATATTCGGAGTTTGATTATCAATAGTGCTGAATTGACAAGCAGTGCAAAAATTCTCACTGATCAGCCTGAAGAAAATTTTCATACTGATTATTTTCCCTAAAGTGTTATAAACTGTCTGAAATCAGTACACTACAGATGCGTATACACATACAAACATCAAAATAGTATTTAAGTAAATTAAAAAAAAACAGTATTCAATAAACAAACACTACACAAGATATTAAGTCACCAATATAATGTGATCTGGCCAAAGAATTTTCAGACCAAACACAACCAAAATGCACTTTGAGAGCAGCATTATGAGGGACTCAGTTTCTTTTATTACGGTTTCCAACACACTAGTGTATATTAATAAACTGCAAAATGTGCACTTAATCTTTCACATCCTTGGACAGAAAGCATTTTCCCCATTAATCTCTGCAGGAATGCACAGTTAACATGCAAGGTGGATATCATCATAACTACAAACTTGTAAATGCAAAACACAAGTTGGCATTAATGTTTTAATTCACTTCAACTCTGTTACTAATCAAGGAATAAATGAGTAGGAGAATGGTTAAATGGTTGAATATATCTACAAATGATAGAACAAGATCTTATCCTAACAATTGACAAGTCAATATTAACCAACAGTACCACAGTCTTTAAAGGCACACAGTAAGTGTTAGACTTTTACATAGTAAAACTTCATTTTCCTGTAGATTTCAACACCTTTTTGTTAATCATCGAGGTATACCGTATCCTAGAAAAAATGTTAGCAGATTTATAATCCATAAACTGTTTTCACGGACAGACACGCCATATGTCACCATAACCTGCATCTGATCCCTTATTAACACCAGAAAAGGAAAACAGAAATAATCGTTATTCTTCAACTTACAAAACTGATTCTCAATACTTAAATAGAGCTTTTAAACAAACTTGTAATAGTAGATTGGGGACATTTCATTATTTCATATACTGGAATTTTTGTCTGTGAATTTCCAGAAATCTCAAGCCCTGCTTAACAACATTTGATAAATATCAACAATAACACTAGATTCATTAAAGATTGGTGATCATGTTGCTGTAAACCATAATGTGACATTGCATCAATGTTGACACAAACCATCTTATGTCTTTCCATCATTAAATTGCTTCTTCATCACTTAAAAACTGTATGCATGTTAATATTTCTGCCTATGACTTTTAATTGTCATTATAATCTATCTGTCTATTTGACAACTTTGATGTTTGAAAGAGTTCAAAGTTTCTAGCTACAGAGATACCTACTGATGAATTTCACTCTTGGTGGTAAAACTTTGAATAACAGAACTAAACAAGGCAGCAAAGCTGTCAAATGTACAGACAAAAAACAGGAAATAACTATGCACAAAATAGGCTACTGTCAATTCTGATGCAAAAGTACATTACGTTAAACTGCAAATTCAACATAAAATTTCAATTATGCTCAACAGGGTTGCATATATGCTGAAAAGTGAAAAAACAGCATAACTTCTACAATAATGGTCCGATTATGCTGATTTTCGAACTTGACCTGCGTTTTATGAATATTCATCAGCTCTGTAAATATAAAGCCAAAAAGTAAAACTGCCCTCCACTTATCGTGTTTACAAGGAAAGTGCACGGCGCCGACGGCGACGGCGACGACAGACGCAGGTGATGGCAATATGTACAGACACATCTGTGTCTGTACATAAAAAGTGCTTTTACAGATTGTAATTAATTCTGCAGTTTTGGATAGGGCATACCTTGGTGATAAAGTAAAAATTCCTGTAATTTCCAGAACATTTTTTAAACTCCGCTATATTAAGGTCTATCGCAAACTGCATGTCCCTGAACTGTGTTAAAAGGTGAAGGAGTGCAGTCCCATGGCCAGCAATTTCAAAGGAATTTTTTTTCTTTTTTTTTTTTGTTAACATGTTTCTTCTTCCATGAAATTTTTGTGTGCATCTAGATCAAATTTTACCCAGAGAGGACAAAAAGGGCACTTTGTTCAATCCCCCCCCCCCCGACCCCCTGGCTACAGGCTTGGAGTAGAAAGGTGTCATGTCAAACAAACCAGTGCCAGTAGAAAAACCACACACAAATCAACATGACCCAATTACCTGGAGGCCAAAACAAATCTGCAAGATGACACACTAAAAGAGGAAGTTGAGATGAAAGATGGTTAACTAAAGATGACATAATGAAAGGTATATTCATATATAAACAGGAGTTTTAGTGCTTGGGAGATTAAGAACTTAATTAATCAATCAAAACATACATGTACAATGAAATTAGTTACACTACTAGTGAATCACATTTTCAATATTTTATCATATATTTTTTCATTATTTTAATTTTTCTTATGTTTTAGGTGAGTGTGTGTGTGTGTGTGTGTGTGTGTGTGTGTGTGTGTGTGTGTGTGTGTGTGTGCGCACACGTGTGTGTGTGTGTGTTGCATATCTACTATGTTCTATCAATGCACAGCTCTCAGTTTAATCAAAGAACACAAAATGTTCCTTTGACATAATATAATTTTAAAAATTTAAGGTGTACTAATATCACATTCTATCAAAAAAGTAAGAGAACTGTCACAATGAATAGCATACAGAAAGTGGAAAATATACGACATAATGTATTCAGAACAAAATGAGAAGGCAAAGCTACAACCAGCATAAGGTATATATGTTTAATAATTCAGTCAGAAGACTGATAAACAAGGTCTATCACCCAACATAGTGATACATATAAGTTGATCATTAGTGGGACATGAGTGTCAGCTAATTTGGATTTGGGATGTTGGTTCATTTGGTGAAACTTTTAAAAGTGAAAACTAACAGTACATGTAACAGCTGAAAGACTCAAAATGATTTACTAATCAGTAACTCCTCTCCAACTCAAAATTGTCTTCCCACATGCATTTCCACAAAAAATAGAGAACACTGACTACATGGCATCAAGAGGCCCATTGGTTCAAGTCATGAAGTAATGGTTTTTTGACTGACTTCACATTAAACACTCCAAGATCCCATTCCCAATGCTTAAGAAAATCACTTAAAATCACCGATCTGCAACATGCGTTTCAAAGTTTTCACAGGCCATCCTCCATACTAACAAATGTATGTTTTCTATTAAGTACAGTAGATCACATAGAGAAAAAAATGTACACTCTAGTAGTAAGGAGGTAAGTCCTTGAGCGCATTCAGAACAAACTGATCTGTGGACTAAATATGGCCAACCAACTTAAAAGCAATGCCCCTAATCCCCTGATGGTCTCTTTGCCTCCACACCTGCCAACGCTGCAGGGGTCTAAAAATAAAACCTCGGAGCCAAGATTTAATCCGCTTAATGGCACATGTGAAGGGAGGGAAACCATAAGGGTATTTTTGGACATAATAATATGTCCAAGGGGTATTTAAGGGTTTGATTTTAAGCAGGACCAGCCATATTTTGTCAGTGGATTAGTTAGTCTGCGGATCATCTGTTCTGATTGCGCTCTTTGTTAGTTCTCTGAATCCTCTGAGTATATACACAACACTGGATGGTTTGGCATGTACAAATTTAACATTATTTATTTACATTGTGGTGGCTTAAGTTTTCAGTTTATATATACTGACCATCTGAGCTGGATATTGATCTCATATCACAGGATCCTTTCCGCTGAGATCGGTAATCATGGGGCTTAGAACTGTGGTGGTCTGACAAGAGAACAAGAATTAATTAAGCTAATTCACTGAAATATTCTAAATGATCCATATTTTATTTTTCTCTCTTAGCTTTTTCAAATGCCAAAAATAACTAGAAAAATTTTTAATGTACAAACCCTAACACAAACACACACCTGGACCACAAACCAATCAGATTCAGAAGTCATCTGTAAGATCTTAACCAAACAGTTGACAATCCACATAAATAAACTGTAATTTTCAAAATCATTATCTATCTTCCCATATGTTAAAGTTAGTCATATTACAATTTCACTGGATTATCTAGCCCTGTACATTACCAGAGTGTTCACAGTCCCTGTGGTACCTATCTAACTGGCAGTTTTCAGGGGCTGGGTTGCGTATTGCTACATAATGCCGGATTTTTCTGAAATAATAAAAGAAATATACATGTACATATATTTAAATATATTTCCCGTTAAAAATCCAGCATCCTACAACCAATCAGTTGAGCAATAAGATTTTATCAAAAGTCCTGTTTTAGAACATGAAAAGATATCAAACTCAAATTCTGCTTCTCATTTTGTGACAAAGTTAAATACAAGGGATGCAATGACCATTTTATTTTTGAGAACAGAGGTCATATTTCAATGTCTGTTAATTTGTAATAATCAATCAAGGTCTAGATATCTCTAGGTCTATTCATCTTCACAACATCAATGGGCTTGAAAAGTCTAGTTTCAGTAGGATTCAAGTGAACACAGCCTTTCAGATCTTTATAGGAAAAATGTGCATAAAAGAATTAAGTCCCCAGGAAAATCTGAAAAACATCTTACCCTCCTCCACCTTCAACTGGAAGAATGTGACAGTGGTGACACAGGCTCTCTCCAGTCTTCTTCTTTGCATAACATGTGCCTTCCCAAGACTAGAAAATGTTCAGGAATTGTATTATTTAAAAATAAGTATTTGTAAGTAAAATACAACAGTATTGGGCAGATATCATATGAAATCTAATTTGTAATAGTTTTATTACAAAATCATCACTTAAAGTGAAAATACAAGGAAATTTGTAAGGCCGCACATTAAATGTTACAAGATAAATTAAATAGAAAAAAATGCGTAAAACCAAATTTTTGATATTTTAAGCCAATACTAAAACAACTTGTAAATATAAGGCACATGCATTTTACAAAATAAAATCAAGTTGTTATTTTAGAATTTGATACAACATAATAGCAGCTCTAGATCACTTCCTAATACCAATAATTTTCTTTTTATCAATTCAAAAATAAAAATAATTTTCACACAATTTCAGTATCATACATTGTAAATAACCAGGTGCTGCATACCTTCCCTTTCTTTAACTGAGCAAACACATTCTCTTGGTGCTCAGCGTTGTTCTTCTCACAATTAGGCAGCTTCCGGATATCTTTCCCGAGAAGCTCATCTAAGGTATAACCAAGCATGCTCTCATAGGCAGGGTTCACATACTGTAAATACATTATAAAGTGCATCTTATGTTATTGTTTATCTTTATTTTGTTTATTCATTTTTTTAATTCCAAACTGGTAATTACAACTGGCATACATGCATATATCTCAAAAGCATTCAAACATTTTGAAGCAATCGTCTGTATTCAGTTGAACCAAACTATTTGTGCACATCTGTCCTTGAGTTTAAGCATTTTTTTCCTATAATTATTTGAGTACTAGTATAAATGTAAATTATTGAATGTAGGCATTCTTGAGTTTCAGCGAACCTTCCCTATCCAATTATGGTCTCTGTAACAGTATCACAAATAGCAGGCTTTTGAAAACCTATACATTCATTCTCATCATTACATTATTGACTTACTTTCTTTAACTGCATTGATATACCACACTGAATAAAACAGAAACTATTAGTTTTTCCCCCTGTAAGAAATATCATCAAGCTGGTATTCAATCACTCAATCATTTAGCAATGTCAACATTAAAATACCTGCTGTGTACTAATTACCTGTACAATATGGTCCTTGCTGGTGATTTCAATAGCATCACTGCTGTGTTCTAATGCTGCGAATAATGCATCGCATGCACGTAATTTAAGCTGGGATCGTAACTCGCCATGTTCTATGGAGACCAACTCATTCAAACATGTGCCTACATTATGGTTTTCTATAAAACGCTGGAAACAAAGCAAAAAAAGTATCAGCATATCTACTTGAGTTAAAGGGATGTTTTTCAATGGTAGAGCCATGCATGTATAGTTTTCTCATGTTACTTTCCTACGCAATCTATACAAGAATTTGCAATTGTGGTTTAATTTTTACAGAAGGCTACTAAATGGCAATAGCAATGACAAGATATGCAGAGATTTGTGTCTGAATGAAGACATTCACATACAGTAACTGTTGGAATGTAAAGTTGCTGATACTTAACATGTCAGCTGAGTAATATTTTTTTCACTACACAATCACAGAGACATACTACGATAACTTATACGTAACTTTTATACCTTTTTAAAACTAATATTGAAAACATATTGTATGTTTTACAAATAAAAAATAAATATGAAAAAAACCATCTACTTTTGAAGGTGTATCCTGTCAGATACCTGGGATGCCAGTGACAGAAATATGGACAAGAAAATGAAGATATCCAATAATTTCAACCTATGGGTCAACTCAACAAAACTGTGTATTGTGAAAACATAATGTTGATGTAGAGGAGACTCACAAGTTCCGAGACTCAGGGTGACAATTCTGATCCAAGACTTCTCTCTAAATGTACTAATAGACTCACCCTATTGAATCCTGCTTGTAAAAGAGGTAAGATTGGTGCTTCTTCTCTGTCTGAAGAACTGAAGGATAAGAGAAAACAAATCATTCTGTTTGTCTTGAATGAAATTATTTAACCATAATATGCAATCATGAATATTTATTTCTTGAAATAATTTCCCCCATACCAATGTTAATATCTTTATAATGACAAAGCTACTTACGGATGTCAAATAAATTCTCATGTACCATCATCTTTTATCAATATATTCTCCCGTTTCTAACATTTTATTGTGAAAAATAGGAAGAAATAAGTTTCCATTAAACCATTAGAATAATAATTATTATTTATACAATTCATATTATTCTGCCCACTGAAATTTCCCTCATATCTAGGGTCTTTATTATGATCAGGAGAGACAACAAGCTGTGGGAATGGAAAATTATCTGACTTACGTCTTTTTGGTAACAGCTATAAGTATTGTGTATTTACTGGCTTTGGTTGCTCTAATAGACCTGAAAATAAAATAGTATATAGTATGTTGTGAAGGGATTTAATAAATACATTACAAAGCTGCATTTTATCAAAATCACATGTAAAAAAATGTTATGTTACCCCGTGACACATGTAACTAGCCTCAAAGCACTGATTGTTAGACCAAATATAGCATATTTCACATAGGTTTCAGAGGAAAGATCGGTTGTATCAAAACTTTATAACATTTCAAAACTAGCACATGAAACTAGCCCCAAACAAGCAGGGCCCTAAGTCAAATGGGCATAATCATAATACATCAGTATCATCAAAAGGTCAACATGCACAGAGAAAAAGAAATCATGATCATGGGTTTCATCAAAAATACAGTCAAGCTATTATGCTTACACATGGTACATGTAACAAGCAAAAGCTCCCAGTAACTACGATAGCCCCTAGTAAGGTCATATTATAAAGCAATTTGTTGTGATAATTTAAAGCAACTGTCACTATCAGGTAAATTGTGCCTTCCTGTTAGCCATCTTTCCAGGTGTAGCCCATCTCTCAGCACAGAGGGCATGAAAGCATGCAGGAGTCCCCCTTTATCACTGCTCCTGCACACACCTTCCTACCTACATCTACACATCACTCACTGCCAACAGAAATGCTTCTACCAATTTATCTCCACTCAGTCGAAACTGCAGAATTCTAACATGTTTTTTATTTTCACCTTATTCATATATTGAGAAAAATTCAATTGCTGTTTTTCTTTTTTTTCATTTTCTCCAATTCATTTATTAATAAAAATTCAATTTCTATTTTTTTTATTTCTTTTTTTATTTATTATTGTAATTTTTTAAGAGGGGGCAAGTAGAGGTATTGCTTTATCTTGAAGCATGCCAAAAAGACTAATTCAATGCAGATTTTCAAAATGAATTTTCTTTGAAATGTCATGAATGGTACTTTATCAGTCCTGCATATCATAGATGTATACCTTATTTTGGTATCAACATTCCAGAAACACCACAACCTTATACATAAATGATATATGTTTTGGCAAACATTTGCACATTTACAGAAAAAAAATCTAACATACTGTTTTCACCCCAAAACATCACCTTTATTGTATATGTTACAGTCTCTGATGTTTGCATAATGAACGCCAAAACCTGCTATAAAGCATTATCAAAATGATTACAAAGAAAATAGTCAACTTTATTAAACCATGACAGGACTAATATACTTGAATCTGGGGCAGAAAACAACTAACAAAAGATGAACAACTTCACTGTACGTTGTATATGAATGCACATAAGATAATATAAGATGGAAATACCATCTTAGTACAAGCTGGTAGTTAAAGTGGAGTTCAATACACTGCTGGTTTTCTCATTTCCAGTCATCAAATCTATTTCACACCTGGGCAATTACAAGAAGGCATGACCAACAGTCCAGCAACCAGTCAATGGTGCTGTTTGTATAGTGAGGTCGATCAGATTTCTAGAGTTTCTGAATAATGATAATATCATTTTAAGAATATTTCAGCATTGGTCAATCAGTATTATTCTAGTTTAAACTACAGCAAACTTGTGCATCCCTAAAAACGTCTTTTTCTTATGTTTATGGAGGATATGAGAGCTGAAAATATAACTGTTATGGAAAGTAACCATTATTTTGGAAACACATATTTCACATGAAATGTGCCAACATTTTTTTTAGCCAAATCAGTCTTTTTCTATTCCCCTTTAATGTTTTTGTACTCATTAGTAAAACATTCTACATAAAAGCAATACTATATATGTACTGATAATGGGACTGAGTATACCTGCATAAGGTCTCTGCATCAAAGTGCTTGGAATGTCTATGATCGATAACTACGACATCTGGGTGTTTGTCCAGAAAGATGTCCAAGGCGGTCTCCGAGTTACGAGCGAGGTTGCATTTATATCCGGCTTTGTCTGCTGCAAACCAGAAGCTATCGCTCTGCCCGTCATCCTTCCCAAACACCAGCAGAATCTAAAAAGAGACAAAATTTAATACAAAATAGGCATGCATGGAATTTATATATTTAAGTAAAAAAATAAAATAAAATTTTCATATAACTACATAAATGCTAAGAGAAGGCTGTAAAAAGGTTGTATGTTGGAAGAAAAGAATTGGATGCCGCTGTACATGCATGCACCAATACATAAACATTCATGCCATTTTTATTATTTTTCTTTTCAGGGCAAACTCAGAAATTTGCTGTGACTATTTAATGAAAGAACATGTAGATTCCTAGTATTGTGCAGCAAAGACATAACCCTCATCTTAAAAGAATATACATGGGTCATTCCACCATAAAAAGTGAGCATTTGAGTAACATTGGTACATGTAACACACATTTTGAGTAGCATTTGAGTGACTGGTTAATATCGCCTTTTGATTATTGTTGATTTCTTTTCATATTGGAGTTTATGAAAATAATACAGCACGTCAAAATTATGCAAATATAACACAACATTTGTGCCTCACCAATGCAGTAAAAGTGTTTCTTCAATCGATCCAATTATAGTAGTGCCTGCTATATAAATGCAAACTTTTTCCATGTTGTCAATGTCTTTGTACTTTCTCTTTTGCATTGAAAAATATGAAACTTGCAATCTAAATCCCTTTTAAATGCAGGTTCGCCTACAGAGTACAGTGTCTGTACAAAAAAATTAAGTCACATTATCTGTGTGTCCCAATAACAAACATGTCAGCTTAGTCTATAATTGTTTTTGTTAGAACACAAAATGTTTATCAAACCAATTTGACACAAAGAAAATACAACAATCACAAACATTTCATTAAGTAAAACAATAAAAGGCAGCAACATTCTGGCATGTAAAACATGGCCCCCAATACTTAAAAAAAAACTTCTCAACAATCCAAAACAAGTGTCAATCAACACAGAAGTCATGACAAACAAACAGGATGACATTTTATCATTATCTTCTCTGGGATGAAAAATACAACATTGTGAAACATAACCATTGGTCCTATAGACAAATTTATGAAAATATGAAACGATCTATGAAATTTGTCCCTGTTTTTTTTATTTTTCATGCACTGGCAGTCTAATAAGTTTTTTTAGGAGAAATAAACCATAATATTTGTGGTCAAAATTCACCTGAATGCATGCACTACTTAAAAAATCTTCCTGGGGGGGGGGGCATGCCCCCAGACCCCACAAGCCTGCTGGGATCGTAGAAATTTTGGTTCTAAAAGAAACTACAGGTCTATAGATTCCCAGAATCTCATTATAGACCAACATCTATGGAGTCATAAATTGCTATGTGAGAAACTGAATTACAATAAAATATTATGTTGCATTTACACAATCCATTGTTAAGACGAGGTGGAATTCATCCGAATGGGTTAATTCACATGGCATAGGGAAAGCTGATTACAATTTATCATACAGAGACCACAGCAGGTGGTGTTCACATTAAGTAATGACATCATGCCAACCAAAACAGAATCACTCTATGTTTATGGTATGTGCGAGGGCGGCCAAAATGAATACAAGAAATACCATATTTCAGGCAGTTTTTTCAGAGAAGTTACCATGTTTCGCTGCCTTATTTACCTCTTAAACTATCAAGGGTCTGTAAGAAAGTGAGGAACAACTTGTTGATGGAATAATGACAGGAAAATGTTAACCTAACTCACTGAATTCTTCCATTTCCCAAGCTGCATTTGAAGCATACTTCAAGGGGTGGCAGACAGTTCAAACTCCCAGAAAATCCTTAGAACCTATATAACTTATTTATAACAAAAACATCCCTGCTCCGAAAAAAGGCGAGAGTTGTAATGAAAATTTAAAGCAGGCAATTAATTATCAGACATACAAAGACATTTATGAAAACCTGTATGGTTCTAGGTGACATGATAATATTACCATGTTGAACATAACTATGCATACCCATATCATTTCTTCAAACAAATTGGTAAATTGATGGGGTTTATCTGTATCCCTGTGGCATGCGTAAAAGAAAGCGCCTCCATGAGCTATCACTTTTCAATTTCTGCCCACTCTGCTTAAGGTAATGGTGCGTGCTGATTAACTCCATGATGGACACATCAGCTTTCTGATGCCGGGCCAAGAAGAAGTTAGACTTCAATGTGAAAAGCTATGTCAGTTAATCCCTGTTCAAACTACATGTTAAAAACAACAGTGGAGGATATAAGGATAGTCTCATAGTTATCAGTTATCCAAACATACTTCTTGCATTCAAATGCACAAGAACAGAGCCAGATAATCAACCACAGGCTTCAAATGCTATTATGATCATACTAAAATGAAATGTTTTCAATTTTTAAAAAATCTACTTAAAAATATCGGCAACAAATACAGGCTACAAAGTTGTGTTAAACGTGTTCCTTTAAATTATAAGTATAGACTGTCACAGATGTCTTCAAAGTGACAAAATTCACAAATAAATATTTTGCTCCAATTTAATAGACAATGCCTTTCAAAACTTTCAAAAATATACTGACAGCTTCAAATTCTGTTTTAAGTTTGTTAAAGCAGCATGAGACAGGTAATTTTTTTTCTAATCGCAGCATCTTGTAGTATTGCTGTAGTATCCTATGTTGTATTTACACCAAACTCTGACACTACTAAAGCACTTGCACTTAAGTTACACAGCAACAGAAAGAGACAACTTTGATCTAAATTCAAGCACTATATTAAATAGCGTTAATGTCGAAGGTTAAAATGACCGCATAGGAAATGTTCTTCAGGAGAACTTAAGTCCCAAAATTAGTCTAAACTTTAATACCAAAATTTTGGTCTAATTTGGTTTAAGATTCATAACCATCCACTTACATTAAATAAGAATTGGTCTGAAACATTTGTCGTCTTTCTCTCTATTAAAAATCAAAACATTTCTTTTAATTGCACTACTACACTGATTAATCTACGGTCATTAAAGACTAAAATTTTGGTATAAAATTTAGGACATATTTCAGACTATATAGTACTTTTCTTCTCCAGTTGATACAACCCCTGCTGATAGGAAAGGTTAAACATGTTTTGGCCAGCAATTAAAGAAGAATAAAATTGCTACTAATTACTTGATTAATAAGAAAGAAGTTCCTCAACATGTTCCTCGTGTATATAAAAATGCATACAAACACAACATACAAACAAATACAGACATTTCTTTCTTCATTTCTGTAAAGAAAAGAAAGTGATCAGGCCTCAGACGAATAGGGAATTTTAAAATTCCTTTCAGTCAATTTCTCATTGATTTGGATGGAATTTGATTCATTTGCTCAAACAAAATATGTTCTATCAGGGAGTGCACATCACATCAACTTCTCACATTATTTTCTACTCAAATAGCAAGAAAAATAAAGGCATTTCCACTGGGAACTAACTCAGAAAATAAAGAAAAATATTCCTAATTAACAACATTACCTTTGACATTTCTACAGAGATGTACGGGAGACTGGCACGCCATGTAGTAACCAACCATATACAATTTCAGGTATTTTTCAAAACAACAGCTTGAGGAAAGGTGAGACATTCAAGTGGGTTGCCATGGTAACCACTATATCCCACGTTGGTTCATGGCTAGCATCCATTTTGGTAAACAAATTAGTTTTGTATCTTTACAGCATGCACTGAACTTGCCTTGTGGAAGACTTTTACTAGAATGGTAGAAGACTCTAGTTCATTCACCTTCACAGATATGGTCATCTTACTTTCTTTAAGAAAGAAGAGCTAATGTTTTTCTGCCAGCGTAACCATAGTTACTATTTCACTAGATAGATTTCCAATGGAAAACTGAAATAATAATACTGAAGGGCTACTTTCATGGGATTTTCCTGACAAAATGAATTTTCCTGGGATAAAGAGCAATTCTCTCTTACTAACACATACATAATTGCTTGACCAGTCTTTAAACTTAGATTCAATGTTTTTATTCCATTTTTAATAGAATACTTTAGTTGAAATGACTGGCCAGTCATTATAAACAAAATATACCATCACATGCATCACCTTGTTTTCACACAAGTAAATGTTAGCTTGCTTTTTTATCACCATCCTCTGCCATGTATAATACAGATGTTGCAAGCTGGCAATGGCTACCAGAGAGGTTGAAAAGATAGTAAGGACATAAGGTACACATCAGATAAGATATTTTTTAAGAATTTTATTGTCTTTGGAGTCTGAATTAGGAAATTTAAGAAACTTAACTGTACATAAATATGACAGAGGGGGATTTTCAACTGCATGGAGAGTCTCTAATAATTCATTTTGGTGGTAAAATCCCACAGAGTGGCCCTTTAACCTTTTGGAAATCTCTTTATGTCTGATTTATGAAACATGAAACAGTACACAGATATGGAATTAATGAAATAATGTTTTAACTACATAATATAAAAATGTATTTAAATTGGAGAAACATTCCCTTGGTATTATTCTTATTAATAACTGAGAGTCCTTTCTCATGATTGAATGCCAAGTTTAAATAATAGAGAATAAAGTCTTCATTGTAATCAAATATGTTGCCTATTAGGAGGTCAGATTCTTGTTTAATAACATAATCAAGTGACAGTTTACAAAACCCACAAGGCAAACTTATATCAATAAATTCCCGATGAGCTCAAAATGAAGATGCCCCTGATCAAATGCAAAGGTCACTTTCAAATGCTTATCGTTAGTTTGATCAATTACTTGATGATTCATAATTGGTCAATAATGGATGCATGATTCTTAGAAACCCACCAGCATGATCATGGTCAAGAGGTTATGAACTTTATAAGAACTCTCACTGGTGCAAAATTCCTGGTCAATAAATATCATACAAATTACAGATCATATTTATATTCTGAAATTGTCTCCCTTTTCCCATTTCTCTCCCTTCTCCTCTATCTGCATTTTCAAGCAAGCAAACTTTAATCCTCTTTTCACCAATACATTTTTCATAAATCTCAGGCCTCATAAACGGATTAGGCGTTTCCTAGCACGAGCCTCAGATTCCCGAGCGCAAACGCCAATATTAATGAGCCCCACCTCAGATTAACAAGCACAATGTAAAGTTACCGAGCACAAACTTAGCGTTTCCAAGCACTAGCCGTTGATCTGCTTATTTACCTGTTCGGTATGTTCCGTATGAGCCGAAGGTTGTCGAGAACGCATTGCTGCTGTATTAATACGCGGTATGGATAGTGGAATATACTAATGCAGTAGTTTGGTTTGTTTTGAGAATTTTACATATTTATTTTGCTCAAGTTAAAATATTGATACATGGAAACAGATATTTCTGAGTCGGTGAAAATAGTCGATGAATCATTTTTTATTTGCATCCTATTTATCATTTCCGTAGTGTCATTATTTAGGTGCTCACATAGTCCATGTGCTTAGAATAATCACGACAATTCTCTTCAAAATCTGTCAGTAATGATCTAGCCACTTTATATGGTCGTGCCATGGATGTTAAAAATCCTTTTTTTTCGTCAAGAGACAGAAAGGGGAGATAATATTACTTGTTTGCGCCCAGAAATCTCTGAAAGTTCAACCGTTATGTCTCTTGTATCTTCCGCCATCTTGAAAATAGTCCTGAGTTGATAAAAAGAACCCGTATGTAAGCAGCCGTCACCCTGAGCTTCAGAGCTAACTTGACACTAACCTTTTCACTGTAGTCTATCTCCATCGTGTCAAGTAACCTCTGACGAAAATAGTTTGACCTATTTTATATAAGCCAATCGAATCCATGTTTCAAAATTTTTCACCAAAGTTTGGTGAAAACGCTGATTGGTTGATCGTCAATCGGCAATCCTCGGCTGATTCCGCAAGCTCCATACTAACAACATAGTTATTGTCGAGTGCGTAGACATCCGAGTAGTTCCGAGTGGTTCCGAGTGCATAACCGTACACAAAGAAAGCATGGAGTATATCGGAATTGAAACCAGAGCAGTATGATGCCCTGCATCATTATCTACTGAGGGATGATGTATTTTGCGTGCTGCCCACAGGTTACGGCAAGTCCCTGATATTCAGCCTTATCTTTGATTGGTCCGGATTTGAACAAAGCGCGCTTTGACTCGTTCGCGTTCATTGGCTAGATCGTTCAATGAGTCATTGAGTGCGGGCTTTAAATTTGATTGGCGGGCGGCGGGGGCACTCGAATCTGGTCAGAGGTTACTTGACACGATGGAGATAGGCTACAGTGAAAAGGTTAGTGTCAAGTCAGCTCTGAAGCTCAGGGTG